AAGTCAGGTTCGTTATATAAACAGTAGGTACTTAGCTAGTTTCGTAATATGAAAATCTAGATTAGAAAAAATAAACAAAATAGTAGTTGCGTTCAAACTCAGCCGAATCTTTTTTACATTCACATGACACGTGCCATAATAATATAGCTGCCGTATTACTCTCTCTTTTTTTTTCTTTTTTTTTTTCTGAATTTTGCTTCGTTCTCATTGACATGAAAAAAAAAACCAAAAATAGTACTATTGACTTTTTATTTTGTCAACTAAAAACTTAGAAATATGTATGAAATAATAAAGTTATAAAGTTTGAAACATATAATTTCCCCCCTAAACAAGATAATCGTGGGAAGTGGGAATGGGACCCCGTGATATACAGAACGAAGAAAAGCTACTTTTATAGATTCAAATTTCTAATTAAGCATAATAAAGGTTACTCCATACTCACCATTGCATTTCAAGTTTCAAATGCTTTTGAAGAATTATCTCCTCAAATCTTGAAAATGAATGGTTTACTATTCCATGTCAAACCTTTCTAAGTTCTGATTTATATATTTTTCTGTCTTAAATTATATAAGTTGTCAGATCCTAGGTTTCACATCACAGAACAGTCAGTCGATTGAAACAAAGTGGTTATGATAATGAAAAATTATTGTACTTGTATACATATTCATGACTCATGACCACGTCCAATGAACCTTTTATTGCACTCAAAATTCAAAGTTCAAACAAAAAATGGTTAGATCTGTACTGTACGAATTGAGTTTTTACTCATTCAATTTCTTCTTATGACGTACATATGCATTATTGTTGGAGATGCTTATTAAAACGTACGGTGCTGTCTTTGATTGGTTTTTAAGTTTTACTCAATAAAATTTAAACATAATCACGGGGTGAGAAAAGAAAAAAGAAACGATATATAGTTTCAACGTTTCATTTATACTATACATTTTGATTCAAACGATATACTTCATATTTATATGATTCAAAAGTTATAGATGAGTTTACATATACTATGATCTTAAACGCTACAGTTTGTTTTTTTTGTTATTTTCGTGAATTATGTTCACACAAGCAGCTGTCGCTGACCACAAAGTTGACGTTGTTAAATATTATATTATGATGGATTCTTCAAAAAAATGTTAAAACTGAGGGTTTTTTTAAAAAAAAAAATATATTGCGAGTACAAAAAATTATCAACAAAATCTTAGTTACTTTTGTAATACAACCTAGCTTTTCTAGTCATATTTATAAGAAATCTTGGCATATTGATAAACACTAGTTTTATATATTCCAAACTCCATAAACACATGAAAGAAGATTCGAGATCAATAGCATATATATACGTGTAAATGCACTCACAATTTGCAAATTATTTCCTTATCTCACAAATATATTACAATTTTCCAATCATTGTAAATGAACCTTTAGCATAGAACTAGAGAATATATGAAGATGTGACATATATATACATATAAACTGGTTTATATTTCATATGAACAAGTAGAAAATAAACAAAAACCCGGCGGTGTTGGTGGTAAGAAGCATGTTGCATGAGGATGTTGAGGGATTAGGCTCAATACATTGCACGTTTGATCTGTGATTGGAGTTTGGACCACCATGTGACATTTGACTCTCTCTCTTTTCATTTTTTTTTTCCTTTTTCTCTTCTTCATCATGGTTTACTCCATTTGGTTGCTCGACTTCGGTTAACGTTATGATTTATAGTTCGAGCATAATTCGATCGGTTAGAAGAAAAGAAACAACTTATAGGGTTGCAACATTGTTAGGATACAATCTAATACTATATATATGGTGGCTACATATGGACTAATCCAACAATTTATGATAGGATTTTTTAGTTAACAATAAGATTAGTTTGTTGTTTAATCGGTTTAAGTTAGTTAGCTTCCCATAATTTGGTTTCATTTTGAATGGTTTAGTTTCTATATATACTTAGATTAAAGTTCAATCCTACGCATTTGATGAGATATACTAATGCACAACGTACAGATCTGACGACAATAGTAATCTTTATAAAAAGATTTGCCGAAATGATCAGTAATAAAATACACTGATCAAATCCAAAATAGAATACGCGTAGAGTCGTAGAGATATGTACATATAAAAGGGGTGTATATGGTAAACACTAAACAACAAAACACTTGATTCCAGAAAAATGTTGGGAAGAGAGTTTAGTTGTGTCGGGGTGACATAACTTTATAAATAAAATCGTCTCAGTTCTATTATTACTTTATACATCAAATTAATAATAATGCCACATTTTTGAAATTATTAAGCATGCATGATAAGCCGAATGTTGTAACCAAATTAATAACAACTTCATAGTATTATAACGAAGCAGCTAGCAAACAAAACTACAACCTTTGTTTAATCAGGCTATAGGAGAGTGCATTATTTTTATTTAAACACAATAAAACATTCACAAGGCATATGCGAGCTTTATATTATAATGAATGAATATGCTTCTTTGGGCATTATCAAAACCTGTCATGTTCCGTTAGTGTAGCATCCATCGACAAAAAAAAGGTCTATCAAATTGGTCCATCATTTTTATTTTATTTTTAAAAGGGTTTTAAATATTATTAACAGTCCATAATTGTCCTTAATTTGATTTCCATAATCTTGTCTAACCAATACTTCCAAAATCCAACTAAAAGTTATAATGTACATTGATTGAATAAATACATGGATTGTATAGTCTTTGCAATACCAAAAAATAAATAAGTAATTAAGAAAATAAAATAAAAAGTATAGAAATGGGGTGAGAGGTGTAGTAGTACTTGTACTTAAAGTTAGAGAAAGCATCATAGTACAGTCAAGAATGGAGACACGTTAGATATTGGTTAGCAAGAGTAGTAATTAATGTTTAATTGGTTAGTGTGAATTAGTGAGAGATTATGGTCCAATCCATTGCATTCGACCTTTCCGTACCAAACTCACAGCTATATATTTCCCTTTCACCTTTTTCCTCCATTGTATATATCTTTAATATAATCATGTGTCTATATATAACCATCAAAAAGTTAACGTTCAGCTGACAAAATGATGACATTCAGCTTACAGAATGAATCCCAAATTTCTTAGTATTTCACGATAAATGCAAAAAAAAAAAAAATGATAATAATGATAAAGGGTGGAATATTATGTTCTGATAATAAAAATTAATATTATCTTAAAGTGAAAATTATATAAACGTTGTATTTGTATAAAATAATATAATACTATCACACTATTCTAATCTTCTTACAAAATACTCTAATTATTTTTAACAATTCATTCTCTTCATTTTTGTTCATATATTTCATTCGTATACTATCGATAACAATCTTTAACTTTCTTGATTGATTTATTCTTCATTTTTCCATTTCATTATTTAGTGTCATGTATATTATTTTTATAAGAAGTCAGCAACTGAAACTATTGGCATATATAACATAATAGTAGATTGACATTAGAATTAGTAAAGGAATGTAAGAATGGATGTATGACCGAATAAAAAGTTGACACGAGGTGATTAAAACGAGACACGGTTTAACAACGATAGATTATAATAATGCTAAAACCATCATAAACTAGGGAATTAATAACAAACGTCGTTTTATATATGGAACAACAAGAGAAGAAGGAACCAGCCACTTGCACGCTTGTAGGGACGAGTCATCAAAAAACCGTACGTGTGTGATGACTGATGACTTATGAGGTGTGGCCTCTCTCTCTCTCTCTAATCTCTCTAATCTCTCTTTCTCTCTTGTCTTGTCCAATCTCTTGTTGTTTGTACTACAATGGTCTAGAGGAGAGGACATGAGAGGCTACTTTCGTAATATTCTGAAAACGTATGGGTCAGTTTAATCTTTTCGACATGGTTTTGGGTGGGATTGTTTTTATCCTCTTTACCTTACGTGATCACGACGACTTCTCTCCCTAACGCGGTGTCGATAGATACAAGCTTCATCATATAGCATAAAGCGTTCTGACGTACTTCTTACCATGTATATTAGGTTCATAGCTAATAACCATTATCATATATTGAAGTTTTGCGAGATGAATCATTCAACTACGTACAAAAGAAGAGAAGCTATGAAATATAAAAGAAATGAATAAGTTTTCTTAGCGAAGGTCTTGTACATCTTAGCTATCAGTCCTATAAATGATGAGACAATTAGTTAGGCAAACACTTGTAAGTAGCTCCACGTCTCAAAAAGAAAAGTCGACGATCGCTTCATTATCACTAACCACTCGAGGCATGTTACATGTTTTATAGCTAATATATATATGTAGTACAAGCAATTATATATATATATATTAATAATTATGGTACGAGCTAGAGCTATAATAAAATAGTTGGTTCGTAGGACCGACACTAAAAGATGGTTTTCCTAAACAACAGTTATAATGATTTCGACTATTTAAATTAAACTTTTAGGTTTATTGTTCTCTAGCAAACAACTTTTGATCCTTGCGACAGAAATTGGCATACGTTCATTGATTCAAGTAACCCATCTTTGTTTTCTTGAAAACATTACACTAATATTAACAAGAAAACAAGTTTCTCTTAACCAAGTTTTCTATAGACATAGATATATGTCACAGTTTTGAAATCTACGTACGCATACTTTAAAATTCAACTAGACAAAACAATTGATATATAATCTCAAACAATCTGATATGACTATAATCATAATTTATCATGCCACATTAATTTTTTTTTTTTTTTTAATCTTAAACAAGTATGTTTGACTAAATAGAAGTATTTTCAAGTCAAAAAGTGTGAAACCGAAGTGGATCCGTTTATTAAGGGTAAGAAATAAAGAAATTAAAGAAGAAGAAGAAAAAACAGTGTTTGAGATTTTTAACTGAATCAAATGGATAAAAAGAAGAAAATGGAAATGTCTTGGATCCTTCAACTACCATATCTCTCTCTCTCTCTCTCTCTCTCTCTCTCTCTCTCTCTCTCTCTCCACTCTCACATATGGGCGGCTCGAATAATACCACACAAATGCCCTCTTCACTATTCGAATTTACACAATGTGCCACCACCGTAGAAAACAAATAAGAAACTCACCAAAACAAAAAAAGGAGGAGGACTTGAAACAAACAAGGATAGAAGAAAAAGAAGAAGAAGAAGGACAAGTTTGAGACTTTTTGGATATTTTAAGAAGGCGGGTCGAAGCTGAAGCTGAAGCTGGTGAGAAGGAAATCAAAATCAAATCGTTTCTCTTGTTTTGCTGGATTGGATCGGGAAATCTACAAGCTTGAAGATTCGTTTTTTTGAAAATTTGTTCGAATCTGAACATTCGAATTCGAGTGATGTTTTGCTTGATTCGTTCGTTGATTCGAAGAAGAGTTTATGCTTAGAGCTGTGAAGATTCTGATTTTGGGTTTGTTGATTGGAACTTTTCTAGCTAGGCGGTAGATATGTTGAGTAGGTACGGTGGTTCCTTCTTCCCGTAGATTTACTGAAGATGTTCTTCTGCAAAAACTGAATCTTCTTCTTCTTCTTCATCAACTTGATTGATCAAAGTCTATTTTTGGAATTTGAAAAGAAGAGACTTTTGAAAAGGGTCAGATCGATTTCGGAGGAGAGAGAGAGATATGGATGAGGTAGGTGCTCAAGTAGCTACTCCGATGTTCATTCATCCGTCGCTATCTCCGATGGGGAGAAAACGTGATCTTTACTATCCGATGTCGAATCGGCTGGTTCCGTCTCAACCGCAGCCGCAGCGTAGAGATGAGTGGAACTCTAAGATGTGGGATTGGGATAGCCGGAGATTTGAAGCTACACCGGTGGATGCTCAGACTCTTCGCCTTGGCAACGAGACACAACAGTTTGATTTGACTTCAAAGAATAGGAGTGGAGAAACAAGAGGACTTGATTTGAATCTGGGAAGTGGGTTGACCGCTGTGGAAGACACCACGACGACGACGACGCAGAACATTAGACCGAACAAGAAGGTTCGGTCTGGATCTCCGGGCGGGAATTATCCGATGTGTCAGGTGGATAATTGTACTGAAGATTTGTCTCATGCTAAGGATTATCATAGAAGGCATAAAGTGTGTGAAGTTCATAGCAAAGCTACTAAAGCTCTCGTCGGCAAACAGATGCAGAGGTTTTGCCAACAGTGCAGCAGGTAAGGAAGAAATTTGATTTGTTGTTGTTGTCACCAGTTTGATTTTTATCTGGAAATGGTTCTCTGTTCTTTTCTTTTAATATATGATTTTTGCAGGTTTCATCTGCTCTCGGAGTTTGATGAGGGAAAGAGAAGTTGTAGGCGTAGATTGGCTGGCCACAACCGAAGGAGGAGGAAGACAACACAGCAGGAGGAGGTTGTGGTTCCGGGGAACCGTGATAATAGCTCTAATGCCAATATGGATCTTATGGCTTTGTTAACCGCCTTAGCTTGTGCACAAGGTATTAGCTTGCGATTATACAAGAGTTTGTTTCTGTCTGGGAATTCTGCTCGGATGTTCTTGTTTTATTAACAGATTTGTTGTCTGCGAGCTGCAGGTAAGAATGAGGTGAAGCCAGTGACTACTTCTCCAGCTGTGCCTGATAGAGAGCAGCTTCTTCAGATACTTACCAAGATAAATGCATTGCCGTTGCCTATGGATCTTGTCTCTAAGTTGAACAATATTGGAAATTTAGCCAGGAAAAATCTGGATCAACCTACGACGAACCCCCCAAATGATATGAATGGCGCTTCTCCTTCTACAATGGACTTGCTTGCTGTTCTTTCATCAACGTTAGGATCATCTTCACCTGATACACTAGCCATATTGTCTCAAGGTGGGTTTGGTTACAAAGACAGTGACAAGACTAAGTTATCTTCGTATGATCACGGTGTTGCAACCAATGTGGAAAAGAGAACTTTAGGGTTTTCTTCTGGTGGGGGAGAGAGGAGCAGTAGCAGTAACCTATCTCCATCTCAGGATTCAGATTCACGTGCTCAAGACACTAGGTCTAGCCTGTCTCTACAATTATTTACCTCATCTCCCGAGGATGAGAGTCGACCAACGGTGGCATCTTCTCGAAAGTATTATTCTTCTGCAAGCAGTAATCCTGTTGAGGATAGATCTCCGTCGTCCTCCCCGGTCATGCAGGAATTATTCCCATTGCAGACGTCCCCTGAAACCATGAGGTCTAAGAATCACAATAACTCAAGTCCCAGGACTGGTTGCCTACCGCTTGAGCTCTTTGGTGCATCAAATAGGGGAACTGCAAACACTAATTTTAAAGGTTTCGGGCAACAGTCTGGGTATGCTTCTTCTGGTTCTGACTACTCTCCTCCCAGCTTAAACTCTGATGCTCAGGTTTGCAGCTTTTCAACTTCTCTTTAGCATCTATTTGTACGTAGATAAAACAAACCACTTATGGTTTTTATATATATGACATATAAACAGGACCGCACTGGAAAGATAGTCTTCAAACTACTTGATAAAGATCCAAGTCAGCTCCCTGGGACATTACGATCGGAGGTGATAATTTCTGAGCATGATATAGCCTTATCTTAAATATTTAAGTTATTGATTGCTTCTGTTACAGTCCTCATACTTATTGTCCCCCTGTAACAGATCTATAACTGGCTTTCGAACATTCCATCAGAAATGGAGAGTTATATTAGGCCTGGCTGTGTTGTTCTATCTGTCTATATAGCGATGACACCTGCAGCCTGGGAGCAGGTGAGTGGATATTATGTTTTAAGTTTTTGGTTATTGAATCACTCAATGCTATGTATAGCTTAGAAGCAGTTGGTGGTTTTTTTTTTCAGCTCGAGCGAAACTTACTGCAAAGGCTTGGTGTTTTGCTACAAAATTCTCAGTCTGATTTTTGGAGAGAAGCTAGATTTATAGTTAACACGGGGAGACAGCTCGCATCACACAAAAATGGTGAGTGCTCACGAGCTCTTACTTCTGTGTAGCCTTGAATGTTGCAATTTTTATCTCTTCATGATCATAACATATCACTGGTTACAGGTAGAGTTCGATGTAGCAAATCGTGGAGAACTTGGAATTCACCAGAGCTCATCTCAATTTCACCTATAGCCGTAGTAGCTGGTGCAGAAACAAGTTTGGTATTAAGAGGTAGAAGCTTGACTAACGATGGGATCAGGTAAACTTAAAAAAAAAATCAGTTTCATAGTGTTTCTAATCTTTTCTTATTTCTTTCTAACCTATATTATCATTGTGCTGCCAGTATTCGTTGCACACATATGGGCACCTACATGTCGATGGAAGTAATTGGAGCAGGATGTAGACAAGCAGTATTTGATGAGTTGAATGTAAATAATTTCAAAGTGCAAAATGCACAGCCGGGTTTTCTTGGACGCTGTTTCATTGAGGTATAACTTCATATAACTGAACTTCCTAACTGAACTTAGTAATTTACTTTGTCAGTCTAGAGATGTTGAAAGTCTAGTTTGTGTCCAGGTGGAGAATGGATTCAGGGGTGACAGTTTTCCATTGATAATTGCCAATGCATCCATCTGCAAAGAGTTAAATCGCCTTGAAGAAGAGTTTCACCCCAAAAGTCCGTCAGAAGAACAAGCTCAGAGCTCAGATCGACGTCCCACATCAAGAGAAGAAGTTTTGTGCTTCTTGAATGAGCTTGGTTGGCTTTTCCAGAAGAACCAGACCTCTGAACTTCGGGAACAATCCGACTTTTCCCTTGCCCGCTTCAAGTTTTTGCTCGTTTGCTCAGTTGAAAGAGATTACTGTGCTCTCATCAGAACACTCCTTGACATGTTAGTAGAGAGAAATTTGGTGAATAATGAGCTGAACACAGAAGCCTTGAATATGCTCGCTGAGAGTCAGTTGTTGAATCGTGCTGTTAAGAGGAAAAGCACAAAAATGGTCGAACTACTTATTCATTACCCAGTTAATCCCTCGGCACTCAAGTCCTCTAACAACTTTGTTTTCTTACCCAACATAACTGGACCTGGCGGTATCACACCTTTACATCTAGCTGCGTGTACATCTGGGTCAGATGATATGGTTGATCTGCTGACAAATGACTCACAAGAGGTATGGCTCTCTCCCTCTTGCTGCCTCTCTCAAACGTAATTTTATTTCTTGCAACCCATAAGACTGAGGAAACCGTATTGCTGTTTCAGGTCGGATTATCAAGCTGGAACACTCTTTGTGATGCAGCCGGCCAAACTCCATACAGCTACGCTGCAATGAGGAACAACCATAGCTATAACTCTCTGGTGGCTCGTAAACTTGCAGACAAAAGAAACAAGCAAGTCTCACTAAACATTGAGAACGAGATTGTTGACCAAAGGGGTATGAGCAAGAGATTAAGTTCAGAGATGAACAAATCATCTTGTGCGTCGTGTGCAACCGTGGCTCTCAAGTATCAGAGGAGAGTTTCAGGTTCACACCGTTTGTTCCCAACGCCTATCATTCACTCAATGCTCGCAGTTGCAACAGTCTGCGTTTGCGTCTGCGTTTTCATGCATGCTTTCCCAATCGTGAGACAAGGATCTCACTTCAGTTGGGGAGGTTTGGATTATGGCTCAATCTAGACAACAACATATATATAAATTATAATTTTATTCTTTTGGTTTCACAAAATAAGAGAAAAAGGGAAGAGACTTCGCACGAATATATAAGGAAAAGCTCAGAGACTTGACTGTGACAACGACCAAAGTGTGACTACAGTAGTATTACTCAAGGGAGTTTCACCGTCGGGAGTTCTTTTTTTTTTTTTTCAATTATATATATTTTGGTTTGGCTAATTTGTTGTGTGTATTTCTGTGTATTTTGTTTCTATATTTTGATTATGATTATTCTTTAACTAAGATAATAACCTGCTGCTTCATATAAGAGGCAGTTGTTTTACTGTTTTTTTGTATTTTGGTTCTTGTAAATTTGTACTTTGTACAACTAGCTCCTTGTTCATGTTGTAACTTGAATAACATTGTTTTTTTCTTTCTTTTTTGTCGAAAGTCTAAATGCATTACCATTTGAAACTTACATTACTATTACATGATATAGAACGATGTTTGTGTAAACAATATGAAGATGGAGTAATCTTGTCACATATGCCTCTTATGTCAACGATTCCCTTGTCGGGATTCTCAAACATCAAACCTCACAAGTTAGTGTATTGTTTTGCATGATCTTGTAGCTCATTTGATTTAATGGCTTAGCTCCACCTCGTGAGTTCAAGTCATGGCAGAGTAGGAGAGGAGGCAAAGAAGATACACACTTTATCCAAAAAGAAACTGAAAACTCATGAGATATCTTTTAGTTCAAAGGAATTTATATTTGTCACAAGTAGACAATGAATTTTTTTTTGAGATTAGTGTGATTTGATTACTTCATACTAAACGACGTACTTAATGACATTGAAAGGAAACGATGTCGAAAAAGAAATTATGGATCTCGATTAATTTGAAGAAGTAAAAAACAGAAATGTTTTTGGACTATCAAATCAAAAAATTTAACTTTAATCAATGGATAAAAAGCAAATGGGAAATGTCTTGGATCGAATATTACCATGTAAATGCCCTCGTTTCTGTTTGAATTTACAGAATGTGCCACCACCGTAGAAAACAAATAAGAAAGAAAAAAAAAAGTTATCGTAGAAGGTAAGGACTTGAAGACAGCAGAACACGGATTAAACAAAAAAAAAAGCTTGATCAGCGGAAAAAAGAAGAAGGACAAGTTTGAGACTTTGGGGATTTTAAGAAGGTGGGTCGAAGCTGGTGAAGAGGAATAATCAAATCATTTCTCTTGTTTTGCTGGATTGGATCGGGAAATCTACAAGTGTTTGAAGATTCGTTTTTTGAAAATTTGTTCGAATCTGAACAAGTTCTTAACATTCGAATTCGGGTGATGTTTAGCTTGATTCGTCTCCAGCTTTCGTTGAATCGAGGAAGAGTTTATGCTTGAAGCTGCCAAGATTCTGATTTTGGGTTTATTGATTAGAGAAGTTTTCTAGCTAGGCGGTAGATATGTTGAGTATGTACGGTGGCTCGGTAGATATGTTCTTCTGCAAATACTGAATCTTCTTCTTCTTCATCATCAAGCTGATTGATCAAAGTCTATTTTTGGAATTTGAAAAGAAGAGACTTTAAAAAAAGGGTCAGATCGATTTCGGAGGAGAGAGAGAGAGATATGGATGAGGTAGGTGCTCAAGTAGCTACTCCGATGTTCATTCATCCGTCGCTATCTCCGATGGGGAGAAAACGTGATCTTTACTATCCGATGTCGACTCGGCTGGTACCGTCGTCTCAGCCGCAGCCGCAGCGAAGAGATGAGTGGAACTCTAAGATGTGGGATTGGGATAGCCGGAGATTTGAAGCTACACCGGTGGAAGCTCAGGTTCTTCTTCTGGGCAACGAGACACAACAGTTTGATTTGACTTCAAGGAATAAGAGTGGAGAAGAAAGAGGACTTGATTTGAATCTGGGAAGTGGTTTGACTGCGGAGGAAGACACCACAACGACGACGACGCAGAACATTAGACCGAACAAGAAGGTTCGTTCTGGATCTCCGGGAGGGAATTATCCGATGTGTCAGGTGGATAATTGTACTGAAGATTTATCTCATGCTAAGGATTATCACAGAAGGCATAAAGTGTGTGAAGTTCATAGCAAAGCTACCAAAGCTCTCGTTGGGAAACAGATGCAGAGGTTTTGCCAACAGTGCAGCAGGTAAGGAAGAAGAGTGATTTGTTCTTATTGTATCCAATTTGATTTTTTTCTGGTGATGGTTCTCTGTTTTTTTTTTTTTTTTTCTTAATCTGGTTATGAATGATTTTCGCAGGTTTCATCTGCTCTCGGAGTTTGATGAAGGAAAGAGAAGTTGTAGGCGTAGATTGGCTGGCCACAACCGAAGGAGGAGGAAGACAACACAGCAGGAGGAGGTTGTCGTTCCGGGGAACCGTGATAATTCGTCTAACGCCAATATGGATCTTATGGCTTTGTTAACCGCCTTAGCTTGTGCACAAGGTATTAGCTTGCGAATATACAAGAGTTTTTTTTTTGTCTTGGAATTCTGCTCGGATGTTCTTGTTTTATTAACAGCTTTGTTGTCTGCGAGCTGCAGGTAAGAATGAGGTAAAGCCAGTGACTACTTCTCCAGCTGTGCCTGATAGAGAGCAGCTTCTTCAGATACTTACCAAGATAAATGCATTGCCGTTGCCTATGGACCTTGTCTCTAAGTTGAACAATATTGGAAATTTAGCCAGGAAAAATCTGGATCAACCAATGGCGCACCCCCCAAATGATATGAATGGCGCTTCTCCTTCTACAATGGACTTGCTTGCTGTTCTTTCGTCAACGTTAGGCTCCTCTTCACCTGATACGCTAGCCATATTGTCTCAAGGTGGGTTTGGTTACAAAGACAGTGACAAGACTAAGTTATCTTCTTATGATCACGGTGTTGCAACCAATGTGGAAAAGAGAACTTTAGGGTTTTCTTCTGGTGGGGGAGAGAGGAGCAGTAGCAGTAACCTATCTCCATCTCAGGATTCAGATTCACGTGCTCAAGACACTAGGTCTAGCCTGTCTCTACAATTATTTACCTCATCTCCCGAGGATGAGAGTCGACCAACAGTGGCATCTTCTCGAAAGTATTATTCTTCTGCAAGCAGTAATCCTGTTGAGGATAGATCTCCGTCGTCCTCCCCGGTCATGCAGGAGTTATTCCCATTGCAGACGTCCCCTGAAACCATGAGGTCTAAGAATCACAATAACTCAAGTCCCAGGACTGGTTGTCTGCCGCTTGAGCTCTTTGGTGCATCAAATAGAGGAACTGCGAATACTAATTTTAAAGGTTTGGGGCAACAGTCTGGGTATGCTTCTTCTGGTTCTGACTACTCTCCTCCCAGCTTAAACTCTGATTCTCAGGTTTGTAGCTTTTCAATTCCTCTTTAGCATCTATTTGTACGTAGATAAAACAAGCCACTTATGGTTTATATATATATGGCATTCAAACAGGACCGCACTGGAAAGATAGTTTTCAAACTACTTGATAAAGATCCAAGTCAGCTCCCTGGGACATTACGATCGGAGGTGATAATTTCTGAGCATGATCCTTACCTGAAATATTAAAGTTACTGGTTGCTTCTGTTTCAGTCCTCATAGTTATTGTCTTCCTTTTATTACAGATCTATAATTGGCTTTCGAACATTCCATCAGAAATGGAGAGTTATATCAGGCCTGGCTGTGTTGTTCTATCTGTCTATATAGCGATGGCACCTGCAGCCTGGGAACAGGTGAGTGGAAATTGTTTTTAATATTTGGTTATTAAATTATTCAATGATATGTATATAGCTTAGGAGCAGTTGGTGGTTTTTATTTTTACAGCTTGAGCGAAACTTGCTGCAACGGCTAGGTGTTTTGCTAAACAATTCTCAGTCTGATTTTTGGAGAGAAGCTAGATTTATTGTTAACACAGGCAGACAGCTCGCATCACACAAAAATGGTTAGTGCTCACGAGCGTTACTTCTTTGTAACCTTGATGCAACATTTATCTCACTATAATTATAACATATCATTGGTTACAGGTAGAGTTCGATGTAGCAAATCTTGGAGAACTTGGAATTCACCAGAGCTCATCTCAGTGTCTCCTGTAGCTGTGGTAGCTGGTGAGGAAACAAGTTTGGTAGTAAGAGGTAGAAGCTTGACTAATGATGGGATCAGGTAACTTAAAAAAAAAATAAAACAGTTTCATAGTGTTTCTCATATTTTCTTAATTCTTTCTAAGCTTTATCATCATCGTGATGCCAGTATTCGTTGCACACATATGGGTACCTACATGTCGATGGAAGTAACTGGAGCAGCATGTAGACAAGCAGTATTTGATGAGTTGAATGTAAATAGTTTCAAAGTGCAAAATGCACAGCCAGGTTTTCTTGGACGCTGTTTCATTGAGGTAGAACTTCATATAACTGAACTTGATAGTTTCTTTGTCAGTCTAGAGATGTTTAAAGCCTAGATTTTATGCAGGTGGAGAATGGTTTCAGGGGTGACAGTTTTCCATTGATAATTGCCAATGCGTCCATCTGCGAAGAGTTAAATCGCCTTGAAGAAGAGTTTCACCCCAGAAGTCAAGATACATCAGAAGAACAAGCGCAGAGCTCAGATCGTCGTCCCACATCAAGAGAAGAAGTTATGTGCTTCTTGAATGAGCTTGGTTGGCTTTTCCAAAAGAACCAGACCTCTGAACTTCGGGAACAATCCGACTTTTCCCTTGCCCGCTTCAAGTTTTTGCTCGTTTGCTCAGTTGAAAGAGATTACTGTGCTCTCATTAGAACACTCCTCAGCATGTTAGTCGAGAGAAATTTGGTGGATAATGAGCTGAACACAGAAGCCTTGAATATGCTCGCTGAGAGTCAGTTGTTGAATCGTGCTGTTAAGAGGAAAAGCACAAAAATGGTCGAACTACTTATTCATTACTCAGTCAAACCCTCCTCTCTCGATTCCTCTAACAACTTTGTTTTCTTACCCAACATAACTGGACCTGGCGGTATCACACCTTTACATCTAGCTGCTTGTACATCTGGTTCAGATGATATAGTTGATCGACTGACCAATGACCAACAAGAGGTATGGCTCTCTCCCTCTTGCAGCCTTTCTCAAACTCAATTTCTTGCAACCCATAAGACTGAGGAAACCGTTTTTGCTGTTTCAGATCGGCTTATCGAGCTGGAACACTCTTTGTGACGCAACCGGCCAAACTCCATACAGCTACGCTGCAATGAGGAACAACCATAGCTATAACTCCTTGGTGGCTCGTAAACTTGCAGACAAAAGAAACAAGCAAGTCTCACTAAACATTGAGAACGAGATTGTTGACCAAAGGGGTGTGAGCAAGAGATTAAGTTCGGAGATGAACAAATCATCTTGTGCGTCGTGTGCAACCGTGGCTCTTAAGTATCAGAGGAGAGTTTCAGGTTCACGCCGATTGTTTCCAACTCCTATCATTCACTCAATGCTCGCAGTTGCAACAGTCTGCGTTTGCGTCTGCGTTTTCATGCACGCTTTCCCAATCGTCAGACAAGGATCTCACTTCAGTTGGGGAGGTCTGGATTATGGTTCAATCTAGACAACAACATATATATAAGTTATAATTTTATTCTTTTGGTTTCACAAATAAGAAAAAAGGGAAGAGACTTTGCACGAATACAAGGAAAAGCTCAGAGACTTGATTGTGACAACGACCAAAGTGACTACAGTAGTATTACTCAAAAGGGGTTTCACATTTGGGAGTTCTTGTAAATTTGTACTTTGTACAAGTAGTTCTTCATGTTGTAACTTGAATAACTTTTGTCTTTCTTTTTTTTTTCCATTTTGTTGAAGGTCTAAGTAAATGCAATACAATATTAAGCCTAGCTAGTATATTATATGGAACAAGGTTTATGGAAAAAAAAAATAGAGGAAGAAGCAATGACAGTATGAAGGCCATAACATGTTAACGATTCGAACGAGGATTGTCGAAATTCTCAAAAATCACAACTCACAAGTCACAATATATCTCTTGCCTGATCTTGTAGCTCAGTTGGTTTGAAGGCCTACCTCCACCTATACAGTCACGATAGTAAGAGAGCGACGTATACACAGTCACAAGTAAATTATCTTTTGTGACAAGTAAAAGATTCTTGAGACTAGTGGTGATTTCGTTACTTAATCAACGACAGACCTAAAGAATCTTGAAAATGTTGTTGTTATACAGAGGAGATCACATTATAATTCCACTTTTTTAAAGGAAAGTCTTGAAAGTGAAAAGGAGAGTGAAATCATTTGTAAGGTTACATTTCAAAAGTTTATTCCGGTGGCTATACAAGTCAATCAACTCTTGATTTTTTCGGTTTTGTTTTGTTTTTTTAACTCTATGGTAGGTTTGACATAATCTTTTTTATCAAAAACGTTTTCAAATTCTTGTTTAAGTTGAAATAAACTTGATAATAGATATATTTGATGTAGTAAATATATTAAACTTGAAATAAAATGTGAGTGGTGGGTCTTTTCTCTCATAATATATGATTTGAATGGGAGTTAACTTTGGTGTGCCTCTCTTATTAGGTAGTAGTAGCTTTTTATTTCTGTAAGATCCAAATAATTATACATTTTTGGTCATATTTGCATACCAAAACGCATATGCCTTTGGTTTAGTTACAATGTATTCATTTATTTAAGCACAAACACATGAAATACACATTAAAAATATCACTTAAGCAAATAATACAACATCATTCTCTCTATTGTACAGATCACCGAATTTAATCAAAATAATATTATATCCCACCCGAAACTTAATAAACACCAATACATCTATATGTACTTTATCATCAAAGGCATCATTATGGCATATAACAATCTACACATATAAAAGTATAAACACTCGTAAGTATAGTTAATCAAGCAATCTCCAAATTCCATCATAATCACCCTCCTCAGACACGTGGAATTGTCCTAGTAACACCACCATTTCTGCCGCCGCCGCCGCCACCACCACCACCGCCTCTAGTCACACCGTCCAAAATAGCTTCACCAACACCTTCACCAAGACCTTCCATTATACCACCGAGAAAATCAATCACAACCTGCGACGCCAACCTCGCCGCCGTTCCCAAAACCGCCGGAGACTTGTCCCTCCCTTTATGTCCGTTTGAGCGGAGGCCGTTCACGGCTGCGTCTTTAGCACATACGGCGTGCAAGTGGTAATCGCAGACGGTGCAACGGTAAACCCTACCCGTCCGTTTACCTCTCTTGCACTCTCCGCAAAGATATCCTCCGGGGTCCCTGCCGGTGGTGTTAGCGGCTGAGGAGGATGGGATGAGGCGGAGAGGGTGGTGGTGGAGTGAGGAGGACGAGAGGGAAGGGGATAACATGGCGCAGCCAGGATGCATTTGGAAACTGCAAGCTTTGCATCTAAAGGTGTAACCTTTTGGTGATCGTCCACACACGTCGCATTTGGATTTTACTATCCCTACTTTCGCTGTTATTCATCATCACAACATACATTAGATGGGATCAAATTTAAAAGTGCAAATCTTTAGTTGTTTTTTTACATTAACAAAATATATAAAACGTCACATTTCTAATATCTTATATAGCCTCCGGAAACGTAAGTTGGACCGACATTGTCACGGTACGAGCGTGACATCAGATTTTATAATATCACCGATCAACTAATAATCAGTGGCCAGATTTATGTTTTAATCATTCTTTCGTTCATGCATGAGGACGAGGTGTGTTTAATTAATGATGAAAACAAAATTCTATATTAAGGTATCTACTTTTGGTGTCTTCAGAGATTGTACTAGAGCTAATTAAGTTCAATTACAATCTTCTAATACGTTTATGACGTTTTATAAAGCTTATTTATTCTCTGTTAATTGTTCAATATAACCAAGATTTAGTTATTAATTTTTTATGATACCCACTAAACCAAATAATAATTCTGTTTTTAAAAAGGATTATTATTCGGTGTAAAGCAATTAGTATTTTGTACACGCAAGAAAAAAAAAGTATTCAATATATAATCGACAATAATCCAGATTCTTTTAGTTCTTGGTATGAAGACAAATAAGAATCTGATAGGACAGTAAAATAAAACGTACCAGGTTTGGCAAAGAAGAGAAGTTGATGCTGGTAATGAAACGGATGCGACTTTAGTAAAGGAGGAGCCAAAGCGCAAAACTCATGGAGCTGATAATCGCACTCTTGACACACGTACCTAATCCCTGCTCCTTCCTCTTTGCACCCTGCACACGTGTAGATATCCGGCAAATCAACCTTGACCAGCACGTGTTGGGGATGTCCGAAATGGACCATCTCTTCACCTTGTATCAGTTGAGGTGATGCTGGGAACTCTACTGACCGCAGACGAGGTTTTCTGTTAAGACCATTTGTGCCTACCACTGCGGCTGAGGCAGTAGTGTTTGAGGCCGAACGTCTCAGAGCTGCCATCGCGGTGATGTTGGACGTATCGTTCCTGGAATTGGAATTGATGACTATGGATTTGCTTCTCATCATTCTTCTTTTTTGAAAATGAAAAAATTTGAGTTGGTGGTGGTAGAAGTTATGATTGACTAGCTATACGGGTTTTATGGTTTGTTGTTGTTGTTGTTGTTGTGTGGTACGGAGGTGAAATTTGGAGTGGTGAAATTAAGGGGTGGAGGTGAGTGATTATTTATGGTGGGATAAAGATATTGGAAACTGTTTTAATTACATAGACAGGTTTTGTGATAGATGAGAAATTTAGTTGCTTTAGGGTTTCTAGAAAGAAAAGAAAGATGCTTTTGTGGACTTATTTGTCAAGTAATTACATGTGCATTTTACGTTACATTAAAGTACTTAAAACTAAATATGGATTTTATCGAGATTATTTGGTTCTCTTAATCGCAATGAACAACGTAATTTAGATGTCCCCGTATGCATGTATATATGTAAGCTTTTATCCTTTGTGCATTAGTCAGTTAGAGTTAGCTAGGAGTTGTAGCTATACTTCATTGATTTGTAATTTTGTATAGGTGTGGGTATTAGGGTATATAGCGCACACAGTAAAACAATTCCCTCGCGCGAGTATCTTTTGGATAGAAACCAAAAAAAAACTAGCTAATTAATCTTCCATGCTTTCAATTTTATTTTTTATTTAAACTTGACTTGCTTGCTTACTTTTTCTAACCTTAATAGTCGGCAACCACCACCGTATATACACTACTATACATTGGCAGACACTCTTTTGCCCATATTTATAGATTTGAGTATTTATTTTGTCTATAATGTCAAGATGAGATATATATATATATATATATATACATAATAGTGTGAGTTTTTAGTATAACATAACATTTTTTTACGTTTGAGTTTTGCCGAAGTTGGAAGAGAAAGTAAGATAAAGATTCTAATACAGTAGCCGATTTTTGGAAGTTAATTACATTTAAATTATCAACCAAAAAAATGCTTAGTTCCCTACCAGATCCGACATTGAAATATATCACAGAAATGTATTGGGACCCGATTTAATTCGTATTCCTCAGCGAGATCATACAAAACATATGTTGTGATGGTTTCCTAGCAAAACCCCAAATTATTATAAATCGAGCTCATTTATATACATAAATAAAATTTCCGTAAAAAAAAAAAAAAACAGCTCAAAAGGTTGTATTCGTTTATTCAATGGTAGAGATACAACAAAGTATATTACTAACAATACTCCAACTTAGGGTTTCATTTTACATGAATCATGAAAAATCTGAAAATTTCAACTATATATAAACAACTTTTATGACCACACTCAAAGGTAACCAAATCAGGGGTCCTAATTTATAATCTTCCCCACGACTCGATCGAGCGCTTCTCGGTACATGTTTATTGAAATTTAGAGAGATTGATCATTCCTTTATTACTCTTTTCCAAACATTTTTAGAAAAAGGAAGATAAATATTATAAGAAACAAAAAAAACTTTTCTGCTGGGTATGCGCTGTAAGGGAAGGAGAAGAGCATAAAAGAACAACAGAAGACTGACACTATGAGAAAGATTCTCACTCAATTAAAACACATCAAAACTTGACTATAAGTCTTGATTTGGCCAATTGTTTCCCTTTGCTCAACTCCACAAGTTATTCCACACTGTCATTTCATCTATGGATTAGTCATTATTGGATTTAATCATTCTTTCTCTCGATGATTACTTTCTCCATTAGACAAAAAAACCAAAAGTATATAATTAGGATAGAGAAGCGAATACAAGAATATTTATATATTAGCAAATACTAATAACAGTAGTTTTCTCTTTATTCTCATACATTGTTTCGGATAATGAATTCTTGAGCATATGCATATATATTGTCTAGACTCTAGATTATGCTTAGGAAAGGACGTCTTTTATAATAAAAATAAAATGTTTTGTTAGGTTATTCTGGTTTTACTTATTAGAACTGTAACTGAATCTGAATCTAAGATAGGTTATTTCACTTTGGCTCGGTGTGATAGAGAAGTAAGAGTCTAAATTCTAAGAGAGGTACTGTTAAACCTATTAAAGAGGACATACATAGTAATATAGATGATGATGACATATGTGAATTTGAAAGAAAAAGAAAAAAAAAAACAGATGAAAGTTTTATCATTGCAATTCACACACGCACGTTCTTGGTTATTAGAATTACGAACACTTATTTGTCATAGCGCAGCTCGATTCGATTGTTGGTAAGGTGAAAGGTAAAAATATGATTGAACTCTTACCAAAACATTGGTTTCGTTTTGTTTGCTACGGATTCTTTTCGTAATGGGTCTGCTAAACAAACTGTCACTCCTAATTATGATTAACAGATTATAGTAGTCTCTTATTGTTTTTGTTTCTGCAAGTTACCTTTGTGATTTTGGCTGTTAGTGGTATTTTTCTGATGGATGTTCATTGTGGGTATTGTTACATTAGATTTAAACCTTATAATCGTGTTATATCTTCATTTATTCTTGTACATGTATAGTCTTCTAGATCAGATCAGTAACTCACAATATTTCCCTTTGTTAGATATAATGTGAGTGTAAGCTGTTAAGCAGGCTTATTACTTTACAATTAATTGGGCTTTGAAAAGCCCATGATATGAATTTATATAATACAGGACCTGAGTTTAAGACCCATAAGGATGTAGCAAGCTCGAACTAGCCCATACAGATGAGGCTAACTCGTGGACGAAACGGCAGTTTCGTAAATATGAATTACTTGATAGGGATCGACGAACCTGGTGGCTGATGATACTGTTAAAGAGACACGTAGGATAGTGACTCTTGTCGGCTAAACAATGCTACGTGGCGTATATACTTTTCTAGGGATATCCTTGCCTGTATACTTGGTTCCTTTGAAAAGCTACTTCCTCAAATCGAGGACCTAACTCCGATAAATGCTGTCTCGTCGTATCTTCATGCGTATTCATAGTTTATTAGTTTCTCTGAGATTATATCATTCATTCATCTCCTTGGACCCTTGTCTTTACCCTTATACGAAGAGTCCTTTTTGAAATTTCAAGTGACAATTCCGAATTTGCAAAGTAACTTTCATATAATAACTCCTCACCATTTCGGAGGGTTAATCAGCCATATCACTATTCTGATGGTTATGCGTGGTTTACTATACGGATGTTTGTGGTTCGTTCTACATTTTTGTTTTCTTGTGAGTTCAAAATTATAAGATTATACTATTGAATTTATAAATTAATGTGTCTCCTAGATATTTTATTTAATACTTTTATTTCATAGTAAAAAAGTGCGTTGCCTAATTATATATTCATATCTAATCTACTATCATCACGACGTTGAGCTCTAATCTAAACCAAACCACAAAGTAATCAAACATTGTAATTTTCTAAGTTTGAGGATATAAATTTTCGAAGCGTGTGATTAATTAAGGGCCAAACATGTTTCCCATTGGCTCTTCTTCGCCACCAGAAGCAAGTTGCAAAAGCGAGTGAAGCACCCAAATATTAAACAATAAATCTTTTAAACCTAAAAAGTTAAAATATCCTTTTTATCGTGCTGCAAATTTCACTTTTAGTTGGTCATCCAAATTGTGTACATCAACCTTCGTTAAACAAATACATACGATTTGGGTAATGATACAAAGTAGACACACTAGTGGACCAGTCACGCCTAATAGTACCCACCAATGTATAATCAGGTAAGGATCGGTTCCATTTGTCCACATTCCCAAACGTAGAACAAGGAAAAAAAGAATAATACTTATAGTACGTGTGTCCAAAGCATGGGGTTTGGCTAATGTTCCAATTTGATTATATGGTTAACATTATCGATCCGGTCCATTCTTCATAGGACCAAATCTATATAAAGGTTGTTTGGATCCGAATAGGTCTTCATTTTCTCGAGTTCATGCATGATATAAATTCTTACAAGTTCAAGTTGCATGTTATTGGCCTGTACTAACTACTGAGACTAGTCTCTAGTTTTACCAACGACCCACGTGGTCAAACGGGTGAACAAATGTCACGTGAGTCACGTTCGTGCTATACTGTTTCAAGCCTCTTCACATTTTTTGTTTCTTTATTGCCAATTTTAAGAGATAAGAACACGAAAAGATGTCTCTTCCACTTTCCTCATCGCCGCTCTATCTATCTATGCTCTCACTTTCTTCTCGGTCGGATTTCTAATTACATTTTAAATATTAGTGCTCACATTTTTGTTCATATCTATTTCATGACGTGGATCACACTTCTCTTTTTTTTTACATGCTTATCTCCTTAATTACTATTACAGTATATGATAAACTCGTGATCAATCTTTCGAATTTCTTACAATATATTGAGAGTTGTAATTCGTAAAATAGGGTTTTAAGTATTGACAAATCATTAAATTTTAAGTTATGCTTATAAGTCCATTTTCTAGTAAGCAAAATATTGATTTAGGCTTCGAATGCAGATAGCGTTTCAGGCAGAGCAGATCAAGCAATTCAAAAATATAAAGCAGAACAAAAGCAGATCAAACAAACTAGCAGATAAAACACTCCAAATCTACAGCGTTTTTACTGTTCATAGTGCAGTACAATTTTCCTTTTAAATTTTGATCTGCTGGCAGGACAATTATTTTTTAATAATATTTTTTTTTCTGAACTGCACTTTATGTATTTTGTGTTGAATGGTAAATATACAGGACAGTATATTTGCTTGGCAGGAAAACTGCTTTTTATCTGCTTTTTATTGCTTTCCATTCAAGGCCTTATTGTAACATTCACGTTTCATTACCCGATAAAGTAATGAGATGCATCATTGCACATAATGACGTCTCAGTACAAAAGTCTCAGACTACTTGTTTTGACTTTCTTTTTTTCTTTTAACATGATTTAACTTTTACCAGAGAATCTAACATCTAGCTATTTTTTACTAGTAGAATATTTCCATTGTTATCCATATAATCTAGTCTCTCTACTTTTCAAAATCAGAGTTTTAACCATAAACGAACTTCATTTAATGTTTCTTGGATCACGTTAAGTAAACGTGGCAGCTCAACGCTGACCTACGACTCTATTATTAACCCGACGGCTCTCGATTGGCCACGAGTCTGAACGAGAGACGGGGCAAAAGCGTCCGACACGTCCCAAAAGAAAGAAAGACAAAAAAAAAAAAAGGATTAGACGAGAAGGCTCTTTCTCATCCAACGGCTCACATCTAACTTAGACTACTCTCTTCTGTCTCTTCTAATACCCGTTGATTTTGTCTATAGCTTTTCATCGCTCGCCACCTCTCTCCATTTTTATTATTTTTCAGTTTATCTCTTTAGGGAGTATTTATTTGTTGATCTGATAATTGTCTTAAAAAAAAACAATTTATTAGGATAATACTATTTGTCTATCTAATTCTGACCATTACTTAATTTCTATTTCTTATTTGACTTTTTCAAAATGATAAGTGTGGTAGTTCCTTTATTCTTGTTGTATCACTCTCAAGCGCTTAACTAGATTTGACATCCACATATGTGTTTGTCCGCTATATCGTACCTTTGAAAATTATATATATATTAATATATATACTATCCATTGACATAGCAAAATATCGTAAGTTTTTTTTTTTTGTCTTGGATAAAATATCAGAAAATGTCAAGAAATGTAATTATTTATCAACAATAATATCGCAATTTTTACCTTTTATTGTAACCTTTTTTTTTTGATGAATTTCTTAAAGGTCTTCTAGATGCACACTGAACAGACACGCATATTCACAGATACGTGCGTCTTTGGAGGACTTCAAAACAAATACTAAAAAATAAAGCAGAGATAATGATTTTTCCCAAATAAAGTAGTCAGAAAAATATAATTAAGGAACAAACAAAAAAGATACCTTTAATAATAAACAAAAATAAAACGTTATTATTTTAAAAATCTAATTTCCTATGAAATATAAACCGCATATACATATCGTGACCGCCTTAAGGAAAAAAAAAAGAAACAATAAAACCCTCTTTTTAATTTCTCTCATCCAGCAGCCGCTTTCACTTCCTTCTTCCTCTTCAATCTTCTCCTTCTACTTTCTTCTCGCAGGTTTTTTTTTTCTTTCTCTGTACACACTAGAGCTCGCAAATCTGGCAATCGAAAACCATCATCATAAACTTAACTTCGGGGCCTTCAAGGCCAATCACAAGAAAGTCATGGTGATGATTCTTCTTTTAACCCCTTTTTGTTTGTGTGTTTTGACTTATTATCATTCTCCAATTTTCTGATTTTTGGCTTCTGTGTACTCTCAGGGACCGATGATAAGAACAGAAGAGGAAGAAGACTGTACGAGTCCACCGTGGCTAATGCCAATGCTACGAGGGAGTTACTTCGTCCCCTGTTCGATCCACGTCGATTCAAACAAAAACGAATGCAACTTGTTCTGTCTTGATTGTGCTGGAAATGCCTTTTGCTCTTACTGTTTAGTCAAACATAAAGACCATCGTGTTGTTCAGGTCCAACATCTCTTCCCTTTTTTACCCCATTCAAAACTCTCTCATGTTTTTAAATGTATATTGAAATGAATTTGGTGTTTTATAAAATTTGCAGATACGAAGATCTTCGTACCATAACGTGGTGAGAGTGAATGAGATACAGAAGTTTATAGACATCTCCTGCGTTCAGACGTATATTATCAACAGCGCAAAGATTGTGTTCCTCAATGAAAGACCTCAGCCTAGAATAGGCAAAGGTGTTACAAACACTTGTGAAATCTGTTGCAGAAGCCTTCTTGATTCTTTCCGTTTCTGCTCTCTCGGCTGCAAGGTAACACACCACAAATCACTATTTTTTTTTCCCCTGTTTCCACCATTTTTGTCTTACAAAATTTTTCTATTAGTTTCATTAAAAAATAATAAAAATTTTCCTAAACCCATTCACGCATTTCACTTCTTAATACATAATTTTTTTTTTTTTTTTTAAAGTTTTGTTCATGATTCATTTTTGGATATGCTCTATTTTTGAATGTGACTTATGGGATGACTAAATTGTTGTGTTTTTGACTGTTGTTCAGCTTGGAGGAATGAAGAGAGGAGATTCAACTCTAACCTTCTCTTTGAAAGGGAAGCATGGTAGAGAGTACCAAGGTGGGTCTGAATCAGATGAAGCTACAACACCCACTAAGATGCGCAAGACCAATGCTTTCAACCGTTTGATGAGTGGTCTCTCGATCTCAACCGTCAGATTCGATGACTACGGTCAAGGTGGTGATCAACGGTCTTCAAGCTCTGGTGATGAAGGTGGTTTTAGTTTCTCTCCGGGAACACCTCCGATATACAATCACCGGAACTCAAGCCGACGAAAGGGTGTGCCTCACCGTGCTCCGTTCTAAAACAAAAGATAATTACCGAGTTTCAAACCCCATAATAATAATAGTAATAATTAATTAAAGTATAAATAGAATTATGGTATAAATACCAATACAAAGTGTAACAAGTCGGGGTGAAATTTAGGATGTAGTAATGTTGTAAATGGGCTACTCTCTTTTTTATAGTTTTTTTTTCTTTCTAAAAAGATAAAATAATTAGACACAAATACATAAATACATTTTTTATAAATATAGAAGAATTAGGGTTATAGTGAAAGTGTATGGTAATGTTTAGCTTGTTTAAAAGGTATGGCTTTGTATTGTGTTGTAATGTAATGTAATGTGTACATTAATTTTTGTTCATACAATAATGATAATATCAAGTGAAATGATATAGAACTAAACTGATGCGTTGTCTAAACTTCAACTAATCTCTTCACCATTTTTGTAACATTAAACAGTTCTAACTTATCCTGACTCGATTAAAAACTAATAGTATGATAATGTGTAACTGAAGTAATGTCGTCATACTTATAAGATAGTTTGTATATATAATAAAAAGTCGCAAGGAGTGTCACTGAAACATATAGTTTTCAAAATACTATTGATTGATTTGTTGTAGTTTGACGTAATCAAGAAGAATATTATAATAGTATACGCTAAGGAATATTTATTATGCAATATAAAATAAAGTAAGCATGCAAGTGGATAGAAGAGAAGAGAAAAAAAAATGAAGAGCCGTGTAGAATCCGAAAGGCTGCGATTCTCTCTCACCGTTAAGAGACGGGTGTTCATTTCTTTTTTTCTATGATCTCTCTTGTTATTGTTATTCAACATCATGTTTTTAAGCTCTACACTAATCCACGGAATCGAATAATTGGCAGATTTTTCTTTTTTATTGCTTAGACAATTTTTTCATGATTTTACTACAAGATAATGTTTTTAATAATGCAGTTTCGTAAATTATCCGACACACAAAAATCGTTTTCTCTGGCTGGTTAAGTCTATCCCACAAATTTATGATTTGGAGGTCATTTGTACAAGGTTTTTTCACACAATATGTTCTTCTTTAAAATCATCACATAATCCCTCTCACAATTTTAGAGTCGTCTGGTCCATAATCTCTCTCAATTTGGGAATACAGATTTTCATGTTTATCATCAAGATTTTAACATCAAAACATTACTGGAAAGAGGCAATCTCTTATACATATTTTTAACATTTATATTTTTTGTAGCTTTCGTTTATCAAAACCCGTAGTTACACAAAAATATTTGTGATCAGAACAACTGAAAATGTGTGCTTGTTTAAATTTAGTAGTTACCCTAAGAAAAACAATTGTGGAGGCCACCACAACAAATGTATGCATTTGGATCTCAGTTCAAATCTTTGAATAGAAAGAACATATTAGAACAAGAAACTTCAGTATTTCTTATTCATTTGGATAGAACCTTATGCTATTTCAAAACTATATTCTTGCCAAAAAACAAAACATGTATATACAAAACTGAGACTATAGTATTGCGGCCAAGGACGATGGCTCTGCCACGTAATCGTAGACAGCCCCCACCGGCTTAGGCAGCGACCGAATAAGAGGGTACTACTGACTTTTCGGTCGGACTTCGAGCCAGTTGCGCATCCTCGTCACTCGGACTACGACACGTGTCGAGTAAACCCACTAAGAATACGACACGTGTGATGAAGAGTGTGAGAGGGGGACCAACGTGAGAGACCTTGTGTGTGTGTGTGTGTGGAGTTATCTTGTTCAGTCTCCCAAGACGTTAAGTAATCAATAATATTATTATTAATGGGAAAGCCTAGCGACACGACAAATGCTGCTGGGATAAGGATTTGTTTGTGATGATGTCTTTAAACTATTCCCCCTCTATTGTTTTTAGTGTCGCTTTCGGAATTGTGATATTTTGTTTGTTTTTTGTAACTTTACTTAATGTGGAATATAAAGTACTATAATTCTTAATAAACTCTTAATAGTTATGATCATAATAGCGTTAGCATATAAAATAAAATTTCTAGTACTACTGACAATTAAGAGAAGACACAAAAGTTTGAACTATTTTTCAGGTTTCACAAACACATTCACACATTAGGTGATTGTTTAAGTTCAGTTCACATTATGTCGGAACTGAACCCCGTTACCGTTCTCTCTTTGTCTCATAACCCTATTATTTTCGATCTACGAAAATTACGATGGAAGCAAGAGTGTCCATAGTATACATAAAAATACTGACCTATTCACTATTGTATAGAAACAATTGTAACGAAAGCTAAACCTTATACATCAAAGTAAACTAGAACGCGCGGATATGTTCTGTTATTCATAATTAAGGCTTGGTTCGTGGACCACGAATTACTTATTGGTCTCTTTATTGTTAATTGTCTTGTATTCTTTTGGATCATGTTTTATCAATTTAGATATAAAAAGCAACTCTCGGATATTATATTTAGTTTGATCACCAAGTCATTCATACATTGGTTATATACATATACACTACAAAAAAGGTAGGCAAGGATAGTTTTCAGCATGGGGCCATATGTGTATAAGCTAAGGCCATTTATGGTCCGTGGGTTTCCATCTTCTTAAAAAACTCATATTATATCTATAGATCACGACGAAATTTATATATCTCTATATATATTCCTCTGAGGAATGTTATTTTCATACCTAGATGTATATATAAACCAAGTTCGACAGTGAATGACTTGTACTTTGGTGTGCTTCTGCAAACATCTACTATATGTAAATTGACGTTTGTGGGTGGAGAATTTGCAACTAACTGACAAATTTTACCAAAAAAAGTTATACATTGACAAATAGTTTTTTTTCTGTTTAGATTAATTAGCAAGACTCTCTATCAATTTTCCATGAATTATAATCAGCTACGTGGATTGCCAAAACGTTTATAATAAAATAGAATTTCGAAACAAAAGGTTTTACTAGAAAATAAATAGTGTGTTTGAATGCTGCATGTGAAACAAGAATGGTCGAAATAAATTTCTGAAATATTCGTCTCTAATGTTTGATACGTTCTAGTTGGAGAAAAAAAAAATAGAAGAAAGTTAACTTTTCGTACATTGATACAAGGAGGCATAATCATAAAGAACTGTATACTTCTTTTTATTATGACAAAATGATTTTTTGTGTTTTGTGTGTGTTAATGAAAACTAGATCTTTGTATATATGAGGACATTCTAGAGTCATGAAACAGACATTGGTTGAACCAAAAAGTAAGATGGAGACAATTGGAGAAGAGATACAAATTCTCAAGGCCATGTTCTAGGAAAAATCAAAGCACCTGTATTATATTTATAAGTATCGATGGGCTTCAAGAGAAATTAATCATCATCTATAGAAAACTTATACAAGCCCATTGGACTGGTCCATTTTGCCTCAGATAATAAATGGGCCTTCATAACCCCAACTCTACGCTACCTCCATATGGAACATGTTCAGAAAAATATCGGAGCTTATAATTAAGTGCAAGTTATCAACACTAAGAATATATATATATAAACCAGAATTAGGAATACTTTTGGTAAAGGAACAAGGCGACGTGTGACAAGGTCCTGTCCACAAAAAAGATGGCTTATATATCTGCCGTCTTATTTGGAGTTATTTTTCTAGTTGTTAATTGTTTTATTTTGTTTTTGATATGATAGATATGTTGTTATTAAATTCGAATTTGTCGGGCAAACATGTGAACATCGTCAGCTTAATCAAACGACATATCGCAAACCACATTAACTTTTCTGGTCCCTAATTATGATGTTTAATTGATTTGATGCGTGTGAAGATTTGATCTCATGTGGAATTTCTTGTGAATTAATTTTGTGCACACGAAGTTGCTGCAACAACGTGCCAGGTGTGCCCGTATTTGTACAAACTGACGCACACACATAAACGAAACTATACGTAAATGTGTATTTTAGTATTACATATATAAGCAATCAGTTTGATCCATATAATCAAACTGTAGAACAAATTTCAATACATTTATTTGCTCTTACACACAGATTAGTTTATATATACAATACTACTGACTTTAGATATCTGTTTTTTGAGAAATTTTAAACTTTTTTATTGCAGATGATATAAAATGTGTGCTTTTAAGTACGTCGCTAATTAGATAAATGCGTGAAACACCGACACAAAGAAAATTAAACACCGTTTAAAGACAAATGAATATGATTAGTATGTTTTACTTAACATCAATTACTATTTCTCTGAACATCATGTCTAATATTGTCCATTAGATTTGACTAGACTCTACGTCTCTACCAATTGATAATCTCACAAAACCGAGAATAAATAGCACTATTAAGAGACAATCGAGAAAATAAAACATATATATAGGTTGATAAAGTAACTTATATTTGGAATTTTCTTATTCATATGGAATTTTCTTATTCATATTTATTAGGTTCGATTCGTCCTGTATAAATAACAATTAGTTATAACTATTAGGGATGAACATTTTAATCTTACTTAATTGAGTGAACTAGAACTAAACCAAACGTAAAATAACCTTGGTTAGAATCGAGTTTATATATAGTTTTAATAGAACATTACTAACCAAATTGAACTAGATGTATAATATGCTAAAGGCCAAAACGCATTCCAACAAAATTGAAATGAACTGGCTGACATAGATGTGGTCAAAGGGTTAAAGCTCATTTATATATAGATTTACTAGAATCAAACTATATATTTAATCGAACCCAACTCAAAAAAAAAAAAAAAAATACACAAATAATAAAACCGAAATACCGATCGATAATAACATCTCTATTGTATACTACATGCCTAGGCACCTACAAGTTTATTACTTGATTTGTGTTTTGAAATAATATTGTACGGCGTTACATACCCGAAAAAAGGAAAGTTATTGTAGCGTAGGTCGTAGGGTATGTGATATTGTTTGTTTGACCGTATATGTAAGTTCTACTCCAAACTTTGAAGTTGGTAATGGTATAGATACTCCGTCGTCACATCCAGAAAATTTATGTCAAATGTTAAATGTTGAACTTTACTGCAAAAGTATATAAAAGAAAGGTTCAATTTAAATCACGGGTATACGTATTTATAGATAGCTAGCTCGGTCTACCAAATAAGTCAACGTGTGAACATGTGAAGCCTGTTTGATTTATTATGCATGGCATGCGACCCGTTCGAGTTGACATGGTTCGGCTAAAAACTGAAGATATTTTCTTTACCATGTTGAGTTTTGTTGACCAAAACAAAAGTACGTAAGTACGGCTCTCTCCACTGCAAGTTACTATATAATTACTATAATGAGACACTAAATAACACACAGCTGGATAAATTACAAAATTTGACTGCCGACAAAAAGAAAATTACAAATTTGACTAACCTGGAGTATAATTTATACTCCCTAATTCTTGTATTAAGTTAATAAACTGCCGCCAAAACAAAAAGTTGTAATAATGATGTTGACTCGCACGTGCATGAAAGTTGTAAAAGTTTATGATATTTTTCCAATAAAAAATGCATGGGTAAATTAAATAAAATTACGTTTTTAGCTAAATTTGAAATTTGTACAGTATCAATACGTGAAAGTCAAATACAAGTTGCGGTATTGGGGTTTCAACAGGCCACTTGTCATGACTTGCGACTGGGAGCCGCGTGGTACGTTCCAACGGCGTCGTTGCTTATTTTGCTTTCAGATTGTCCCATCCATCTTTTTTTCATTCTTTTCATTTCCCACCTTTTTTTGTTAATTACACGCTTGATTACTATCTAAATCTAATCAAACTATATAAATAAGTATCCCCGACTAAGGAAATTTTGCTTTCTTTTGATCTTGTAGACTGTAGTGATACTATTTTCTTTTACATTTTTTTTTCATTTACAACTAGTCATAATTCTTCATTTAGTGTATATATAGTGAAGTTGAAAACGACATGATCGTCTACTTAACTTATAAATTTGGGAATTGGGGCGATCCAGAGAAATCATAATTAAGAGCATTCATTCAATTCAAAGAAATTTTTTTGTTAAGTTAAATATTGTTACGCACACGCACTCGTATACATGACCACAACTTATATAATTATGTATACTGTCAATATATTTAGAATCTATATGTAGAAATTCAATCAAACCAGAAAGATTTTTAGGACATATATATGTTGACAGTATATATATATATATACAACTCATATAGTAACAAGATAAATAAAATAATATGGGAGTAATTAGGTCATGAAAAGGAAAGTGAATTAGGAGGTATATAACAAAGGAAAGTTTATATTATGTCCTTTTTTTAACTATGCGTGACAAAAATCTACTTAATGGACAGACGACAGAGAACAAACATAAACCTACCGGTTCAAAACAATCAAACCGTAACCGGTTTAGTAATTTCAATCTTTTTTATTATGGATCACACACAAACCGGATTTATCATCCCCCTCTCCAACTTCTATAAATAACCCTACCATGACCGACTCTCTTAGACGCGTTCGTATCATAAACACATTCACTTAATCTTCATCTTCTTCCTTTACTCTCTCTCTCTATCTGTATCATCTTCAACCATAATGGGAATCTGTGTATCGTTTAACCGGAAAGATTCAAATGCATCACCGACGGTGAAGATCGTGACAGTCAACGGCGATCTACGTGAGTACAATGTTCCAGTGGTGGCATCTCAGGTTCTTGAAGCCGAATCAGCTGCAGCTTCTTCATCTTCGTCTTCCTCTAGATCTTCTTCTTATTTCATCTGCGACTCCGACTCTCTCTACTACGACGACTTCATCCCGGCGATAGAATCTGAGACGCCGCTTCAGGCCGACCAGATCTACTTCGTCTTACCGGTTTCTAAACGTCAGAACCGTTTAACGGCGTCTGATATGGCCGCTCTCGCCGTTAAAGCCAGCGTGGCGATACAGAACTCCGCCGGGAAAGAGTCTCGTCGGCGCAAGAAGGTTAGAATCTCTCCGGTGATGATGTTGACGGGGTCTAACGATTCCGTTAACGGAAATGGGAGTGAATCGACGGTTAAGAAGGGACGGCCGTTTGTGAGTGGTTATAAAACCGCGCCGTTTAAAGCTTCGAGTGGTTATAACCGGTCCGGTTCGGTAAGTAATTTGAGAAGATATACTTCTAAAAGAGCTAAGCTGGCGGTTCGATCCTTTAGGCTGAAGCTTTCAACGATCTATGAAGGCTCCGTCGTTTAGATTTGTTTATTTATCAAGTTGCTTTCAATTTTGAGGAACCAAATAAATTAGAAAACAAAAGAAAGAATGAAAAAATATATTAGAAGAAGCATATATACTTACTTATTTTTTTGGTTTGTTACAAACTGATGATATAGTTTTTTTTTCACGAAGAAAACATTTGTATATTTCTCCTTATACGCTTGATTGTATATTTTTGTCATGTACAATCATATATGTTTACCAACAAGAATTTATAATATATGATTTATGATTTTTCTCAGTTTAGTGATCCTAACCATACGGTCACTAGACTGATGATTGTAAATCTATAATGTGGCTCTTCTTTTTTTTATCGAATGTTTAAAAGTTACGTGAAAAAGTATAATCTGATGCTAAAGTTACGTGAAAAAGGTATACTCTGATGCTGAGTTTGTAATATTGAACAACCTTTTGAATTGTATGTAAAGTGAGCTTTAATTAGGCTTGGGAGGAAGCATAACAACTATGTAGTTTCAATGACGGTTAAAATTAAGGTGGAAATTGGAAAATGTATTTAACTAAAATCTTGGCTTCACAGCCAAGGAAATTTTACTCAAAACATTTCTAAGATACTTATTCAATATCATTAAAGTAAGCAGTTATTCTATGCAAAATTAAAATCAAACTTTGAAATTCAATTATAGCTTTTAAAGAATCTCGTAAGATTTTATATTATAATATTTGCAAGGATCCTTTTAACCTACTTATCATTGTCGAGAAGATACCAAATCAATGATACTTACTTTTAATTCGTTGAATACAGTTTGATGTGTTGTTGATGTGTCGATCAAATCCTTATTACACATGTTGTGTGTGAAAAAAACCAATGTCAATTTTTAGTTGTTGACTAAGACGTCCTAGTTATGTTAGTCCTCTCTAAGCTATGATTTATATATGTATATAACCAAAGAAATTTTACTAGCAGGGAATTACTTATGGTATTACAAGTGTAGACCTTGTAGAAGTTTCAGCAGCTTTCGTGTTTGATGAACCTAGTGACTAAATTTGACAATGTAATATAAACTAAAAAAAACAATAAATATATGACGTAAACAAAATAAATTCATATAAAGTACTATTCAAATGTGTGTTGATTCTAAACAGAGACGTGGTGTGAATAAAATATAGATTCCACTAGGGAGTATATATGAAACCACGTATGGTTTGAAGCGGTATTATATGAACATCGTGGAGGCTTGAATTGGTGATTTGTTTGAACGTTAAGAAATCAACATTCATTATTTTCGCTCTTAAAATAGCAAGTCCTCCGACATGACTGGCTAACAAATCTCCGACAAAGACAGGTTGTATATGGAGGCGACGATGTCATTAATTAACTATATCATATTACTAGATTAAGTTACCATAAACGTGCGTCATAATAGAAAAATAGATAATTATGTGGTATATATGAAGTCTAGATTTATTGCAATGGCTTCTATATATACTTTTTTTTTTTTTTCTGAAAAAGTAAAATATGAATATGGTACAAACTGTTGTATTTTACCACACAGGTTTGATCGTATTTGTCCGTTATATAGCTAGACATGTTGTTAACAAGTTTTTTACAATGAAAAATAAAAAGAGAAGATAAAAAAGAGCTCCTTTGGTAGGTTTTACAATGTGTAGAGAGAATAGGCCTATGTTGCCACGTATGATAAGATGATCGTTGGTATGTACCGAACAAAATTTGGCGTCAAGTCTTTTAGACGAGTGACCAAATCGCCTTATTGGACCTTCCTTATTGAATCCGTTGATTAGACTAGAATGTCAACTCTCCTTCGTTTGTAATCTGTTTTTGGTTTTTTGGTTTTTTGGTTTCTAGGTTTGCTATCAGTTTTGGTGATTCAACAGAAATGCGTAAAATTTTCAATAGTTTATGAATAGTTTCCTACGTTGACCAGAAACCATTAGATATTCTCCTATATAGTAGTTTTGAAATATGGTTCCGGTTGGATAAGCTTGAAACTTTTTTCCGATGAACATATTTCAAACTTATAATTAATGTGCATAGCTCACATGCGACTTTAGAAAAACATATCGATACCTTTTTCCATATAAAATCAAATCTGGTCTTGATATTGAAAATTTAATGCGTATTATATTGGGATGGCTATCCTCCACATATTGTTAAAAATTTAGCTTGTTATCCCAAAAATCAAACTCTCATTATTGATTCTAAATATATAAATACATATTTTTTTATAAAAATAAATCTTTAAGACTTCCATGTATTGATTGATATAACTAGAACACGATATAGTTTTGTTATGAACTACACAATATATACCATTTTACCAACACAAGACGCACACGCACTTCTAGTTCTTCTTATACGAGTGTGAATTTGTAGCAAAATTAGGTAGAGGGGGTAACAGTTCTGCGACATATAGACCGTCATTGACGGGGAAAACAGAAGAAGCAAAATCCAATACGAAAACAAATCAAATCATACATTTGGTTTCCATTTCATTATTCATAAACCTTTTTGAGGAAAAACACACAAAATAAGCAAATAACGATACGTACGAAAGCAAGCTCAATCGTAGATAAAAAACCCTTTAGTAGTGAAAAACAACAACTCAATCATTGATTAATTGATTTCCCTTTCGTGACAAAAACCATACAAAACAAACGAATATTTCTCAAGATTTGCATGAAAACAACTTCAGGCACGACTTGTCCTTCAGATTTGCTTAACATCACTACTGTAGACCCTAGCCAAGTCATCCGAGTTGAACATATTCACGAAATGACCACTACAGGAAGAGAACCATACGTTGATATGTGATAATAACCATTTAACGAAAAAGCAATATGCAAATAACTAGGGAGGTTGAGATATTTTGTAGAGAAATTAATAGAATATGCCTATTAATTTTCTTAATTCTTTCATCTATTTTGTTCTTACTGATTCTTGTAATAATTTCGGGTCTAGACAGAAATATATATATTGATATTCTGTAGTGAATTTTATGAACACAAACGATAGTATATATTAATTATATAATGATGCAGTTCTAAGAAGAATAAGTTAATTTGAAAAGTGAGTTTATAAAAGGGATTATCTAAAAATGTCAGATTTATAAGAAAAATTGGAGTAATGGCTTAGTTAATGTTTTTGGGGGCGGAAGGGTTTCACTTTCAATATCGCTGTCTAAACAAGCAATTATTTTCAATATGTATTATAGTTATCGTTAGCTTTCGTCAAGATTTGTCATGGACCTTTGATTTGTTGATAAGATCTCGACTTTATCTATTTTGAATGATACATAGGCTCTTACACTCACGTGGATATTGGGTGGATTCAAAAATTTGTTCTGTTTTTGCATAATAGGAGATGAACCTCATATTATTGGGGGGGGGGGGGGGGGTACATAACAATATTATTTTTCTGGAAATTGATTTCCAATTTGAAAAATACTTGAAATAATAATTTAGGATGCTGGTTGGCTTATCATCGTCGTCTTTTAATTCAAAGTTAAGCTATTTTCGGATTAAAGTAAGCAAGTAATATACGTCGAACTACATTAATGTATATGATAATCTAAACATTATAGATTTCTAGTCTATAGACCTTCACCTTCCTTCATATATGAAAAGATGTTTGTGTTAAATTATAAGAAAAACAGCATACAACGATGTTTGTGTATAATTTTTACGCGCAAATTAGACTGACTAGGCCCATTATCGTACCATGCAACATTTTACTCTCGGCCTCGCATAGGTCCATTAAAACACTGTACATATTATATTCAACGTACATAGATATGGGAGGAAAAAAAAAAAACACATATCTTGAAACTCATGCAAAATTGCAAAGAAAAAAAAAAAGAAACAAATCAGCCTTATAAAAAGTTAACGTCATATTTACTGGTAAACAGTATTACGCTTAAGTCTTTATTATAAACCACTTATCTTTTACCCTAAATTTTTGGATTTACCCACAAATCTTTTCTTCAGGATTTAATACAATCCATGAGCATTATGGTTCAGTATTCTGGATATGATCAGAAATCAACTAGATCACCTTCTTTGTTGACATTTATATGGCTTTACGATACATTCAGACTCATGGTACTTGGTAGTATCCCTCTCGAGGAAAAAAAATTTGTATCTTGATCCAGAGAACTTATATGTGAAGATTTCTTGATCTGTGATTTCAAACTGACTTCACACTCGAAAGAACTGCCATATATGAACCATTTATAAGTCATATTATCCTTACAATACTCGTTGGATCTTTCATTAATAAAATTTGAGTATCTAACAATGATTAACGAGTGATTCGATTTAATTAACTAACGGATGGTTCGATTTATTCGGCCGGTAACATTCTCCCGGCCACTATCTCTAAAACCTACTCAACGAATGATAACATTGTTTAGTATGATGATTCAACTATTATATGCCTTGATTGATATAATTTTTTTGTTCATGTATTAATATCATGGCATCACATGTATTTCATTTACCAGTCAATGTGGCTTTTGGCCGGTCAAAATATGTTTAAAATATAAATATATTGATTAGTTACTAGTTAGTATGTATTTAGAGTCCATTAGCTGAGGCTGAGTGTACATTATTAAACATTTTCATGCCATCATGCATGAAGGCATTATATTGTCATAAAAATAAAGCTGCCCACTAATCATATCTTATATACAAATCTCAGTTATTAGCTCTATGTGTCTACATTGTTGCAGTGGTCAAGACTCAAGAGTGTGTTGATAATGTTAATTAATAATTTGAATTATTATTATTTTAAACCACAGAAGGAAGAAAGTAGAACTAACACTTAGAAAGTGGTTGATTACAATAATTACAATAATTTTAAAGCATGTCCCCCCCCCCCTCCAAAGTATGCCGTTAATTTGACTAAACCACTCAAATAATGCTGACCTCTCAATTATTTTTGGGTTATCATGCTTATCTCTCAAAACAACCATCGTATTACAAGACGACAAATATAATTTTAAAAATCGTTTAACGATATAGTTACTTAGTTAGTGTCCTTAATTAGAAATCTACATAAGGAAAAATAATTAGGTTTGAGACAAATAGCAAAGAGAGAAATAAGACCCTATTTATTTAGGTAGTGGACATTTGGGCGGTGTTAGGGGTCCATGGTTACATGTGTGTCCTTACTACTCGTAAGGCCATGCATCTCCAATGGGACATCAAAACATCATTTTAGTGTAATCTTTAATTTGTACCCAAATTGACACCAAAAATCGCACTCTTTCAACTATATCCATTTTTTTTTCACTAAGTGAAGATCATAATAAATATCATAGAACATGTTTATTCAGGGATTATCAATTGGCGATATTAATTTAGCTATGATGAAAATGTGTGATACAGGATCTCTGTTAAAGTTATACGCTATGAAACGTAAGCCGACAATCTCAGTGAAAGGATAAAAAGTGATGATGCGAAAACAAAGGATTCACAACACTGGTTTTCATGTTTTTCCCTTTTTCATATGATCCAAAACCATATAAAGTTAATGTGCCATGCATGTTTGTTATCAAATCATTTATCTTGCTTTACTAAACGTTAAATTTAATATAAGAAAGTATATAAGTTACTAAATAGTAAGTATTGGCTTTGACTTGTAGGCGTAAAAACTGATTTTAATTTGTAGTAACACTTTTCACTTTTGTTTAAGTTGAATCTTATTATTATTATTATTTTTTTTTTTTGGTAAAAAAGTTGTCTCTAAATTATTTTAACAGTAGCATACATGAACGTCGTAAAAAACAATTATAAATTATTTTTGGATATGTGAACTGTTTTTGGATACTCGATCTTTTCGATCGATGTTGTTTAGACTTGTATATGTTTCTTCTTAATTTCTACTTTTTATGAATAGATCAAATATTTTATGAAGAAAAACTTCAGAACCCTAATTGAAATGTCTATTTAAAACTAAAGAGAAAAATTGATTGGTAAAAAATTCAATACCGCCAAACAAAAACTTGATTGATTATAGAGACTGGCTATGAAGAATTTAGTAGAATTGTACAACTCTCATCATTATCTATTTCTAATCACCTTGTTTGTGGTTAAGAAGTCAATTTATTATTAAGTTAATCAATAAACCCCATAGTTTAATCTTTAAACTAAGAAAAAGAATCTAGGGTGAGTTAAATTTATAGCCATAGATGAATAAAAAATAAAAAGTATATTATCAATAACAAGAAAATTAGTTCTCTCACCTTGTCTCTTATAAGATTACGAAATTGCCCCTACTTTAGCTGTTAGATGATTTAATAAATTGATTATGGTTCCTATCTATACTGACAAAGATACGAACAACTCCAGCATTTAATGATGTTGATGATATCTACAAATATATACAGTATCATTCTGTTTAGTTGATATTATTCTGTTTAGTCGATAACTCTATATGACAATTAGTATTCTACTGAGGTAACAAGTGTTGTCTTATAAATAAAAAATTGGTATTAAAAACAATAAAGTATTCACTAATTGCACACTTGACTTTCTAAAATAGTATATAGACATAAGCATAACATTTTGGATAGTGGATTACAAAAACATTAGAAGACTACGTATTTGTTATCAGGTAAAAGAGGCGAGTTATATGATCATCATAGGGTTGACACCTTGTCCATCTTTTAATGAGAAGTGCAATGTAACCAAATTTAAACATGTTAAATAATCTGTTATCGTAGTAATTTACATATTATCCGTTAAATTAATATTTATTGCTATAAAAATGAAAATTAATATTTTCTGACATTATATATCAAAAACTGTTTCTTTCGCCTACTACTACACTGTTTAGAAATACAATTTATCACCAAAAAACAATAAAACAAGGATGTATATGAATATATAATAAATAATTTAACTACATAATTATACGTTTATCGAATAACATATAAGTTATAGTGGTAACATAAGGTTTATTATAAATAATTTAACTAGATAACTATGCATTTATTAGATAACTTATAAGCAGTAAATGAAACTTACGCCACGATTTGTAGATAAGAAACAAGAACCATAAGACTCACTCAATTCACAGATAAACATGAATTACATATCGGTAAGGATCTGGGTTAATCAAATCAAATCAAATCTGATGAACTATCATAAAACCCTGATAAACACAAGATCCACATCAAGAACACAAAAAGTGTAATTCAATTAGAAAAAAAAACTTGAACAAAAGCTTCGATCTTTGAATTGAAAGAACAGTACAATACATATCAAACTTAGCACAAAAAAAGACACTTCAAATCCTTAGATTTGGTACACATAGAGAGAGAAAGATGGGAGAGAATGATAGAGAGAGAAAGATGGGAGAGAATGATAGAGAGAGAAAGATGGGAGAGAATGAGAGGGAGAAGAGTTAGAGATGATAAGGTTAAAATGGTCAGAAAAAATGAGAACTAAATAAAAAAACATCAATGACAAATACTTAATAAAACAGTCAATAAAGGTCATCAGTTACAATTTCCCAAGAATCTATACTGTTATGGATTCAAAAGATTGGACTGCATGCAATCTTACTTAGACTGATGTGATATCTATGCTTTATATTTACTTTTGTATGTAATAATCTGTGGTTGTTCTATTATTTAAGTGTTTGTGGTTAACAAAAAAAAGTACTACTATTATTATCAAAATATAGAAAACCAAATAAAGTTAACATTCGAATGTAAAATAGTACAATATTGATGACTAATAGTAATATCTTGCAACTTCATCAATGATATTTTTCTTTTTATGATTTTAAACTCAATTTCTTCATTTTCCGGGACTGGTTTTGAAAAAGAAAAATTATTCTTGAAATGATTATAGAGTTGACTATCCTGTGGTATTACTAGTCAACATGAAACTACATGTAGTATGTTATTAGTCAATAAACTAAAAAATCAAAATATTTTTGTTAGAGTCTCTATAATATCAACTTATAATTAAACTATGTAGATGTATGAACGTTCTTTTAGTTTTAATTTCCTATAAATATTAAGTCTAATTTGGATATTAATATAAAAAACAGGGTTAATTAAGTCTTATATATGAAAAAGCTAAATATGATCTTGAAAATTATCTTTCTCAAGGTGCCATATGCTATGAATATTTCTAATATTTCTTGTGAAAGTAGGTTAAACGCAAAACTATCATGAATCGATTTAAGCAATGATTAAAAAGATCAGCATCTTAAGAAATGCTATAAAAAACACAGGAGCATGATTGGCTTTTAATCATTGCTCTATGCATGCTTGGTCTTAGGCCCTCACGCCCTATATGCGTCATTCATTATTTCTCATGTTACATTTTCTTGGTAAAAGTATATATCTTGCCCAAAAAAAAAAAAAGTATATATCTTTTTGCAATGACAAACGAAATCATATATCTTTTCATGAGCACTAAAACAGTAGAAAAATAAGAAAAGATCCCAAGTGCTTGATCAGTTTCCTAGCGATTTAATATAAGTGAAAAATATGAGTAAGCAGGTAATTGGAATTGTATTTCCCAAACACGATCTAAAGCAAATATAAACCCGAGTCTGAGGGTTTTTTTTGATAGGGTTAGAGAATATTTTTACTATAGTGTTACTCAATTGACTGTGAAACAACAATTAGCAAACCAACAAACCAAAAAAAAACAGAAAGTGAAAAAAAAGTAGGAAGGGGTAAAGAGGGCGTGGGACTTCACTTGGACTGACGCACGCGCACCATTCGCTTCCTTCCAAACGCACTGATTGGATATTACATTAACATATTTTGGTCCGACTCGTTTTTATATTACGACACGTTGACCCACACCTTCCTTTGATCCTTCCTCCACATTCCACTGCCTTTCTCTCTTTTTTTCTTCCTTTGTTCTACTTCTATAAGACTTCTAGTAGTATATGCTCCAAGATCAAGAGGTTCTCGATCTCTCTCGGTTCTGAAATTATCATATGAACTTTAATTTGTAACTATAGGGTTTTAAAGTTACTACTATATATATCATAATAAGAATTTAGAGAAGGAGCATATGACGAATACTTCCTTAAACACACAAAGTTGATGCATGTCAATTTTACACGTCATTGCACTTCGAATTCTACCTTAGTTTATGTATTCTTTACTTTTTCCCAATATCTTAACCGTGATGATCTTGTGGCTGGATTCAAATGCACAAATAACCATGAGTACAAATCATTTTATAAATAAGCTCACTTTAATTGAAGTTTGCACTACTAGGCCCAAAAAGAGATATAAAGCATATACTATACTAGTAATATTAATTAAAAATATATAAAAACAAAAATAAACAAAGAAAAGTCTCCACTCTCCATTACCACCAGTCACCAACCTATACATATATGCCATCAAACTTCATCATCTCCTTCACCAAAAACAAACTCAACATTCTTCTCTTCTTTAACTTTCACTCTCAAGTCTCAGCTTAGCTTTAAAAAAGAGAGAGAAAAAAAAACACAAAAATCATGAGAACAATGGTTGATTTAGGAAAGCAAAGAGATCATCACTATCATCCCATGCAAATCATAACCACTCCAACCACCGTCGATTGTGCCCGTGAATTCCGTCTCCGACGAACTCTCCGATCACTCATCGAATGCATGCTCCCATACTGTTGCACTTACCAACAACCACCTTCTCCTTCATACCAAAACGACACCGTCTCAGTGTCTTCTTCCACTTCCTCCTCTTCCTCTTCAGACCACTCCTCCTCCACCTCTTCCTCCCATAGTAACAGCATAGTAAGTGGAACTTTCTTCGGCCACCGCCGTGGCAGAGTCAGTTTCTGCCTCCAAGACTCCACGGCCGTGGGATCTTCGCCGCTTCTCCTCCTCGAGCTAGCTGTTCCCACGGCGGCTTTAGCCAAAGAAATGGACGAGGCAGGTGTTCTACGCATAGCCCTCGAGTGTGACCGTCGTAGAAGCAGCAACAGTCGCTCGTCGTCGATCTTTGATGTTCCCGTGTGGTCGATGTATTGCAACGGTAGGAAAATGGGATTCGCCGTGAGGAGAAAGGTAACGGAGAACGATGCCGTTTTCTTGAGGACGATGCAGTCTGTGTCAGTCGGAGCCGGAGTTGTGCCGTTGGACGAGGAGGAGCAGACGCTGTATTTGAGGGCGAAGTTCGAGCGAGTCACTGGTTCGAGTGACTCCGAGTCGTTTCATATGATGAATCCGGGTGGTAGTTATGGACAGGAGCTTAGTATATTCCTTTTAAGATCGTGAAAATTAAGTACGGTGGTTTTTACTATTATATTTCTATAAATGTACATCTTAAACTAAAATCATCAATATAGTGATATATGCAGTTTAATCATTTTTTCCCTAAAACAAATAAAGAGTTCTTGAGATAGGGAATTGGGGTATTGTTTAATTATGATCTCTTTAAATCAATTAAACGCAGAAATCATTCTTATGAAATGGTGGATACAAAACAATATAGTAGTGCTTTACCAAAATAAGAAAATAAACAAAATAATATACAAGTACGTACTGGCTTGGGTTTCATGCTTTTGGGCGAGGTATAAATTGATCCGCGCACACACACTTTACCATTGCAAAGTTTTCATAGGAAAAAAGTACTGATTAAGTTCCTCAGAGAATATAAGCCTTGTGTATAATAAAGTTTTTAGAAACATAGCTAGGTACCCAACAAGGCAACAACTGAATTCTGAAGTTACCCAATAATGTTCCGTAGCTTTGAATTTAATTAATTAGTTTGTAGAAACTTATAATGTTTTAAGTCGTACATAAGGGAATGATCATAATGACTAAATATTTTGGTAGGTAAATTGAAAAGGAGAGATCAGAGAGACACCAATTTTGGTTCTTCAAGACAGAATTATGCTACGATATACATTTTAAATTTTATTTTTCTTTTTTAATCTACTTAAGCATATCCTCGTATTAAGACTAACAAAACTAAATATAATCACCAAAATGGTTGAACTAATTGCTGGATTTGATCGTTATGAATATGAAGTTCTTCCAAAATCTCAAGTGACCATCGAACATGTCAATTGCACTTATAAACTGTGCCTCGTGAACCTATCCATGCTAAAGTAATATTTTGCGACTGCGACCAAACTGGATCGTGGATCTTGGTTTTAGCTTCGGGTGTCTGGTTCGGTTCCAAATCAGTGTGCCACGGTAGGACCTCTCTTTTAATTTCCATTTCTTTTTTAAAAAACTTTTGTCTCTTTGATCGCACCGAGTAGTAGTAGTTAGTTATACATATCCCCGTCACTCGACTCATTCCCTTTTACTGGAAGAACAAAGCCCTTAATTATAATATACACACATGCACGCTCTAGTTTTTATTTAAATACTCATATATGTGCTGCGTTGTGTTTCTCGAGAGAGTAAGGCCACGAATAAAAATCAGTATTCAATCATGGAGTTGAATTGTTGTCTTATAAAGAAACTCTTAATTAATTCGATAGTATTAATACTTCAGAAATACAAATAATAGAGACACCGCCGTTGATCGATATCTTGCGATACATTCACCGTACCAGAATACTGACTATTCTTTTCTTTTCCTTTTTTTATTATGAAAAAAAGGAAAATATAGAGAGGAGGCCACGTCCAAGAAAATGACAGAGGCATGCAAAATTGTGATATCCAGCAAGGTATGTGAGACACTTATAATCTTATTGCAATGTTCTTTTGTCCCCTTTTTATGTGAAATAGTACTGTCGTTTGATTTTTCTTGTTCTCCATTATTATAGATTCTCAAAATCTGTAAGCTTTTGTTTTTGTAATATATGTATATATATATGATTAAATGAAGAGAAAAATATATTAAATAAAATACAAAAGAGAAGAAGGAGACTAGGAATGGGTGATGCACACGAGGGATCAGTATTAATCCTCCTAACATAGAGACATGGTTGGCTCCACTACCATCTCCTTTAGTCTGATTTTCACGTGCCCCTTCAACCCCACGGATCCCTCTTTGTTTTCTTTAAATGTAATCTTATGAATGTTTCCATGCAAATCATTTACCCATTTTTCATGAGATGAGATCTTAAGACAAGTACAAGAAAACTCAGTTTATTACAAGAAAACTCAGGTTATTTCATATCGTCCGTTGCTAGCTCGTATATCCTGAAATTAAATGTACTCACGAGTAATATATAATAAGTGTCTAGTTATAATACAAATACTCATATTTAATTCGATACAAATGACAAAAGATATCGTCATATCGATAAGATTGCTCTCTTAATACATAAATGTTATACCATGATGATTGATAGAGATACGAATAAGAATAATTCAAACTCTTAAATGGTGAGGGAGAAAGGCAATGTTTGGTCCAGCACGGCTAACCATATTTGCTTTTCGTTTTGTCATATTTGCCTGCTCTAAATTATTGAAATTAGTATATGAAACCACCCAATTGGCGCCATCTTACAGTCAAAGACTCAAAGGAAAAGAGAGTTAAATAAAATAATCTGATACTTTCAAGAAACTAGAATGATATGTATTCCGATGTATGGTCTTAGTGTAGTAGCCTACTATCATATCTATCCCTATGCTCCTCAAGTAACAAAACGTTAGAAAAACTTCAGTAAAAGTATGACGCGAGAGAGAGCCCGTTTGCAATATGAGCCCAAAATTTAGAGCTGAGTCAATACGGCCCGGTTTGCTTGACTGACTACGATAGTGGTGACTATAAAATGACGAATTTTGTTATAATTTTTGTTAAGGAAGAAAAAATATATTCCGGTTACTATTTTTGACTTCTCTTTTGCGTAAAGTTTTCTGAATTAGAAACATAACAAGCTGATTCATAATATTTGGTTAGCTATTGTAGCAACTTTCCTTTTATAAAACAAAATCTAACAATAGTAACGCTGATCCCTTGTGGCCTTGTATAAAAAACCTACTTAGCAAAGTAATTTTTTTTATCTCTTACTCAACGATTTCCCCTTGTACTATCTATCTACCCAAGCTAGGAAGGTCAGAAGTCTCTTATGAATGATAGTAACCAATATGAAAGTCACGAAAACAAATGAGAAAAGAATGATACGTACCCAAAAAAGTATGATTCTAAATAGCATAGGAAGCTGCACACCTCTTGAAAATTCAGTAGGAAATCCAAAATTTTGTTCACACTGATAATAAATCTATACTACAAAAGAGTGGTGCCAAAAACTGGAGGCATTTATTGGTCTGACCCAACGGACCACGTCGAAAATGAAACTCGATTTGGAAGTTTATGTAACTTAGTTTTGTAGTAATAATAATATTTTGCCTCATTCTATTTTCATTTACTTCTTCTTATCCAACCAACTATATCTGTCTTTCTATACACAAACGACCCAAACAAGAAAACAAGAGTCAAGAGACACTAGCTAGCTACCTCTTCTACTTTCACCTATCTTCTATCAAAAACAAAACTCCCAATATCTAATTTTCTTACTCATTCTTTACATTCTCTTGTGCCTTTCATTTTTTGTTTTTGGTTTTTTTGAGAATATTTATTTGAGTCTTCTTCTACTATTCTATTTTTGGACATGTTTTTTATTTTTTTGCCAAGCCAAGGGTTACTTACTATTGTACAATGATTTTAAACGGAATGGTAAAAAGAAATAAGATCTCTTATTATTTTATGTGACCACAAAAATATTTGTTACTATTTTATGTCTCATTGTCAACTCTTTTAAATGTATCGTTGTTAGATTGTCCCCACTCACTTAGTTGTTTTGAGATCGACTGCATTTAATTTGCTTATCCTTTTTTTAAAAAATTTCTTTACATGTTTTTATTTTATTTCTTCAAGGCATTTTCTGATCGAATCATAGAACTGACTATAGTTTTAAAAAGCAATGATAATGCAAAAAAACTATACTGTATATAAATTAATACGTAATAAACATATCCTCATGTTTTTTTTTCCCAAATAATTGCTGCATTCGTGTATTTATTGATATTATAATTCTTATATTAGTAATTTATTGCATTATTTTCAGAGTAGTTGAGTGGTGTGCACTGAACAAGTGAGAGTGTACTATGGATTATTAATAGTAACTATTAGTAGTACAAAATGTCATTAACAGAGGAATAACAATAGTTAATGATATTTAAAATATTGATTTATTTAATAGAATTAGAATTATTACCTTTTAATAATATACTCGGGATACTCTTTCTTCTGAAGTCCCGGGAAAAATGTCGGTTTCACTTTCCTGATTTTCTCGCTCATTTTCCCGGAAAGTTACGAGAAAAAAACATCTTCTTTTTTATTTTTCGGCAAAGTTTTGGAGTGACACTAACATAAGCATATAAACGACAAGCCAAAAAGACTGGAGCTTTTTCGAGATATGCTCTCTCGTCTTGAGTTTGAGTTGAGACGTCTCAAAGGAAGATACTTTGATGGGATATGTCTTAATTTTTATTACTATTATTCCCCTCTCTCCCTAAATACTAAGTAATATTCTCTGATGAATCTCTACAAACAGACAAGAAAGTGCGAGAAAATGATGGGTCTTTGTTCTCCTTCTCCTTCCTCTCCTTCTTCTCACGATTGTTCTTCATCTTCTCCAAGGTAAACGACGATTTACATCCTCTGTCTCTTTCTGCAACTTGTTTTAGCTTTAATTGAAAATCCAATTTTGTGTGTTTTGTCACAGGAACTCGGAGAAGAAGCAGAAGGTTATTGTTGCATCCTCACCTTCAAGATTATCTACTTACACTAGACCGGTAATACTCTGAGTAATTAGAAAGTTTTCATTTTTCTTTCTAAAAGCGAAAACTTTTTTGGGGTTCTAAAAGTCCACACTTTGTCTGGATATGTTCATGGCAGAGTGTATCAATTGAGAAGAGATTGCTAAGTTACCAGGATTCTAATTGCAGCGTTATGCCAAAGGTTTGAACTTTATGTATAGCTTTGAATGCTCACAGATTGTTTTGGCAAATGTAGTGTAGCCTCTTATGTTCTGTGTGTTTCTGCAGTCTTCAGAAGATTTGAGGAAGGAGATTGCTTCACTTGAGTTTGAAATTCTGCGCACAGAACAATATCTGCTCTCTCTTTATAGGACAGCTTTCGATGAACAAGTTTCTTCTCTTTCTCCTCACGCAGAATCAGGCTTAGTATCTAATCAGTTTTATCACAAATCCGAGCAATCAGACGTTACTAGTGTGCTCAGTTACCATTATCAAGCTTCTCCGGCGTCTGAACGTTCCTCTTCGTGTCCTCCTCGGAGTTTCCAAGCCAGCTTGAAAGCTTTGTCTGCAAGGGTAAGTAACACCATTTGCATTTTCCTTTGGCGTTGTTTAACCAGCATTGTGATGAATCTGACAACACTTAATGATGTTTTGGGCATTTTGCAGGAGAAGACTAGATACGTTTCTGGTAATCACACTACTCTTGGAGATCTTCTGGGTTCTTCTCATATCGTGGATAACACTGTGAACCCGAGTAGGCTCTCTGAAGATATCTTAAGATGCATATGTTCTGTGTATTGTACACTCTCCACTAAAGCCAGAACCAGTTCTTCTCTTCAGGCTTTTTCTTCTTCACCTTCATCTGTCTCTTCCAAAACCACTTTTGATAGCTGGAACTCACGTCATGAGGAACGCAGAGAAGCAAATGTGCCACACGGTGTTGTAATAGAGTCCCTAGAACTTCACCTGGATGATGGTAGTTTCAATCACGCTGCTCTTATGCTCAAAAACTTCAGGTATAATACTTAAAACAGTGACAATTTGCTTATGTGATATTTTTTTACAATGACTTGGGCTTAACCTGACATGTTACTCAAATGGTTTGTATAGATCACTAGTTCAAAAGCTTGAGAAGGTTGATCCAAGTAGAATGAAACGTGAAGAGAAGCTTGCATTTTGGATAAACATTCACAATGCCCTCACAATGCATGTAAGCAAACAAGAACTAGTCTGTTATTGGTTCTGTCTCTGGGATAAGCTTAAATCTTTACTTGATTCCCTCTCTATTGCAGGCCTATTTAGCCTATGGAACTCACAACCGTGCCAGGAACACCTCGGTTTTAAAGGTTTTGGTCTTTACATCTCTTAGACTGATTGATTTATATGTCTTTGCTGTTACTTAAGCTACCTTTTATGTGTCTCAGGCAGCTTATGATGTTGGAGGCTATCGCTTAAACCCTTACATTATCCAAAGCTCAATCTTAGGCATTCGTTCGCATTTCTCACCACCTGTATGCGACACACTCTTTGTTTGTTGATTCACTTTCACTACATTTGTATAACTTGAACTAACATAATAGTAAACAGTTGTTGCAGACACTGTTTTCGCCATCAAGAAAGTCGAAAACTTCTAATGTCAAACACATTTACGCCTTGGAATATCCCGAAGCATTGGCTCATTTTGCTCTTTCTTCAGGAGCTTCCACAGATCCTCCGGTAGCAAAAAAAAAGCCTCACCATGTTTACAAAAAGTTTGGAGTATATTATTTGGACTCTAATCTTCTAGAGTTATTGTTCTTTCAGGTTCGGGTTTACACAGCTGATTGCGTTTTCCGGGATCTAAGAAAAGCCAAAGAAGAGTTTATAAGAAGCAACGTTCGCATACACAATGAGACAAAGATACTATTGCCCAAGATCGTTCATTACTATGCTAAAGATATGTCATTGGATGCATCTGCTCTCATGGAAACAACGGTAAAGTGTTTACCAGACTCGACAAAGAAAGTAGCTCAGAAGTTGTTGAAGAAGAAGAGCAAAAACATTGAATATTCACCGGAAAACTCAAGTTTCCGTTATGTCATCATTGAGGATCCAACAAGAAGACATGAATCTCCTATAATGTAAAGCTGAATACAAAACATTACAAAAACGTCATGTAGTTTATATTTTAACAAACTAGAGATAAACTACACGCCGTTTTTGATAATTGATATATATCCACAAAAAAACTCTAAGGCCCAGAAGCAAAGTGAAGTAAGAAAAATGAATGGTGATGATGATGAAAGTGAAAGGCCTTATTTGGTTTGGAGTTGTGGGAGGAATTGTGTCGGCCATTGTTGTTGTTATTATTGGGCTTAGAGGAGGAACATCGAAAGCTATGCAGAGCTCCACGATCTTCTTCTCTGGTGTTGCTCCTCTGCGTGTCAGATCGGTACTCACTCCAGCAAATCCAGCTACCGATCGAGCTTCAATGGCGAGTTCCTCTGGTCCTAAGTGGGCTCAGAAAACAATCACGCTTCCACCGCAACGTCGTGGGTGTCATCTTATCACTCCTAAGGTTTTCATTATTTTGTTGTGAATTTGTATCAATTTGTAGCGATTCTGAATTGACGAACTTTGTTTTTTTAAGTTTGTGAGGTTTTGGGTTTAATTTTTGTGGAGTCCATGTTTGAAACAGATAATGAAGGAAATAGGGCAAGACTTGTCGGGTTTCAATTGTGGTCTTGCTCATGTCTTCTGTGAGTTTTTCATTCTCTCTGTAGTATCATTCAGCTCCTGCTTTCTGTTTTTTTTTTTCGGGTTCTTGATTGAGTAAATGTTTATTTTCTTGTTTGGTTTTAGTACAACACACAAGTGCTTCCCTGACAATCAATGAGAATTATGATCCAGATGTTCAGGCTGATACTGAAACTTTCTTGAACAGGATTGTTCCTGAGGTATGTATATCTGTCTTTCTTGCTTCATCCCTATGTTTCACACTTTTTTTTGTGTTAACTGATCATCATTTCTTTTTGGTTCAAACTCAGGGGAATTCAGCACCTTGGAGGCATACCATGGAAGGTTAGTCTACTGTTACCATGATTTGTTGTTTTCATCAATCTGAAGCTATTTGTAGAGACAAGTGATAAATCAAAGATGCTCCCTTTATCCTCTGAATTGTGATATTTGTCTTAAGATAATGTTACTTTCACCCTGTTTTTTGCATGAAATCTGATGTACTGAAAATTTAATTCTGTATATGTAATTGCAGGTCCTGATGACATGCCAGCTCATATCAAATCATCAATGTTTGGATGTCAACTCACGTGAGCCACAATCTTATTATAACCCTAACGTGTTGCAAAAATCTTTTCGGATGCTCACTTAACAAGTGTTTATTGCTCTGCAGAATCCCAATAACAAAAGGCAAACTTAACATGGGAACTTGGCAGGTAATAAATTTCTCCATCTGACTATACATTATTACTACATTCACATGTTTTCATATTTCCTCATTTATGGTACTGACATGTTTGAATCGAGTGGTAATGAATCTTCAATACTACAATGATTAGCAATTCAAATCTGTATCTCTTGGATCTCATTTGCATCTACTTTCTCTAAAGCTATTGTGTTGGAAATGTTTGGGTTTCAGGGAATATGGCTATGTGAACACCGTGATCATCCAACCGCCCGCAGTGTTGTGGTCACTCTCAATGGGATTTAGAGATGTCATCTTCATGTTAAATGGCTTGTAAACTCGTGGTTTATATAGATTTTACGGTCTTATAATAAAATTTGACTTTCTATATGAGATATTGCTCCGTCCATGTGATTGTTGTGTTTATTGCATCAGAAAAATCCATATTTACAGCATTTATCAAATAGGAAGGTAAGTGAAGAGAAAGAAACTGCAGAAACAGTGATCGGAAACTTAACACATGATCACTTCTACGTTACTGCAAAATCAAAAATCTTTTTATAAATTCCCATATGTTCCAATATATGCATTCATGCAAAGAAGATAGAAATTTTATATATTTCTATAGAAAAAAAAAAAAGAATGTGCTCTGCAGAGGAGAGCTCATCAAATAGAGGGCTATTAAGGTTCTTTGGGACAAAGAACAAATGAAAGGGTAAAAAAAAAAGTTACATGGTGGTGAAATGAGAAACCAAAAAAACCCAAAAATCTTCTGTCCTGAAGGAGCTTTATTTATGCTTTATTATTTCCTAGCTCCATGTCTTTCAAATCCATATGTTCCATTCCTTCTTTGAGAAGTTTAATCTCATCTTCTGTCATACTGTGTTTACCATGCGGTGTCACTTTCGACTTTCTCTGTTTCTCTAACTCCACCGCCCAACTGTATATAACCATTCCCACCACGGCTAAGACCATACCTGCTATGTTCTTGAATGTCATCTCTGAGTCAAAGATAAGCCATCCTAATGTTAAGACACAGACTGTTTTCATGTGACCAAGAACTTGAAATGAGGTAGCAGAGAATCTTCCGATGCAGAGATATTGGCTTATGTTGCAGAAAACCGCCAATGCGCAGGAGAGAAGAATGCATAACTGTAAGTATGGATGATGGTTGTCAATTGTTAGATAAGAGTTGAGATTTTATAAACAGGATTAGGAAATTTTTGGATTCTTACGATGGCACCATAAGTCATCTTGTAAGTAGTAATGAATCTGCCACTCAAGAAATAGTCAACAAATGGACCAAAGATGAGAAGTGAAACGGCTTGGATTGGAGCTGTCTTGCTCAGCAACTCAAAAGATCCAATTGAGTATTTCTTCTGCAGTGAACCTATAGACTTTTTCCAGAGAGGAAATTTATCAGAAACATTTGAACATCATCATCAAGAAAGAACCTTTCAAAGTAAGACTATCCATAAGGAGCTTTAGGCACTAAGACATCTTATCTTCCAGATTTATGAGCTATAAATACTAAAAATATCGATGTTTGACAACTTATGAACAATACTCAAGGCTACATGACAACATATCTACTGTAAAGCTTAAGGTATAGATCCAGAATGATTCAAAGACTAAAAAAGCAGAGTCACTTGCAGATTGCCACTTATTTGAGAAAACTTTGAGACTTGTATAGAATCAGATTGCAGAAATTCAGAGATCAAGCAACAAAGTAAGGGACGAACTCTGAGTTTGATAAAGATTAACAAGTTGAGTAATGGGGTATAAAAGCTTACGATCTGCTGGAGAGAAGTGGAGAAAACGGCAGTGCAAGCACAAATGAAACCTTTGGCATTAACCTTGACATCAGTCACAGTACAAATCCCAACTCCTACAACGACAACCATGACAGATGCCTTCACTTCTCTCGAGTAATGCTTGCTATGCAGAACCCATTCCATCACGCAAACAACCGGAATCATGCTCAATTTCGAAATCTAAGTGAAATCAAACACAATGTGATATATCATAAAAGCTAAACTGAGAAATTTGTGAATGCAAAATCAAAGAGGAAGCTAAACCTGGTAGAAACCAACAGAGTTTAACATGAGACTAAAATTCATAGCAGCAATTGAGATATTAGCAACGAGTGAGAACCAAAGAAGCTCCCAAAGAGGAACATGCTTAGATGCAGATAAGCCAGTCGCGTTTGACACCATACCAACGAGAGCGGTGAGAGCAAAGTGAAATCCCGTGAGAGTCGTCGCTGCAAATCACGAATCCATTGCTATAACTCTAAAAAATCACACGATTTCAATACGCATTGTATAAACGAAAATGATCATGCAGATCGAAACGAAATGTAAATTCGGGAGAGATACAGATCAAGGAATCAAACCGAAGCTGAAGCCGAAACCAGCTGTTGACATTAGCTGTTTATTCGCCATGATGATCCCAACGGAGCTCGTAACGTTCATCGCCCATGCTCCGACGTCGGATACAGCCGATGGCTTCTTCTCGTTCTCTGTCTTCTCCATCTCCTGTGACTAAATTCGGAATTCGAAATTGTAAAAATTCGAAATCTGAAATCAGAAACCAATTGTTTCCAAACACAATCAGATCCGGACGAGAGTGTGGAGAAAAATTCGAATCACGCACGTTCAGCTTCTTCGTGGAAGCCGCGAAGAAAAGCTCAAAAAACAAACACACACAGAAAGAGGTATCTCTATCGTCTTCCTAATATGTGCAGTGGCTTCTTCTTCTTCTTCTTCACTCGTGGTGGTGATGCCTGGCTATTACAAGTAAGCTTATTCCGCCATTGATGCTTTCCTTGAGGAGGCCTTTGATTATTAATTTATATACATAAAATTAAAAATTCTCATTCATTAAAAAACTTGGTTAATACAATAATAATATTTGACGCTTGTCGTTTACCGTATTTGACCTTATGTTTCCGTTTTTGGGACGCACATGATTAACTGCCACAGTGCGTTTCACTTAAGGGTATTCTTGTCATTTGCTCATGTTAATCCCATAACGTCTCATAAGCCTTTAATTGTTTTACAAACGTTTACAACTGAACTTAGATCGTTTAATAGTAGTGAATTTAATAGACTACTATTATTGGGTTTTACAAATAAATTCGATTACAAAATGTTTCCCAAAACAATACTAGATCTTATGTCTGAAGAAAGTTCTAGTATACGCAAGCAAGTTGTAAAGACAGCTATATGTATGTCTCTTTCTATGAGGCTCTTCTTATAGATAATGAGAATAAGAATCACAACACATGATCGATCTCCAAACATCATCTATATATGTATAAATAAATAAAATACAAATAAACATTATACATTGTCTAAGATGAGATTTGATGTGCTTTTTTTATATAAAAAAAGACCCAATAATTTCTTCTTCTAACAAACATTAAAAAAATTACATATTGGTTACCACCGCCTGCAAATATATCAAATATGCATAAAAGACTTTGTATTATATATAGTACAAAAGGGAAAATAGTCTTTTCGCAATCTCTTATCTGAAGACTGAATCAAATCCTTTGCCAGCTTAAGAGTGTCTCTGTGCCCCTGGAGGTGGCGCAGGCCTTGGGAAGTACTGGTTGAACTGCTCTTCTCCAAGTTTCGGTGTTTCCACATAAGGGCTCTGCGGTTCCTACATACATTGCATTTCATGAGTCCTTTTAGTGGCTTTAGAGGCAATTACAAATTTACACAATGGTGTCTGTAAGAAGTGACTATGAGTGAACCAGTGTGATCCGGCTAAATAATAATACCTAACACAATCAATCTTATCTCATGATCTCCCATTAATAGCATAAACAACTCACAAACCAATTGTTTTAATCAATCTACCCTAAACCATTTCTCAAATCTCTACAGTATATAAACATGGAGCTGTCTCTCACGATGTGTAAGTAAAGTAAAGCCTTCAAACATGCTTAATGAAAGTGGAGATATTAAGATTACACAAGAATATGTTCCTCTGGTTTTGTTCAAGTACTAGTAAGATGAAAATTGTGCGTGTGGTAAATGTTATGGCTAAAGAGGAAGGAGATGTACCTGGGGTCCAACTGTCGAACGAGATGCTTCATCGGATTTTGGTGATGTGGATGCATTACCATGGTCTTGACCATTTCCGTTTAGTGTGTGAAGTTTGGCTCCTACTAATGGATCACTCTCACTGGCTATCTTGTTCTTCTACATGACCACAAAAATAAAAAGACTTTTAATCAGTCCTCCCTCCTATTTCTCGAATGTCATTTAAATTATATTTTGAAAAAAAATATGTGCTATATTCTCTAAGAAGTGAATGAAAAAAGATTTACCTGGAAGATTTTCCCTAGAGTTTTTAACCCCTTGGCTCTTAAACGAAGCTCCTCTCTCTTGGCAGTGGGATCTTGAAGTACCTAAGACAGAAATAATCAAAAATGGTTACAACACAGAATTTGGACCAAGATGCTACATCAGCCAAATAGTGAACACGTATAGTTAGACTACCAGCTCACAAACACGGGAGATAGTGTTTTCTATATCAGCAACATTGAGCTTCCACAGAGAGTCGATCATCACTTTCTTATGGGTTTTCATATACTCTTCCAGTTCCTTCTCAGTATAATTTCCTTCAGCACTTAGCTGTCTTTTCATTTCCTCTTGCAGCTGGAATAAAGCATATGCACCTAAGAAGACAGAAAAAGAACAATCACTAAATGTTACTCCCTAAGAGAGGAGTCCAAGTTTCTTCAAAGCTAGGAAACTATATACTTGGGGTTTCTTTTCAGTAGGTGAATAAATGTTCCTTATGTAGCCCATACTACAACTTCTAGCACATGATATAAACGATGATGTTGTTCCTAAGTCACTAACCTGATGCAGCTGTTACTTGGGATTTGATGAAGTGACCTTTTGTCCTAAACCATTCAGCAACGAATGGTACACCGAGATAAATAGCTTTCTTCCCAAGCTCTTTTGCCGCTTGTCTTACATATATATATCCGATTGTGTTCAACATCTCCACCCCGTATGCTGTTAAAGATAGATACAGAAGAAGATAAGTTTGCCTTTTGACCACAGATATGGCATTGATTGAAAGAGAAAGCATAAATTATGTAACGGGAACAATATATGCTACAGAACATCTTACCTGCATTTGAGAGTCTTGTTACTTCAGCTTCAGCATTGCTAATAAATTCATCTTTGTTCGTCATATATAGGTTGAGGCGGTCCTTAAGAATTTGAGCAAGTTTGTCTTCTCTTTCTTTCTGAACAGCCTGAAACCAAAATCAATCAAACATGCTTAGGAAATTATGAACAAAGGGAAACTCTGGGAATTCCCTACTCTGTTCTAGTGACATGCCGAGCACAATTCTTTTATCAGTTCCGATAATCTAAACAACTGTATCTTAAGAACAGATGTTTATTCATGTCAATAGAGTGTGAGCAGAGTTAAGAAAATTTAGAACACGCTTTCTGTGTTTTATGCTGGATTTATAGAATGCCAGGAAGGACCGGTGAACAAAGAATATTCTAAAGCAGGATAGATCAATAAATGATAAGTTTACCCTCATTTTTTCTATAATCTTTTTAGTATCAATCTGCTCCCCTTCAGTGAAAATATCAAGTGAAGCCATTGATGCCATAGCAAGCTGCCCTATGTATTCTTCAAAAAGTTCACTCCCAAAAAGCATAGCAAATATTGCCGCAGGATCAATGATCTCACTGCAAGAATTAACACCACAAGTAAGAACTGAGGAAAGGAGAAACTTTTTAGCAAAATGATCAAGATCCATGTCACCAATCATCCATGGACCTATCACAAGAGAGAAAAAGAAAAGACACTTACGTTGAAATCCCTGACTTCCCACATGTGTCATAGGCCTGACGTTGCCCTGGATCACTTAGAACTTGGTAGGCCTCTCCCAACACCTGTATAAGAACTTAAGTTTTCAAAAAGCTCATTCAAAAAGATTTACCAAAGAAAAAAGTAGATCAAGAAAGACAAAGAATACTGAAAGCATCGTCATACTATACTGATCTCTTGGAAACCGGATTATCTGTTAGGGAGTATATACTTTGATCTATAATATCTGTTGTAATCTTTGATTATCTCTAAAATATTGACAATTGATCTCTTGTATGTACATGTAGAGATGTACCCTGAACCTAATCAAAACAACGATCCTCTGATCAGAGCTCTCATCCTAAATCCCTAAAGTTTTATTTAATCTCTTCTTTCTCGGCAGCCGTGACAGAAGAAACCTTAAGCACCGCTGCTTCCATCACACAATCCGCCTCTGTTTTTGATCCCAAAGATTCAAACAGCCATATTCTTAACATCAACATGTCTAACATCAACCACTACTACATAGCATGTAGTCAACAGATCAGAAACCTTATTGAAGAACATGGATTATAAACCCTCGTATCTGAAAAAGCCAAATTCGTCTCACCAAAGATGGTATCTCTAAGCCAAATCCTAGGTTTCCTCAGTAGAGGCGTCAGGACCACCTGATTCTGGACGCTCTCCTAAGAACCATCTCCAGCTCAGCACATCCCCTTGTGTCATTTCCACTCTTAAGTTGCCAAAACATTGATTAATCTCCTAAGGTGGGAAAATCCACTTTCTGCAGATGCGCTCAACAAACAATGAGAAAAAACTACAAACCTAAGCATCCACTACACTAAATCTGCAAGCTTTACCACTAGAATACTTTTCCAAACATCATAAGCCAAGAAGCCTAAGAATTAAACTAAACATGATACAGTCTCTCCTAGATATCAATGAGTTTAAGCTCATTTCTCTTTACAACAATAGAAAATTAGAAAACTTGCCTGGAAATTATGAGCAGCCTGAGGATCATTAGGGTTTTTATCTGGATGAACTTGGCGTGCCTGTAGAAGAAAACACAAGCAAACAATCAGCAAATTCATAATGTATCAATCAACCAACTTAACTCTTTTATGAGTGGTAAGGCATGAAAGAGCTTTGGTCTATTATAAACTCAAGAGACAGTACTGAGCTCGTGGGTAACCCAAATCGACACACCCAAATTCGAATTCAGCTAAGAGCTCACCGAAATTACAAAACTTTGATTGAAAAAAGAAGAAGAGAGAGAAGAATAGAATCAGAGAAGAGGAAATGAAACCTTGATGTAATAAGCTTTCTTAATCTGGGCCTCCGTAGCGGTGGGGCTGACGCCGAGGACATCGTAAAACTCCGTCTCCTTCACCATTGCTAGTTGAAATCAATCCGATCTCGATCACGATTCACGATCTCTGACTCTTCTTAGAACGTCCGATTCAGAATCTTTGGCTAAGTGAGGTGGAGAAGACACGAAAACACTCCACGCGCGTTAAGTTGACAAGTACGCGCCAGCCTTTTCAACTCAACCGCTCCTTTTTCTTCTTCTTCTTCTTCTTCTTCTTCTTCTTCTTCTTCTTCCCTTTCTTTTTTTTTTTCTTTTTTTTTAGTATTTCTGTTAAATAGAAGTTTTATTTATTTATTTGAATATATATCCGTACGTTTATATTCGCCACGCGTTTTTTCGTCAGCATATTCCTCTTTTCTTGAATTTTTCCTTCTGATTTTTTTGGCTTCTCTCTTCTATATTTATTTTCAGTGCAATCCAATAAATTTGTTTCTTAGAGATTAAGACTAAGATTAATGAGAGGTTTCTTATTAAGACTTAAGAAGAGCTTTGAATTTATTTTTTGAATTATTTAAGGAGAGATCTTGAGATCACTAACTTAGGCTTGACCTTTTGATTTCTCTATGTGACAATGTCCTGAGTTTGGTCAAAATGTATGGCATAGGGTTAGGGTGTAAACTCTGCACAAGTAGAGGGACAAAAGTATCCAAATATGTATATTTGCTTGTTAATACCTTCCAATATCTTTTAACCTAGTGCAATGTTTGGTTAGTTTAAGTATTCCAGAATCAAACTAATTGCATGCACAAATTAATAACTTTAGATTGTGACTGGTGTTGTAGTTGGAGAAAATAATCAAATAAGAGTTATTTAAACTTTGGTCCTTATGAAATGAATTAAAAATTTTCACAATTTCAATTGATCAAGTAAACTATTATATGTTTGATCGGTATCTGATTTGTCATTTTGAGTTTTTAGGAGTTTAGAAATTAAAGCGGTAACCTAGTGTGTATATTGCTTCCTCTTTGAGAGTGATCTTATGAGATCAATGAGACTAAAACGAAAACAAACAAACATAATTAGAATCCTAAATAAATATATCTTACAATTTAATCGTTTCTTTCTAAACAATCAAACATAACAAGAATGGTATAATGTTTCTATTCTACGATTGTTATGAACTTTGCTTATTTACTAAATTATAAACATGGCTACCTCATACCTGTGTGTACATTATCATTTATGTATTTGATGTAAGCATGATAGTATGATCTAAAGCTTTGGTTGTAAAATGAAATTCATCTAAATGTTTTTACATTATTTGATGTAAGCATGAGAGTATGATATAGCTTCGACGTTTATTCTTCTTCAGATTTTACAAATAAACCCTATTTAGTATCGTAAATTAAACTATTATTTTATTGTAGTACGAAACTCCAAATTGGCTGATACAAAGATTGTTCAGAAACAAAGATTGTTTAAAGTTTAAACTATATATGTACTCTCTCTATCAAAAGCAACGGGCAGAGATTTTTGGGGGTTTGGCCGAAGCTCGCGTTTTGTCATGTAGTAGTTGTCGTTTTTAGCATGGAAAATCTAAAAACATATACGACGAGACGTGTACACACATAAGGCTGTGTGGTTCGTGTGGTTCTATACAAAAAAAAGGAAAAAGGTGCACCATGCTCGTTCCTCTTGTTCCAAGACTGAAAACAAAAACTGAAAAGTTTCTTTATACGTTATAAAAGTATGAGGTATCAAAGACAACATACAAACAAATGCAAAGACAAAATCCCTAAGCTCAAGTTTGTTTGTTTTGAAGCAGAATGTTTGGTCTTGTCAACATTTGTGTGTTGGAACTTATTGATTTTGATCGATACCATTTAACTTCTACCGTGGATATACTGACATTAAAAACCCACAAAAATACATTATAGCCTGGATTTCGAATACAATTTTTTTTTTCTTTTTACGTTTAATGTGATAAAAAAAAAAAAAGTCACTTGAAAATTCGAAAATGTTATAGAAATGTTAGTTTAATAAAGCTTATAAATGAAAATTAATGATTAGAGAGGAGAAATTTCAAGAAACAAAAATAGTAGTAGTAAAGTAATACACTCATTATCTTAACAAAAAGGTAAGATTAGCATTGATGACATCTCTGGCCTAAAACAAAGATATGTGTATAATTGCCTCCAGCCCATAAAGTTGTGTCGATGATATAGTGTCGAAAAGTTATGGTTATTAGTATTTCTAATTTCGTTTGATTAAAGATAGAAAAAACTTTCTAATTAACAAAACGGTGGAAGGTAATTATAAAAATGAATTTGTGTAAAGTAAGGAACATCAGAAACAATGTTGGGGTTAAATCACAGGCGTAATGATTTAAGAATAATAATCACCATCATTATCTTGTTATATAATTCTCACTTTATTACTACCTTTTTCTCTTTTTGTTGTTGTTGTTGTTCTGAAATGTACATTACATGAATTTTTTGGTGGTTCACTTATTTTCGTCAGATTTATATTTCAAAGTATTATTTCCCGTGATTAACATGATGACACTTTTTTTAACCGTTTACTAAAATTATTTACATAGAGATTCATTCATGTACAACTTCTCTTCTGTGCATTACCTGTCTTCCAATCTTATCCTTGAACTAATAAATAAACCATCAGCTTTGTGACTAAGTTTAGTTCAAACTAATTATTTATTAATATTCAGTATAGTCTATGTATGTAAATTAATAAGACAATTGTACAAAGTATGATTTACCTTTAAAGCATACGAGATCTCAACTTATAATTTAGGAAAATAAATCCAAGAAAAATTAGTTATAGACTTGCATTAGTCAAGATGTCTTTTAAATGCGAACTTGTGTTTAGTCATAAGAAAATATATGATATCATTCTTAATTAAAGTGTAGTTAATTGGTTATGGGACAAATTAATATAAAAAAAGAGAGTAAAACACTCCTCAAAAAATTCAATCTTCTCCATTTGTTCAACACAAACACACACATAAAAGTAAAAAAGACAGACACTCACTCACTGCACACTTCTCAAAATACTTCTATCTCTGTCTCTCTCTCATCCCTTTTCTTCTTCTCTTCTCCCTAAGCTCTCTCCATAGTCACCAAACCTCTCTTTTGACCTAAGTGTGTGTGAGAGAGAGGCCTGCAAAGATAAAAAGGAAGACATCATTGAAGCTCTTTACTTCTTTTTTCTTCATTTCAGAATCTCTCTAAAACCTAACGCATCTCCTCATTTCAAGCAAAAAAAAAGAAACATGGTTTGGTCTCAGAAACATCTCACCTCAATGCTCTTCTTGTTTTGCTTCCTCTCTCTCTTCTCTCAACCTTCACTTTCTTCCACGTTTCTCGTCGACGGTGTCTCTGTCTGGAAAACCCCCACTGTTCATGTCGGCGACTCCGTTGGTAACTGTTCTTTTCTTACAAAACCAGTCCTTTATTTTTTTCCTATTTTGATTAGATTTTTACTCTTAATTGATGGTTTTTGTTTCTTAATTATACGGTACCCCCAGTTTTCAGACATAAGTATGGATACGATCTCTACATCTTCAGAAGCAAAGATGCATTCAATGTCTGTGACTTTACTCAAGCCACTCTTCTCACAAAACCTAATTCCACTTCCTTTACGGTAAAAACATATCTCTTTCTCACATTCACATTTCTTAATTCGTTACCTAAATTGTGAATTTGGTGTAAAGATTGAGAATTTCATCTTGGGTTTCTCAGAAATTTCATAAAGTTCTGATCTTTCTTTTACAACTTCTCCCCTTTTTTCCTCTCTGTTCTTGAGATTGGCAAAAAAAGCTCCTCTTCTTCCCCTGTTTTTTCCTCTGTTTTTCTTTTTAATTAACAGTATCAGTGGTCAGTGGATATTAATACAACTTGTAATCCGATGCTTTGTTCTGACAAAAGAGAATTGAAAAATGGTTTAATTCTAATACTTTAATACACACCAAAAAGTCATATTTTCAAGGCTCAATGATAATCACAGTTAAAGAAGCATCTAAATAGTTTAATACAGTCATTAAAAAGCGTCTAGACTCTATTAAATCTTTCTTTTACATACTTATTATAAAGTTTGAAATTTCAAACATTTATTGTTAAACTTAACTCTAATGATATAATACATTTTTAATCCAATTTCTTGATGATTCTTGTTTTCTCAGTGGTATCCATCAAGAACAGGCTCTTACTACTTTTCTTTCACAAACAACACATCTCTTCCCAAAACTTGCCAACTCAATCAGAAGCTCTCAGTTCAAGTCATCCTCGCTTCAGCGGCATCACCACCATCGCAACCACCAACAACCGCCCCTGTTCCGGTTTCAGAGGGAGGAGTGATCTCGTCACCTTCTTCTTACCCCTGGCCATTAGGTCCTAAAGAAGGCTCAGCTTTCTCTCCTGGACCATCTCCATCAGAGATCACGTCGGTGACAGTTCCCGGTAAAGACGGTGTTCCGTTCATCAACAGTAATCCGGCGGTTCCACTCCCCACCGGAGAAGTCGATTCTACTTCCATTAACCCTTTACCCACTTCCACTAATTCAGCACATCAGGTACCTTATAATTCACTTTACAACATTAATAAAAAGGTTAACTCTTTTCAATACAAAATGACTTATGAAATATTTGGATGGTGCGTGTGTGTGTGTGTGCAGGTGATGATGACAGTAACGGTGAAGCTAGTAGGTGTATGCTGCGTAGCCATGTTTCTACTTCTTCAGTAGAAGAGAGATAAGAGAAGCTTTTAATGGAAGAATGATTACGTTCTTGATCTTATTGTTAATCAACTTAACTTTAGTTTTGTGTAATCATTCTTCCTTTAGCTTTTCTGTTTCTGTCTCTCTTGTGGTAGGCCTCTTTGTTAGAATCTTTAGGATTTATTTTATTTTGTTTGATATGCATTTTTATAAAAATCAATGTGTCTTGGTTCTTTCTTTTTCTCATTCGCTGAGTTCGTGTCTCTCTTTTCTTTTGTGGTCACCACTACTACTAACTCTCACTCATATGTCTCACATTTCTTTTCAGAAATTTGGGTCCCTACTCTAGAAAAATAAGCATATAGTATATGGTTTAGCTTTAATTGAGAGTTGTACTATATGTCCTATCCTTTTCTTATTTTCCAACTATTAAAAATAAAGTGTTGGATATATTAAAGTTTAAAACCATATGAATGTTTCCGTGAACAAGATTCTGATCACAAGCTTTTGCAATAATAGAATGAATGAATGAAACATTAAAGTAGAGAAGTAGCCGTTTAGTTATTTCTCGTGAGTGTAAGAGGAGACAAATCAAGTAGCCGACCGTTGAGTTATGAATATGCACTTGTGACTTGTGAACTCTGCGAAAAGAAACAATTAAGTTCATGTGACTACTAGCTAACAAAAGAAAATAAGCTTATTTTTATTTTAATGCTTGAAGACAAAAGACATGCATGACCATTTCAAACAAAGATGAAAAATAAGAAATAACAAGGATAATTCGCATATCACCAAAACCAAAAAAGAAAAAAAGAAAAAAAACAATTAACGACGATTTGGTTTTATTTTTCACACATTTTATTTACAGAACTCAATGATCCAGCAGTGATAAGCTTGGCAAACGAACTTGCAATGGGTGAAGCCAGAAGCTGTAGCCAAAGCTTCAAACTCACCTCGTGACCTCTCTTTTCCGCCCGAACATTGAGTGAACATCAACATGTCCATGTCAAAGGCAATGTTTGCGTTGATGTCTCCATTCTCCGCATCATCAGGAGTGACTAACTCTATGACAACGACTTTACCGTTCTCTGGTAGTGATTTCCAGCAATTCTTGAGAATCTTGATGCAGTCTTCGTCGGTCCAATCATGAAGTATACGCTGCGAAACAAATGTAAATCCAGATGTAAGTACAAGAAACAAGCATGCATACACTTTTTAAAAAAAATTGTTAGAGAATAGGTGGAGTTGATTAAGTTACTTTCAAGATCATGGCATCTCCGGTTGGGACATCTACAAACATATCTCCGGCAACATGTTCCACTCCAGGGATAGAAGGTGCTTGTGCCAAGGCACAAGTTAGATCAAAATTGATACCCTTGATATTGGGATACTTTGAAGTAACAATACCAAGAGTGTTACCAACTCCTCCTCCCACATCAACCAAAACATTCACACCTTTGAAGCCTTCATAGACTTCAAGAGCCTTCTTCACGACCGCGATGGTAAATCCGGTTTGGTTAAAGAGTTTGCTAAATCTCTCATCTGTACCCATATAGTCGAAGAGTTTCGTGCCACCATGTGCGCGGCCAAAGGCATCTCCTCCTTCTAACACCACATCTTTTAATTGTAACCTGCGAAAATGATGTATGGATATAGTAAGATTCATTTGCGTATGAAAGTGATTTCTAAAGAACTCAACATGCATGAATATAAAAACTACCAAGTATTAAGGAAGACGCTATCGAAATTGACAATGACTTGAGAAGCCAGGGATCCCATTTCTTGAATGTTATCCTTCAAGAAGAACCTGCATATCGGCTCGGCTCTATAAACCCTCTCGCCCCTTTCTTCAGAGACCTTACCGCACTTGACCATGGAATAGCTAGCGAGTAGACGAAGCATGCGATCCAACAAAACCGGCGCTTCAGGGTTACGAGGTGTATTTGGTAGCTTACTCGCTATCTCAAAGGATGATAGGAACGAGTCGGTGGTAGAGGATTCGGCGTAAAGAGTGTCAAAGACACCGAGCTCGAGGGCAGCTTTGAGAACCATTGGAAATGCAGCGGCGTTGGCAAGTCTCACGGCCATCAAACCTAACTGGTTGTCGTCATAATTAACGTTAGAGGCAAGTTTAGGGTTAAAGCTTAAGTTCTCTTCAAAAAAGAATCCCATTTCTCTTTCTTTTTGTTTTGTGTTTTCTTCTTCGTCAAGGCACTCTACTTGATCAAACTGATGGAGAAGCGATGAAAGCGAGACTGTGTGTGTATGTTTTGGTATATTCTTTGATATGGATCTTAGTTTCTCCTTTTATAGTAAAACATAGCCTCCTCGTACTCGTTCTTGATTTAATTATAGTGTTGGCTAGCTATGCCGGTCCATATGAGCGCTCTATGTGGAAAAGTAAGAGCCACTTTGTGACAGCTGAAACAACTACTATTAAACATTGTCGCATGTCGTTTGTTTTCTTTTTAAAATAGCAGAAGTCAATGTTCAAAGGAAAATATTCACTTTAATTTCACTCCTAAGAGATTTCATTTGTTTCTCGTCGATCTGATCAACATGATATTTATAACATACACGTGTGACTCCCACCTGTTGGCATGCATGATATTGTATTTTCTGTGTGTTTTTTTCCTTTTTTTTTTTTGTGTGTAAATCAAACAGTCATACTACTATAAGTCTATAATACATATACATATTTTAGTTCAGACCTAATTGATTAGTGTAATAACACTAATTAGTCTAATGGTCCTTTATGGTCTCCATGCATTTTGAATTCTTGATTGTCCTTCGTTTCAGGAAGGTTCGAAATTTTGGATTGTAAAAGTTCATAAATCTTTTGTATTGGACTCAATCAGTATATATATTATGTATGAGGCAATTAGTCCAAGGAACCAGAATGTTTTTTAAAGTAGCCACATAATGGACCGACTAAAGTTAATTACATTAATAGAGGTTTAAGCTAGTGATCCGAGTGTGCTGCAGTCACCGAGAAGTCGTAGATTGTGTATGAGTCAAAAATGGCGATAGCTCTCGTTTGACCACAATCGGACAATCACTCTTTGAACACTAAAAACAACATTATCTAGCTATCTTTACGTCACTATGATTTACTTATATAAAAATCAACCTCGGCAAGCTTTAATAGATATATAATATCAAAAGTGTCTATTTTAATGAAACAGTTTGGAGATTTGTACATGTAACCTTAAAATTGTCTCTTTATGGACTCCACAGCATGCAAGTCCCTTTACGGCCGTTAGTCTATTTTGAATGGTAGGTACACATTATGGTGTAAAACGTAAATTATCAGTAGACTTAAATATATTATAATTAGTTTGATAAAAAAAAAGTATTCTTTTCTACAAACTAATTAATAGGAACTGTTTGTTTCCTATTTTCTTTTCTATTTTCAGTCTCATATGGTTCTATGTATTTTCAAGTACTCTAAAATCAGTTGTATAAGACAATGTTTTCAACACGCAAACGGAATCTGTTAATGGTGAATCAGTGAATCAGTAAAAGTACTCTAATTTCTATTTTTTTTTTTTTGTTGCAGGATCTACTCCTGAAAGGCTTTTTTAATGAGCTTATTGGTAAACTCGAAATAGATAACATAGCAGATGAGCTGTTTGGGCAGATTGTTACTAAGTTTATGCCTCGTGGAGAAGATCGAGAAGCCGTGTACATCAAGGTTATGGACGAGCATCCTCATGGAGTAAGAACTTTCAATTTTATGCTCCATGCATCCTCCTACGTGTATACCATCATTAATTATTTAATCTCTTTTCTTCTCCCAATGAGGATGGTCTTAGGATCACATGTAATCCTTAATTGTGGCGGCCATTGTAGGAGCTCGAACAATCAGATGAAGTTAATAATAAAGATCAAGTGTGCTCTAGACTAGGACTACAATTATATTTTTTTTCAATACAATATTTGCTTCTTCGATAAATCAAATATTAAACCAAAAGTCTAACATTTTGATGCACATATTATTTTTAATATATAGTTACAAATGGTGCACATACTAACATAAATTAGGACGTCTAGTTCATTAAACAAAAAAAAAAAAAAAAAAAAAAAACACCTTTTGTTATTAAAAAAAAATGATTACATGAACCGTAAATAAGGTTTAAATAAACTCCTCTAGGTGAAATATATTTACTTACTCGCCAATAAATATATTTTATTTATGTTTTGCTTTTGTTTTCCTTATAAAAAGAATAATTAATAACCCTATATTAATCTTTTACAATTATGAAACATCTTACCACCATATATGGCTAATCAAATCCAATTATTTTGGACACAGTCAATTCTACCTCACCATTAATATGTAGATTATTCATATTATTATTTAATTTTGATTAAGAATACGTTTTATAATATGCAGATTTCAAGAGAAAATTACTTATTATCAAGGATGTCTACAACAATTAATTATTAGATTTTATGTTAATTTTATTTCTTAGACACTCTTAAGTGATTACCCATCTAATAGAGATATATAATATAAATGTCTAAAAAATATATTTATACATTTTAAAAACATAATACACATCTTAATTATTCATTTTTAAACTAAGAACATTGGAGTCCTAAAACTTGCGTGCGACCATTATACATTCTTAGTATAGAAAAAAAAGTAAGTCTTGACAATACACACACAATGACGATATCGATTGTCCATCTGTGATCTGTAAAGGTGAATTGATGCATAGAGACACAGTTTCGGAGACAAAGCATGCGGTCCAACAAAACGATTGCCTCAGGGTCAATTAAGAGCATGTTCAATGCTTATTATTTTCAAAAGCTGATGTGATAAGTTTATGTTTTTGAACTAAATAATAATAAATCAATGCATTTGTATATAAGTTTGCGTTTACATTTCTAAGAATGAAAAATATCCTAAAAATTCAGTCGATCGGTTGGGGGATTTTGCTTGCCTCCCTCCGCCCTGTCGGATTTGATATTTGATTATTTTCTTAATTCGGCCCCAAATAGTGGTTTTTTAAGAAAACCTTTATAAGATACATTTGATAGAGTTTCACTTTTAATTAGTTTTAATCCATTAGTTTTGTATTAATAACTTTATAATCAAAAATATTTATAATCATTGAATTTATAGTTTCTAACATACATTCAAATTAATAAGTAATAAAACTAAACTGTGCATTTTCATAGACCACATAGTATATTTAGTTAATTAATATATAGATGAATTTGATATAATTTCACATTTACCTTGAATCCACTGTTATTAACATTAGAATTATTTTTGATTAAAATATTTATTATCTTTGGATATTAAAATTTATACTTTATAGCATGTTTTAAAATAAAAACTAATTATTTTAATATATATTTTACACTACATATATATTTTTGTTTTATTAGTTTAATAAAAAAAACAATGAATTTTCACAAAAACTATTTCCAATATGCGTCAAAAATTAAGAAATCTATATCTACATAATTTTAGTTTTCTTACAATGATAAAAGTTTTTTAAAAAATTTGATATTTTTAACAAAAAAATATTTATTATCTTTGGATATTACAGTTTTTATAGCATGTTTTCAATTAATAAGTAATTATTTTTAATATATATTGTACACTATATATATAGAATATTTTGAAATTATTAGTTTAATCAAAAAAAAATTATTTTCAAAAATTTATTTCCAAATACATCAAAAATTAATAAATTATATATCTGCATAAGCTTAGTTTTCTTACAATGATTAAGATTTTTTATATATTTTGATTTGATTTTTATTTCCTTTCATGCTATAATTTGTAGCCTATATAACAAGCTGGTCAGTAAATAAATCATTCAACTTTCATTTCACTATGATCATGAATGACTTACCTTTGTTTGTTCTTGACGATGTTCTCTTCAGATTAGAACTCAAATCTTTGGCGATGATGCGATGCACAAATAAATTTTTCCAATCTTATATATCCAATGACTCGGATTTTCAAATTGCATATTTTGCCATGTACAAAATCGAGCCTATTATGTTTCACCTTGACAGCTGTGGTGACCATTACATTTTCTGTTATCCTTTGGGTTCTTCATGCGATTCTACATCATACGGAAGAAAAAATAGAATTGGATATTCGTAACCGATTATATATATTTGGCTCATGCTCTGGCCTTCTCTTACTATATATCAATGGTCTCTTTGTTGCAAATCCCCTCACAAAAACATATCGAATCTTAGATCACTCAGGGTCAAAGCTTATACCTAGAATAGTTGATGGTTTGAATCTCTCAGATCCATTTCTTCATATGGAGAGAGCAATGTGCGTTGGTTTTGCAGTAAATCGAAACCAAACGACCAAGAGATTCAAGATTGTCGGCATACTCGAGATGGAAACGGTATATGGATTCGAGATCAATGATGGAGATTCTTGGAGACTATCAGAAACGAGTATCACCACTAGCACAAAAAGTGATCTCACGACAAATATGAAACATGTTTACTTGGATGGCACGCTCCACTGGCTGAGAAACGACGGGAGCATCATAGCTTTCGATTCGGAGACAGAGCAAGCACGACTGATTCCTTCCATATTCCATAGAAAACAGGATATGAAGTTACTATTCGCAACGGACGATAAGATTAGCCGCTTGACTTTAATATCGGGGACAGAAGAAACAATCTCAGTTTACACACTAGTCGAGAATTCCAAGTGGACCCTTTCTAGGCAGATCAATATCGTATCCATGGAAGGCAATATAATTGTACGCTTATCTCCTGAAACGCAGAAATTGGGCGGTGATTGGGAAGACCTTTTCCGTATACACTGGAACATGGTTGCGTACGATGGTAAGTTTCTTGTGGTGAGAGAGATGAGGAGAATTACTTCGAGAGGTTTGGTTCATTTGTACGACATGGAAGCTAACAGTTGGAGAATTTTGGGGTCAATCTGGTGTGGGTATGGTGATATCAGAAACTTCTATAAGTTTACTCCCTCTTTGTTATCTGTTGAGAAGGATGAGCAGACAAAGGTTCTTATAGCTTCGGATGACCAACGCATCCCCTATCTAACTGAGGTTATGGGACTCATTGACACAACCATGGGGAGTGGCATTGGTCCTAACGTAGTTTCAAATATAGTTACAATTTATTAAAAGGGTTTTATACAACATATATTTTCCTTAACCTTGTTGACTCAGGGAAAGCTATTTCCTTGATCGCATTATATCTAGTCTAAGAGACAATATGCTTTGTTATGAAGAAACAGTATTCTTTGAAATAATAAAACTAATTTGGTTCTCTGAAACTCTTCATGTCGACTGTTGTGTTTCACTATATGTTACCCGTTGGAGGGCCAATATTTTGGGAGTGGCTTTACGTATTTTTCCATTGCTGTTGTTAATTACGGTATTGATCCCATTTAGTACTGAGCCCAATTAAGTTTCAAAATTTTCTGCTTTGTTAACTTTTAGACAAGAATCGTAATTTATATATATATTTTTTAATTCATACATTAATAGGATTCTTTTAAATGATTTATATTAACTCTCATCTATCATCTATGCTACTTATACTATAACCATTGAACTAACGAAGTTTAATTAGGAATAGGACCACGTACTAGTTAACTCGGACCATCATTATCAATGTAAAAGGCACATTAACACTACTTTTCACTACATAAGAGAGAATAATCAAGGGATATTATACATTCGTTAACATTATATGTTTATTTTAGGATCAATATTTTTCAGATCCTAATTATAAAAAAAAAACAGAATAAATTTTGTTTCTCAAGCCGCTCTACGAATTATATACACAGTACATCTAAATGCTTGATTAATATACATAGTAACTTTATACCATGTATTTAACATTCGGACTATATATATTGTATTTTCGACTAGTGTTTTCATTGTGTTATTGTAATTATTTCGGAATATATTTTTGCACGTAGTCTATGAATCATAGAAAAAACAAAAAAGCTGCCACTCATATGATATGAGTTATATACATTTTTTTTTAATGATATCATGAATTCGATATTCTAGAGAAGTTTTTAAAACACGAGCTGGCATACATGTACGTAGGCGACTACGTATGCATGCATACACATGAACAATCATCATACGTAGACATATACGTATGTGTGTGCAACAAGTGATGATGATGTTGATAATGATAGTGAATGTGGTGCTATTCGTGTGGAAACCACACTCTCGTCCCTCTTTTCCATTATTTTATCTCCTCAGTGCCTTCCAATTCATCAATCCATCTATTTTCATTTTTTTCATATAGCCTTTACATATATATATATATATGTGTGTTCATTATCTACTAATTAGTATGTTGTTTTATGATTTTTCACTTGCAGACGGCTCTAATCGCTGGATCAAAGAATCTATATATAGTGTGAAAAGCATCTGATTCAATTTTGATCCCCTTCATATATTTATTAATAAGATAGTTGGATTCTACTATTTCATATTTTTTAATCGTCCATATGCATTTGTGTCCTGTTATTAGTAATGAGGTGCTGTGTATTGATTAATCCATATCATGTCTTTGACCTATTTTTTCTTCCTAATTAATGAATTAAATGAAAAGAAGATGTAGCGTAAGCAGTGTATGATTTGATGATTACTCACACTTATCAAACATTTTCAAAGATCGAACAGTGTCTAGTCACACAATAAATAGATTATCCATTGATCACTTTTGGTCAAACACTAAGAAAATATAGAGAAGGTTTCCAAACAGTGTGTGTGATTTGATTCGACGACCCCTTTTGTTTTCGTATTGTTTCTTTGTCGACAAAGGCGCAAGTATATATAATCAACCAACAACAAAAAAAGACTACATACACACAAAGTAAAAGAATGAGATGGTTGTTTCATTTTCATTTTTTTATATAGAAAACGCTTTTCATATAGTTTCCGTGTTCTAACAAAAAGGGAGAAAATAGAATAAAATTAAAATCAAAATCAATTAGCCGTCAATTTATATATCTTTTTATTTGGCTTAAACATTATGTAAGAGTGAAAACAATGACGATAATGATTTATATTCCTTTTTTATTATTTTATAAAAAATGAGAAATCTATGTCAATAGAAAAAAAATTAAAGAGAAAATCTGAAACTTTTAGGAAAATCTTTGTATCAAAATTTCTTTCAAAAAAAAAAAAAATGTTACTACGTACCAACCAAACTCCGGCCGATCATGTTTTGCAAAAAAAAAACATGTTATTATTTTTCAAAAAAATATATTAAATTTATAAAAAGTACATTGAAGCATTTGCCAAATTTGAATACGAATTTTTGACGAGTCAATATAAAATATAATAATGCAGTAGTTGCCAGCTGAAGAAAAGTTAATTTGGTATATAGCTTGGTAATAAAAGTAAAACCAAGAGAACTAAAGTGTATTATCCTTTTTAACAAACTTGTTTTGGCAAACAGATTTCGTGTACCATTAGGTGATCTTCTTGGAGGTTGAGATTTCATTTTGTATCCTTTTTATTTTATTTTGTTTGTTTGCCAAGAAAGAAGACATATAAGCATGGTTAGCTTTGATCTTGATGAAGACGACTTAACTTAAACAGCTCGCTCACAATGTAACTGCCCCTTTCGGTCACTCAAAATTGTTTATTTTATTTGCTATCCTTCACGAATCAAATGAAACTGAAAAAGAAACACCAAATGTCTTGTGGTTTCACATTTATTTTTCCTTGTTTATAATTTTGTTTTTAAAGGTGTTATAATGTATGTTGCTTTTGGATTTCATTTCATCTGAGATCCCTTTGCTATGCTTTATTGTATATCTTTACCCATCGTACGCGGAAACACACTTTACGTTTGTTTCTAAACTTCATTTTGTTCGTTTCAAACTTATAATTAATCATAGTGTAAAAACGATTAGATGTTTGTAAAATTCCATTTCCTAATCTAATTTTTTGAAAACGACGTATATAATCAAAGTATTTCCGTTAGTGGTGATGATGCTCCTCCATATATTATACTAATCGTCGACTCCACCACATAAAAGTTTTATAATAAAATTTTTAAAAAATTTAAAAAGCTAAAAACATAGAAAAGACTCACACACAATCTCTCCATAAATAGAACCTAGGCGTGTGTTCTCCACACTTCACCTATATTCTCTACCTTCTGTTGCAAACCAAACACAAGAACAAAGAAAAGAAAAAACCAATTCAAAAGAGTTTTTTTTTGTTTAACTATGGAATCCAACAACGTGAACAACAGCTTGAACCTAGACATGGAGAGTAATCAAGAAACGGCGTTCGACTACTCCAAAAGAGCTCAATGGCTAAGAGCCGCGGTGCTAGGTGCCAACGACGGTCTTGTCTCCACGGCTTCGCTTATGATGGGTGTCGGTGCCGTCAAGCAAGACGTCAAAGTCATGATCTTATCAGGTTTTGCCGGTTTAGTAGCCGGAGCTTGTAGCATGGCCATAGGAGAGTTTGTCTCCGTGTATTCTCAGTACGACATAGAGGTGGCTCAGATGAAGAGAGAGAACGGAGGACATGTGGAGAAAGAGAAGCTCCCGAGCCCGATGCAAGCTGCTGCTGCGTCTGCGTTAGCGTTTTCCCTGGGAGCGATTGTGCCTTTAATGGCGGCTGCGTTTCTGAAAGACTACAAAGTGAGGATCGGAGCGATCGTGGCGGCGGTGACGTTGGCGCTAGTGATGTTTGGGTGGTTAGGAGCGGTTTTGGGGAAAGCGCCGGTGCTTAAGTCGGCGTCTAGGGTTTTGATTGGAGGGTGGTTAGCTATGGGCGTTACGTTTGGTCTGACAAAGCTGATCGGGTCACATAGTCTGTGATATGTTTTTTTTTTTTGTGTGTGTTTACAGACGTACGTGAGTAACGTGAGTAAACTCTTCTTCATGCTTCATGCTTCATGCAACACAATTTAAGCGGTTACGTTTTTGTTTATAGGCGTGGAAATGAACTTTGTGACTTTTTCTTATTTCGTGGGAAATTTGATAGTAATGGGATATCTCTTTGTAAACAATTGTGTTATATAAATCTATCAAATGGAGTTTTCCCCAATAGTATGAATAAAGGCGCGTTGAGAGTCTTTTAATTAACACTTATATGGCTCTAAAAATATTCTTGAAATTCTCTTAGATCTATTATATATCTATATTGATCTGAATTTTTAAACTTCAGATATCTTTTAAGAGCTTGACAAGAAAAAGTTTTTACATTAGCCAAAAAAGTATAACAAGTTGACACATCCATTAGAAGCAAATCAAATCAAAAATATAAAAATCCGGATATACTTTCTGCTTTAGAGATATTATATGTGTATCAACATAAAGATAATACAGTATTACACATGTATTTGGCAAACTGTTGAACTAAACTTTTGCCAAATATTTATATTTTCCTTAAACTAACAGAAACGTTTAAGAGAGTAAACAATTCAAATCATTAGACATAAGTTCTAATAAAAGTGCCAAATTAATCCGCCAAATTAATCCGCCAAAAATACCGCTGGAATTGTTTTGGTAGTTAGCATTGGATGGAAATTATAACTAAAGAAGCCTAATTACATACGATATTATCCATTTCGCAATTGCTTAACAAAACAAAACAACGCACATCGCTTACACAGTGTAAAAGAGCTTTGTGTGTGTCATGGCAAATCAATGATCTCCTCCGGAAGAAAACATAAAAAGCGAGTTCTACTTTTGGAATTGTTGTCGTGTACTTCTATTATCTCATTATGTTAATATCCCGATTATATATACATTTAAAAAGCATGTCGACAAAAAAAAATAAAAAAAAATATACATTTAAAAAGCTAATGCCTGCTTTTGCACTAGATTGCGTGTAAACTCTCACATCCTCGTCATATGGAAAATGCAACATCTAGCTTTATTTAGTTCCATGAGAAAACATTTTATAGCATCATTCATATATTCTAACGTACCAAATTATAAACAGAACCAAAAGGTAACGTTCAGCATAACATGATCCGATGCAAAAAAATACATGAGTTACCGACAAGATTCAGCCACAACCACGTACAATTATGTATGCTGTGTTCTCACTTCAATAGAACAAACTCGCAAAACCTTTCTTTTTTTCTTCCTCATCAAATCTGCAATCTAGTTAGACTCATCGATTACTAGTAAAGGTTTGCATAAGTTGTGGCAGCTCAACCTGATGTTTTAGCACAAACTTATCCATGAACTCTGGGCTTTTCATCTTTAGTATAGTGAAATAGTTGATGTCTTTTTTCTTCACGAGTCCTTTTGAGAGAAGCAAAGAGATCACCTGGTTCCTCGGTTTGATTCTCTTCTCCATGCTCAGACCCAACACCACTGGTCTTGCAGCAATGTCACGAGCCTGCAGACCGATGTTGTTTACAAGGTACTCCATCGTGTACATTATCTTCTCATCTGAAACCGTCGCACAGTTTGGGAATCTCATGATTGCTGAGACAAAATCTTGTTTAGACCAACCAAAACGTTGGAACAACTTATACTTCCGCTCCATTGTTGATTCGCTCGTGCAATCAAAGGCTATCATAGCGTGAACAAAACCCGCTTTCTTCGGGTCAAAACCGTAGCTGCAAACTCTGTTTAAGATCTCGTTGAATCTTCTCTCTGAAGAGAAAAAAGTGAATGGAGACGCTTGAACCAACCACTTGATGCTTTTATCTGGAACGCCAAGCTCTCTAAAAATGGAGATCCGGGGAGATACACAATGTGCAATCTTCAAAGAGAAACATCTGTATCCGCGCTTCAGACACTTGACAACGTTTTCTTCCTCTAAGAGTATGCTCTTGAGGGAATCATAGCAAGGGATCAGTCTTTTCTCCAAGCTGAAGGATAGCGTTTTCGGGCAAGAAGAGATCAGCTTGGCAGTATCAGAGGTCGAAAACCCGATGGAACTGAAAAACATGAGCTTGGGAGAGATGACAGCCTCTGGGCTCAATGACAGAATACGAGGAAAAGATTTGATGACAGTGGTGATCTGGTCATTGGTGAAGCCATGGTCCTTGAAGAGAGCAAGAACAGAGTCTGGTTTCTCGGAAGAAACCAATTTGACGAATCTCGAATTTGACTTAGCTGATTCCAAAGACAATCCACAAGAATTCACGAGATACGAAACTGTAAAAGATTCCAAGCATTGGGTTTGCTTTTCGAAACCATCTAAATTCACTTGTGACACCGAACACAATGTCCTTCTTCTATTCACCAGAAACCCTAGATTGACTACGACGGTGGAAGTGTTAAACGCAAAATCTCCGACCTTTCTCCGGAAAGATGAAACTATACCAACCCTTCTGCAGTGTAACAAGCTCGACATGAGTACGCGAAAACACTAATCCTAAGCCTATGCCTAAGCCTCTTTGCCAAATCTCATTAAAAGAAAAAACTAGAACTGTGCAATAATCCAATTCGCCGGAATACTGGCTCAACTGAGAATAATAGAGCTAAAATCGCCGTCACGGTTACCTTTTTGTAGCCTTAAGAACCTTGCATAGACAGACTCACGGAGATGTTGTTCAGTGGGAGAGCGAGCTACTGAGCTAGCTCAAAAGGACTTGGCTCACACACACTCGTGCGACGACGACGGAAGAAAACGGGATAATCTCAAAATGTAGTCCTTGTACTTCTCTGGATTCACAGATTCGCCTCAAATTGTATTAAGTTACACATTAGCCTACATAACACGGATCCTACATTTTATTTTGCATAATCCCCTACATAACATAAGACTCTCTAGTCTGTATAGTCTTGTAAACTATATATGGACATCAATAATTAATCTTGTAAATATTGCAAGTTTGAACTTTGAAACAAAGACAATGTTAGAAAAAGCGTAGAGAAACAAGAAGGTGAGGTTAAATGTCTGCAGGAAAAAATTAAAGAAATGTCTATAAGAAAAAGCAGCAGTTCAAAAGGGAAAAAGAAGAAGAGACGCATAAATCTATGTTCTTCCTTCTCGGGTGATGAATCTATTATATCTTGAATATCTTTTCAAGTCTCAAAACAAGCGTCTTCACGTTGTTGGATAACTCATCCTGCAATTATGTTACGAGTATCATCAGTTTGAGCTTTAACAAAACACAGTAAATATTAAAACATTTTCGACACACCAGAACTTGTCAAACTTACCCAGTAGTTAGTTCTGAGTACGTCCATGGATCGCTTAGAAATGTGACTGACAAGCTCGTCCTCTATACCAAAGTGCCTCCCAAACATTTTCTGCTCTTCAGGGTTAGAAGCAATGATCTAATAGGAAAAAAAAAATTAGATTTTAAACCAATGTAGAGAAACTAGGAAAGGGTCAACTGATGTAAGAGAAAGAGGTCTCGTACCTTAATAGCCACCTCCTGTTCTTTTTTTGCATAATCAACTGGCTTGTCTCTGAGATCCTTAATAGATGCAACATGCCCAATGTCCATAAACACTCTTACTTTCTCAATCATTTTGAGAATGCAAATGGGAGTTCCAACCTAAATCATCAACAAGACCATTTTTGTTAGATCTGTGTGACCCAGAAGACAAGCGTAAAAAGATCTTGATGAGAAAATAGGATATACCTTGAGTATTCCATCCTTGACTTCAACTCCAAGGATTATTGGGTCCTTCTGTCTGTATATACGGTTTGGTAATATCTGAAGGACACATGGGAAAACTGCTTCACAAGCAGTTTCTTTCTTTTTCTCCTCTTTGATAGCCACGATGTAACTCTTGAAATGTTTCGATAAATCATAGATGGTATCAGCACAGAAGATTTTCACTCCCATTTTGTCGGCAAGTTTTCCGACCTCTGCAGTTACTTTCACGTCAAAAGCTAAAATCGTTGCCAACTCTTTTTTCCTCTCTAGCATTACACCCACCTTCATGATATCCTTCTTATGCACAGGTCCAATGCCAGTACCAATGACAGGTATGTTTACACCAGGGGACTTCAAGTGCTCGAGCAATGCTTCCAAAGACCCTCTTGTAGACGCTTGTACATGAACTCCTTTATCAATTTTGTCAATCCGGTTCATAACTGATTTGATATCTTCCATGGCCTTTTTCTTGGCTTCTTCCAGATCCTCATTAGGTCCAATCACACGCAAGGCAGTACCAGCAATGGCGTGTTCAAGTCCCTTTCATAAAAAGGAAAAATATAGGAAACATTTGTTCAGGATGTCCTCATTTTTTTCAAAGGCTAAGTAATTAAGATCAAGGTAAAAAAAGAAGCAATTGTAATGTTAGAGATAATCACCTGTGCTGCAATTTTGATACCCTGTGCACCCTTTACTTCCCTTTGAGGCAGATAGGTACCCTGACACATCAGACCAAGAAATTGTCATTGTATAAAGAAATGGAATGTAGAGAGTTATTTGCATAAACCATGTCTCCCAAGGAATGGACTATCTGAAAGTACCTTCACCCGCATCTCTTTCATAGGATGAGGAGTCAATAATGATCTAATAGTTGTTACAATTGGTCCCTGAAATAGAAGAAAGGAAAAGAATCAATCACATCTAGTTTTCCAGCTTTATGATATACTTGGCGTATTACATGTTTAGGTATGAGCCCTGAGTTTTCTACTTACCTGTGAACCACAAACAACGATAAGGTCACCTTCATGGAGTACTCCGTTGACCAAAACAACATCAACTGTAATACCTTGGCCTTCAATAACTTTAACCTCGAGGACAGTACACTGTCAACCAGTTTAAGAAAAAATAAGAAAGCTGCAGTTGTGCAGAAACGTTTCATTACCAAAAGAGAAATGAGACAAACCTGCACTTTGTCAACATATGTGAGTTTCTCGACCATTGTTTTCTGAGACCATTGAACCAACAGCAGCAAAAGATCTGGGATCTCTTCCCCACTGAAACATCAATATTAATCCATAGTTAGCATGCTTGACCTCTATGTTGGACTACAATTCGAATACAGCCAAAATGAAAAAACAGACCTAATAGCGCTAGTAGGTACAATATTGATAGTTTCTCCCATTTCTATGTTCTCGGAATAAAGCTTAGAGTTGAGTCCTTGTTCTTGGAACTGGTTTATGACCTGAAATGAAACAAAATTATTTTATAGCACATGTACACATTCTATTCACCCTAAAAGAATAAAACAAAAATCTCTAGGCGTAGAACTTACCCGATTTAGCCTCATTTTAAATTCATGAACCACATCACTCGTTTGTTGCATCATTGTCTTCATTATAGGAGCATTCGTGATTCTTTTCCACCCATATAGCAAATCCACCTGAAATTTGGAAATTTTGTGCCATACATCAGTGACAAAAGAGAAAACCAAACACATCCCAGCAGAATGACAAGAAACCTCACCTTATTCAAGGCAACAATGAACTTTACATTCCTTCTTCTCAAAAGATTCAGAGATTCTATGGTTTGTGGCTTTAAATCATGCATTATATCAACCACTAGAATTGCAAGGTCACACAAATTTGAACCCATTGACCGCAGATTTGTGAATGACTCGTGTCCCGGTGTATCGATAACTAATAGACCTGGCACCTTGAGTTTTGCATTAGCATTTAACTCCTTGGTCCTCTCACGTATGTTTTCTGCAGGAAAATATGTCGCACCAATCTGTTGAGTAATACCTCCAGCTTCACCTTCCTGAACATTTGTTCCTCTGATGCAATCCAACAGCTTTGTTTTACCAGTATCAACATGACCCATGATGCAGCAAATGGGAGAACGAAGATTTTCTTCTCCTTCTTTAGCAAGTTGATTTAGTACTAAGCCTTTACCCTTTTTAGAAGTATCTTTTGGCCGTGTAGCATCATCCACCTTAGGCATAGCTTTCTTGGCAGCTGTTTTTGGCTTGCCTACGACTCCAGCCTTCACTGTTGGTATATCTGGTACAGGACCTGTATTGAAACCCAAAATATTAGATAAAGCAGACAAAAGATAAAGAAAACACAGACTGAGGTTCTTCCTCCTCAAGTGTTTCGACTGACCTGAATCATGTGCCTTCGATGCAGTGTCTTTTAATTCTTTCTTAACCACAGGCTGAGGCTTCTCCTCCTTATCATCAGAATCAACCTCGATGGTAAAATTAGTTTTTGCATCCCACACATCCTCCTCATCACCATTCTTTTTTGATACATCAACAACTTCATGCTTCTCTTCTGTGTCTACGGATTCTATTATACCAACCCTTTTACCTTCAACTGAAACCAATTCATGCAAAGTACCTGGTTCCTCTGTAAGATTTCCCTTTGTTTCTACATCACCTTTCATCTGGACAGAGGCAGAATTGTTTGATTTTTTGCAAGATGATTTGTTTTTATTGCTGTAAATGGGACGCTTTGAGGAACCATCATTTTTATCTGCAAAAAGAACATCTCCAGCATCAGTCAGCACCTTGTTCTTGTAAGCCTCATTCTTTGCAGCTTCACGCTTTTGCTTTGCTGTTAGAATCCCGCCTTCTTGCTTCTTCTCCATTCTCCTTATCTTTCTCTTCTGCCTAATCTCTTCAGCTTCCCTTTCTCGCTCTTCCTCTATGCGGCGCTCCTCTTCCTCTTTCCTCAGTCTCTCTTCTTCTTCCTTCTTCTTCCTCTCTTCAGCTTCTTTCCGCCGCGCGAGAATCTCTTGCTTCTCTCGAACATGTTTAGGAACTTTCTTCTCTGCTACTTTAAAATTTACAACTTTCTTCTTAGACTGTGATGGCTCAGATATTGGATTATCTTGCTTGTCCTCCTTAGCCTCAAGGAAAGAAGCAGCTAATTTCTTTTCCCTGTCCTTCTTCTTTCTCTTTTTCTTAGCTGCAGAAGACTCAACAGTCTGTTCTTCTCCATCCTTCTCACCAGGTCCAACCAGCTCAGACAGAGCTTGAATTTTCTCCACTTTGGATACTGGTGAAACAGGAAGTTCAGCGAGTATCTTGTCCAAATCACCTTCATCATGGGCAGTCCTTACAGTCTTATTCTTCTTTCTCTTTGAACTTACTCCAACCTCACATATATTCTTAGATTCAGCACTTGCCATAGATGAGACAAGGGGGAGATCATCGTCCCCACCCGATGCACTTGATTTCCTCGTATCCATTGATGAAAACCAAAGATGAATATATCCTGTGATTAACAATTAGGTATCCGATCAATAACTATACAATCAACAACAAAAAAATCAATAAATCAACGAAATTAAAGCAATAGTGTGAGAGAAGATGATTACCTTTATCTGTAATGGGTTTCTCTTCATATTAGGCAAAAACAAACCAGGGGAGATTTACTGAACAACGAAGAGGAAGTTATCAAACAAGTTTAGTTCTTTCTGGGGAGAAGAAGAGTAAACAGCTTCGGCCTTTCGTTCGTTCTAGGAGAAGTTTGGGATTTTTAAGGTTCGAAATTATTTTTGGGGGTTGTCGCGTTTTTATAGATTTCGATCGAAAGCTTGAGAAACGATTTTATTGGGTTTAGGTTAAAAATAGCTAAAACGATCCCGTTTCTGAAATAGGAAAAGTAAATACAGTATTAAATAAATAAAGTAAAAAATAAAAAGAAGAAAAATTCAACAAGGAAAAAGGAAAAAGTCACAAAACAAAAAATTCAAATTAAAATTGCACAGATCTCTATCTGCTGCGTTAGCTTAAGCAGGGGAGGAAGAAAAAGACGAACATCTGATTCAGAGATAACAAACAATGTCGAGCGACAGCGATGACTTTGACGAAGATGAGCTTCTTCAAATGGCGTTGAAGGAGCAATCTCAGAGAGATCTTACATATCAGAAGCCTCCTTCCGCCACTGCTCGTAAGCCTGTCGCGAATTTAGTGCAGCAGCCACGGAAACAGAAGACGGCAGCAGCTCCTCCGTCGAGGAAGTCTATTGGAGGTACGAAGCCGTCGAGGAAGCCATCGATGGATGATGATGATGAATCGGAGGTGGAATTGCTTAGCATTTCGAGCGGAGATGACGATGTGGGGAATGATCGGAGAAGAGATGGTGGTGGAGGTAGAGGAAGAGGTGGAAGTGGTAAGGAGAGAGGAAGAGCGCGGAAGGAAGATGATGGAGCTTGGGACGGAGTGGAGCCTGATTGCTGGAAACGAGTGAATGAAGCTGAGGTACGGTATCTATCATGTTTGGGTTGATCTGGCTTCGATTTTGACTTTGACAAGATCTTGGCAGCTCGCCCGCAGGGTTCGTGATATGCGGGAGTCGAGAACAGCGGCACCCGTGACTCAAAAGCTTGAGCGGAAGGTATCTGGAGGCAAGAATGCGGTTCTCACCAGTTTGCAATCATTTCCTCGTGGCATGGAATGCATTGATCCACTAAAATTAGGGTACTTTCTTTCATTTGTTTTCTTACCTTGAAAATCGATCATATAGTTTATTCTACCTATGAGACCATGATATGATAGGGAGTATCTAAAGATGTCTTTTTGTGTACTTCGTAGGATAATAGATAACAAGACTCTGAGATTAATCACTGAGTCATCAGAAAGTCTTTCTAAAGCTGAGAAAGTGGATAATGCACTTCGGGGTATGTATTTCTTCATGATCATACTTGCAACTTGTAGTTGATTGTTAGCTCTTACACTCCAGGCTTACTCGTCTGAGAATATGCAGAAAAGTTGGTGTACATTTCTGACCATTTCGATCCCAAGCTATTTCTTTCTCGCATTCACCAAGAGACAAGTGCAGCGGACTTGGAATCTGGTGCCCTTGCTCTGAAAAGTGACTTAAAGGGTCGTAATTTACAAAGGAAACAACTGGTGAAAGATAATTTTGACTGCTTTGTCTCCTGTAAAACAACAATTGATGGTATGTATTATTATGCTAAATTAGTTTGGCATACATTTACTTTAATCTTATCTCTTGTTGATGTGAAGTCTGCTACCTTTCTCTAAAGATATTGAATCAAAACTGAAACGGATCGAAGATGACCCTGACGGATCGGGAACTACTCATTTGTTTAATTGTATGAAGAGTGTGACATCACGGGCTAATCGTGCTTTTGAGCCACTTTTTGAGAGACAGGTTGGTGTGGTCACATACTATTGGTTTTTGGTTTTGTCCTAGCCTCTTGCTATCTACTTATGACTTTTATCGCCATTATTCGTAGGCCCAAGCTGAGAAGATCAGGTCTGTACAAGGAATGCTTCAGAGATTCCGTACACTCTTCAACTTACCTAGTATAATACGTAGCAGTATTAGCAAAGGAGAGTATGATTTGGCTGTTCGAGAATACAAAAAGGCGAAGTCTATTGCTCTCCCTTCTCATGTAATGCCTGCCCCATTGATCAAACTCTTTAGACAGATGCCACTCATGTTTCTCTCAGCATTCACTTGTTAGAATATTAATCACTTGAGTTACAAAGTTCTTAAAAGCATAGAGTTACACGTTGCTTACAGGTCAATATACTCAAGCGTGTACTAGAGGAGGTTGAGAAAGTAATGCAGGAGTTTAAATGCACCCTTTACAGGTCTATGGAAGATCCAAAAATAGACTTAACGAGTGTAAGTTCATTATTACTACTTCTATTAATGTACATTCCATCTTTCATTTAAAGAAGTTAAGGATCCTGGTGCCTTTGTTATTAGATCGCTATCAGTTTAAGTGTACAATTATTGAAGTTTCATGCTTCCCTTTTGTAATACTACAAGTCACCGAATTAATATTTATACAAGACATTATGTATCTTGTCTCTCCATTTCCTTCCTCTGCTGGATGCTAACATGTTTTTGCTTAATTTAGTTGGAAAACACTGTGAGGCTTTTGCTGGAGCTGGAGCCCGAATCAGATCCTGTTTGGCATTACTTAAATGTTCAGGTCAGTGTATTAGTCCTAAGTTAGTGCTGAGTAGTGTTTTAGTATTCTGCTATTTTTTATTTTAATATCCTGGCTCTCTTAGCCCCTGCTTTTATGCATCTCTTTCCTTCATATTTGTGGTCTTACTTGGCACCTCTTTAGAAACACACATTATATACAATTTTCAGACTATTTGTTAAAAAATGTATATAAATTTTTCTAGCTCGGTTCTTTCTTTTATCAGAACCATAGAATCCATGGACTGCTTGAAAAGTGTACATTTGATCATGAAGCAAGGATGGAAATTTTGCGCAACCAGGTGCATGAGAGAGCTCTCGCTGACGCGAAGTGGCGACAAATTCAACAAAATGGCGTTCAACTTGTGAGTTCAACTGTGAAGGCAGCTATATTTTGGCAATATAAGCAAGATTAGAGTTTAAGATGATAATAATTTGTTCTTTCTTCAATACTTCAGTCAGATGACACGTCTTCTATAGATGATAATCAAGTTCAAGTTGACCTACCATCAGTAGAGTCGGGAGGGAAAGAAAATGATGCTTTGAGGGGAAGATACATCAAAAGATTGACTGCTGTAATCATATATCATCTCCCTGCGTTTTGGAAAACAGCTCTTTCTATTTTCAGTGGGAAATTTGCCAAGGTATACTAACTCTGCCAAGGTATAAGAACTCCTATGTGCTCTGCTCCTGCAGTATAATAACTCTGTATTACAATTTTTTATGCTGAGGGTAGTGCTATTTCTTTCTTTATTCAAATGGAGGTCAATCTTTACTTTGATTTGAATTCTACCAATTCAGTCTTCCCAAGTTAATGACACATCAGCCAGTAAAGCTGAGGAGAAGGTGGAAGAGGCGAGGTATTCAAGTCATTCTTTGGAAGAAGTTGCTGGGATGATACGCAATACCATATCTGTTTATGAAGAAAAGGTTATCTCCTTTCCTTTCTTTTCTGTTAAGTGATGTTGCCAATATACCGTTTTTCTGCCATACTGAAAAGATATCATGTCGTCTGTTTTCATTCATTGGTTCTAATACTTTTCCGCCTGATGTTTGATTGTGTAGGTGCAAAGCACATTTCATGATTTTGACGAATCATACATTCTCCAGCCATATATGAGTGATACCATCAAAGAAGTATCAAAAGCATGCCAAGCTTTTGAAGCCAAAGAGTCAGCTCCCCATAGTGCTGGTATTGAATTTCTTCTGAAGTTTGAGCTTGTTTTTTTGCTAAAATCTATTGAGATTTTATATACACTATTTGGTTCTTGCAGTCATTGCACTCAGAAAAGTCAAAGTGGAAATCACTAAAATATACATCCAAAGGCTTTGCTCTTGGATGAGGGCATCTACAGAAGGAATATCAAAGGAAGAGACGTGGATCCCAGTTTCTATTCTTGAAAGGAATAGATCTCCATATTCCATCTCTTACCTGCCCCTTGCATTCCGTTCAGTTATCATCTCTGGGATGGAACAAATTAATCTGTAAGTTTCTAGCCTCTTGCAGTTACATGTAAATATACAAATACTTAATCTTGTGTACATTAATCGTTACAACATTTTGCTACAATAACTTTGTAAGAGTTCTTTATATCTATGATGCTAGCCAGAAACTAATTTCCGATTGAATATTCTACTTCTCCCAATCTCTAGTTAGAAGAACAAAATGACAGTTGCCAAATTGCCATTTTCATGATTTTGGTTATATCATGATACTCAGAGACTGAGTCATAACTGCGGTTCAGAGTACTGTATATGTAATTGTGTACCACTAGTTTTTCGTGTTCTAAATGCGGTGTTTTCTTATGTGGCTGATGATTTCTGCATATTTTTTTATTCAGGATGATTCTATCTTTAAAAGGTGAAACTGCTACATCAGAAGATATGATTGCCCATATTGAGGAAATCCTGATATCTGTTAGACTTGCCTTTTTGAACTGCTTTCTGGATTTTGCTGGTAAGCCTTTTACACCAAACTTCTGTGATAATATATGTATACAGATGCGCACACATTCATGTGTGCAGACAAAAGAAATGACGATGATTATGTTGATATGATTTTTTTTTTTTTTTTTTTTTTGCATATATTAAGCTCACTTAGAGCAAATTGGTGCTGACCTTTCTCAAGGCACCTCAAAGAGAGAGAGTTGGCAAAATGGATATTCCAACGACCACCAGGAAGAACCATCAATCAATGCTCCTGAAAGTGTCGTTGATCCTCATAGGCAGTTGCTGATGATCTTAAGTAATATAGGTTATTGCAAAGACGAACTCGCCTCTGAGCTTTACAACAAGTACAAATATACTTGGTTACAGTCGAGGTGAGTCTCTCTCTTATTACCTCATTGGTGCTTTTTTGACATCAACATTTTCCTATCTCTGATCTAACCGGCAGAGAAGTTGGACAAACTTATTCATGCTTATTGTCTGAAGTCTCAATCACGATAGTTAGTACCAATGTCTTAATTTTATAATCAAAAGTTTGAATGTTAGTGAGAAATTTATATATGGTAGTATGAGTTGACTGGCTAATCCCATTCGTGTCTTAAATCTTCCAGGGGGGCCGATGATGACAACAGTGACCTTCAAGATCTAACAATGTCTTTCTCTGGTCTTGGAGAGAAGGTCCTCGAACATTACACGTTTGCTAAGGTAATGCCTAATCGGCTAAGTTAGTCTTTACTAATGTTGGCACTGTGTGTTAAAGAAATGATGCAGTTCCATTGAACAATGGATAAAGGAATGTTAATTTTTAAAATCCTTTCCTTTTGCATCTATATGTCTTCTACCCAGGCAAACTTGATCAGAACAGCTGCAACAAATTATTTGCTGGACTCTGGTATTCAGTGGGGTGCGGCGCCTCCGGTAAAAGTAAGTGGCAAGTTCACTCTCAGCTGTGACTTTCTTGTTCCTTAGAAGAATCAATGAAAAAAACACTTTAGCCTACTTTCTGAAGAAACGATGACTAAACCTTTGTTCAGGGAATACGAGATAATGCTGTTGAGCTGTTACACACTTTGGTTGCTGTCCATGCAGAGGTAATACCGTTGCTTCATCCTAAAGAGAGTCAGATATTCGAATTTCCATAACAATTGCTTCTAAACATCACACACACTTGAGTAATCCTAGTGCTAAACCAGTTAATCTTATACTACGAACAATAATTTACAGGTATTTGCGGGTGCCAAACCACTTCTTGACAAAATTCTTGGCACTTTGGTCGAAGGTCTGATTGATACTTTTCTCAGTCTTCTGGAAGAAAACAGATCTGACGACCTGAGCTCAATAGATGCAAATGGTTTCTGCCAATTGATGCTTGAGGTAACAATTTGGTTTTCTCAACTTTATATGAGTGAATGGGTTGTAATACTTAAACTAGTTGTGATGTGTATCTGGTTTTACAAACTGATGATGCAGCTTGAATACTTTGAAACTATACTGAACCCATATTTGACGGTTGATGCAACCGAGTCTCTAAAGTCTCTGCAAGGAGCTGTGTTGGAGAAAGCTACAGAGAGTATAAGTGAGAAAGTTGAGAACAATCCAGGAGGGCATCAACGGAAACCAACACGTGGTAGTGAAGATGCAATTTCTGAAGACAAACAATCATCCGTATCCCCGGATGATCTCCTTGTATGAATATTTCTCCTTAACAATATTTTCAATCTTCAATACTTTAAAACTCTTACAGATCAGCTAAAAGCATTATTCCTTTGTTATTGTTGCTACTTTAGGCTCTTGCACAGCAATGTACAAGCGGGATGCTTCAACTAGAGTTAGAGAAAACCCGTTTGAACAGTGCATGTTTCGTTGAGACAATTCCGTTGGATCCAATGCCACCAGTAGCCAAAGCTTCTTACTCTAGAACATCTAGGGATTCTCCGAGCAGAAACTATAGAGAGCCACAATCAATGGGTTCGCCGGTTCAAGCCAGGCCAAGACAAAGATAAGACTTCTCTTTTTTACTCTGATTCGAAGCGTGTTAGTTGTGATCATGACACGTTTTCCTCAATACTGTATATTCGTTCTAATTGATTTTACATCACTAATCTTCTTTTCACTGTAAATTCACTTGTTTACAATTACATTAACTTTTCTCATGAATTTGAAACGTTAAGTGTTTTCATCCACTTGTGAATCAAAATTAATTGTCGTTTAATCAAAATGTCTTTCCTGGGTGGGTATCTAAATAGGTCATTAATCTCTTTTGCTGATAGAGTTTAAAATCAACGAGTTTGAGGAAGAACACAAATCTTAAGAGGAAAAAAAACATCAAACCCGAAAATGAAACTAAAACCACGGTAAGAAAGTCGACATTACGAAGTATGTTACACTGCTTCTACTATAACGAAGCGCCCGTTACCAGAATTCGAATTCGGTTTAAATGTTTGACAACAAAGAAAACATAGCACACAATTACAAGTCAAGAGCTAAGTAATCAGAAAAAGTGCTTCTACTCAGCTCCGGATTTGTTAACTCAGATCCCAGTACCAAAAGAACAGTTAGGTCGTCCTCAGAGGCGGCGCCACCAATATCACTCCATCTCCTCTCACGAACAGAAATGGAACTGTTCGCTTCGTTGTCTGACAAAAGCAAGCTCCATCAGCAAGCAGTTCGAACATATGATTGTGCAGTTAAAAATCGATATAGTCATCCCAATTTCGAATCACAGAGCATAGGAAGTAAACTATAGTCTAATCATAAGCAAAACATCAACATCTGTTTTAAGTTTGAGAAACTAAGTAGAGTTACTAGCTACCTAATGAAGACTCTATGAGTCAAGAAATGTGAACTTCTACATGTGTCAAGATCAGCTTATAACTCAACACTAAGACAAAGGTATATAGATAATGTGAAAGCTGAAACTTTAAAACCCTATACAATTATACATCATCCAACCAATCCACAAGCCTAAGAGATTAATATCTCTCTGATTTGAGCTCTGAAAATCACATTACATACCCGAACGATCTCTTCGTATGTCTCGTCGTCGATTTCTATAGTCGTAATAACCTCTTCAACATCACCCAGAATCATATTCAAATGCTGATCAAAAGCCTGCACACACACACACACACACACAAAGGTGAGCAACCTCAAATCTTAAAAAATACAGCTGAAAATACCGGAGAATGAACTAAAAACCGCAGTCAAGATCAAATCTGAAATTCGAATGGGAAATAAAACGAGAATCCAAAAAAACGAACGTGAAGCTTGCCGCGGAGTTCACGGTCAGACCGGAGCTTGACATAGATTCTCTCTTCGATACTCAGACGAATCAGATCCAATGGCTCCCTGACGGTGGCGTCTTCCTCGACTGACATTTTCTGATGGAGAAACTTCTTCGGAGGGTTTTGAAATTGCGAAGAATGAGAATAGTCGACTCGCCGATCTCTCTCTCTCTCTGTCTCTCTGAGCTCACGCAATCACCACCGTTGATTTCTAAACTTTACAGATGTTTTATTTTGGGCTTTTTCCTATTGGGCCTGAGCCTACATGTTCGCTTTATTAGTTCTCTGTTCTAAAATTGCAAACAAGGACGGTAGACGCGTATCTCATTCAATTAAACTTTTAATTAAAATTTTAGATGACCATAATTATATAATTATAAGTAAATTTAGTACCATACAAACAAAACCAATAGATGTGATTCTCAAAATTTCTTATCTTTTTTGTCTGATAAAAGTAATTTTAAGATAAACAATCATCTAAATGCAAATAATCTTTGAAGATTGAAGAAAAATTCTCCCACCATGATTATGATTAATCCATGGTTAGTGGAATTTAGCTAAGTCCAATCACAAGGTAGTATCAACGAGACAACAACAAGGAGTCCCATCACAAGGTACCAATTTGTCATTTCATTAACACTAAATTTATAATAAAGAATTCGTGAGAAATGTGGACGTGAAAATTAAAATAAAGTTTACAAAAAAGAAGAGCCTTTTGGCACATTCATGTTTAGAGAGAGAAAGAGAGAGAGAAACTCTGAGGAAGCTGACGACGACCCGGAGAAGACGAAAGCCAACAACAAGTTCCTCACTTTTTTCTTCTGTGAGTTACTACTTCCTTTTGACTCATCTCTCTGCAATATATATTTACCGCTTTAACTTCTTCATCTCTCGATTCCTCTCTGCTTTTCTCATTTCTAAAGGTTCCACCTTTAATTAATTTCCCCAAGATCCAGTAGTACTAAGTTTTTTGTGAGAAAGTTTACGCTTTTCAAATCGATTTTTGACTTTTTTGAGATCTGTGTTTTCTCTTCCATTTCTCTGATGAATTAGGAAGTAATTTGGGGGTGGAAATGGATGGGAATTTTCCACAAGGAGGTGTAGTTCGTGGTGGAGCTTCTTCTTATGGAGGATTCGATTTGCAAGGTTCTATGAGAGTTCATCATCCAGAGTCCATGAATCAGCATCGACACAATCCTAATTCTCGACCACTTCATGAAGGTCTTCCCTTTACTATGGTAACTGGTCAAACCTGTGATCATCATCAGAACATTTCTGTGGCTGAGCAACATAAAGGTGAAAGAGAGAAGAACTCTGTGAGTGATGATGATGAGCCGAGTTTCACGGAGGAAGGTGGTGATGGTCCCAATGAAGCTAACAAATCTACTAAAGGATCTCCATGGCAAAGAGTTAAGTGGACGGATAAGATGGTGAAGTTGTTGATTACTGCTGTGTCTTATATAGGCGATGATTCGACTATGGATAGTGGTAGTAGAAGGAAGTTTGCGGTTTTGCAGAAGAAGGGGAAGTGGAAATCGGTTTCTAAAGTTATGGCTGAGAGGGGCTATCATGTTTCGCCACAACAATGTGAGGATAAGTTCAATGATTTGAATAAGCGGTATAAGAAGCTTAATGATATGCTTGGTAGGGGAACTTCTTGTCAGGTTGTTGAGAATCCTGCGCTTTTGGATTCCATTGGATATCTGAATGAGAAAGAGAAAGATGATGTTAGAAAAATCATGAGCTCCAAACATCTTTTCTATGAAGAAATGTGTTCGTACCACAATGGGAACAGATTGCATTTGCCTCATGACCTTGCTTTGCAGCGTTCTCTACAGTTGGCGCTTCGAAACAGAGATGATCATGATAATGAGGATTCTAGGAAACACCAAATGGAGGATCTTGATGATGAGGATCATGATGGGGAAGGTGATGAACATGATGAGTATGAGGAACAGCATTATTCACATGGGGATTGTAGGGGGATTCATTATGGAGGTGGAGGTTTGGGTGGTGGTCCTTTGAAGAAGATAAGACAAAGCCATAGCCATGAAGATGCAGACCATCCGAGTCATGTAAATTCTTTGGAATGCAATAAAGTCTCTTTACCTCAAATGCCGTTTTCTCAAGCTGATGTGAATCAAGGTGGGGCAGAGAGTGGGAGATCAGCTTCAATGCAGAAGCAGTGGATGGAGTCTCGGACTCTACAGCTAGAAGAGCAGAAGCTTCAGATCCAAGTCGAATTGCTGGAATTGGAGAAACAAAGGTTCAGGTGGCAGAGGTTTAGTAAGAAAAGGGATCAAGAACTCGAGAGAATGAGGATGGAGAATGAAAGGATGAAACTGGAGAATGATCGGATGGGATTGGAGTTGAAACAAAGGGAATTGGGGGTTGAGTTATAATGGAAATGGCTTGACACTTCTCTTGAGTGGTGTATAGCTTCGCTAGATGAAAGATTCATTTCTGCTCTTGTATGCTTGTTTTGATTGAAATGATCTCGAGACTTTGATGTGAGAGATCAATGTGGTTGCATCAGAGTTGATGCTGAGAATATAGTGACACAGGAGTGGTTAGTATAAGCAGCTATCTAAGGTTTGCTTTAATTTAACCTTTCAGTCACTTTTTCCATGTAAACATTATGACTTGAAGTAAACCAACTGGTTAATTAATATAATCATTCTGCTGTAGACATCTTCATCCAATTTTCTGGGGTGTAAACAATGTATCATTATTAAGCCAGTTTGCCAATGAGGTGTTGTGTATTCTTCCACATGGAGCCTTAAGTTATTTTGAACTATATCAATTGAATTCCTAAACTAAATTGTGATTGACCCTACTAAAGTATCTTCCGTTTTTCTTTTTCTAATGGACTTGGATCCAGAGAAAAAATTATGCAATTTATACTTTGGATCATATCTCCTGTAGTAGAAAAAGATTCAGACTGTGTCCCAAGATCTGGGTTTGCGTTTTTGCCTTTAACTTGTTTCGACGACTCTTCAGTTTGAGGATGTTGAATTTGTCAGGAGTATTATCATGAAGCCAAAAGGTTTCTTCAGGTTTGACTTGCATGTTTTTTCAACATGAATGTAATCATGTTCCTGACTAAAAAGCATGTTGTGTTTGCCTGTTTTTGGTCCATCCTAATGTTTGCTTCTTTTTATTTCCCTTTTGGGTGTTAGGTGATGATGATCTTCTTTCCTTTCTGTTGATTCAAATTAGAGTTTTGTGGATATTTAATAGTTACTAACGAAGAAAGAACTTCTTCATAATCAACTTTTAACTATCCATAAAACTCTAATTTGAAACAAACTCTACTTTTGGGTCGGCAGGTTCTGTGTAAACGTCTTTGGCTCACTGCTTCATACACCTGTGATGTTGAAATCTTGAAAAGTGTCATTTTTAGCATGTATTAGTGATGTCATGGTCAAAATAAGAAGACAAACTTACTGTAGTAGAATGTCTGCGAAAACGGGAAGTTCCTTCTTCCGCGAAAACGAATCAGAAGAAGAATTCTTTACACCGAGTATGTGATTTTCATTCACGCTGATAGCATATCCAAATCCAAACAACACCTATCAAGGCATGAGTAGCTGAGGACGTGTATTGGTTGCATCAGTCAACAACTTCAAGCTGAGTGTGGCGAACCAACCAAAAAATTTAGCTGAGCTGGACTAGTCTGACCCTGCCAAGGTAAGAATCATGTATCCACTCTATACATTAAAAGCTTTCACTCTCTCAGTCAGCACCAACTGACTTGCAAATACTCGAACAAACTAAAGTCAACATCAAAAACAAATCAGAGCATGTTATGATTAGGTAACAAGTCTCCTGAGGTGCCTTAATGTGGATAAACACAATTTAAATAAATAAAAAAAAATCATTTTGATGTGATAATCAATGTTTAAAATAAGTTATTTTGACAAGACTAAAGTTGAAGAAATCTCAAATGGTTATTTATTTACTGTCAAATGGGTTTCGATTCTATATTATCTTAAAGAAAGTCGTCGTCAGTATGATACTTATTCTTCCCATTTGTGATTCCTGATAATTACCACCAACCGTTACGGTTTTTAAATCCTTGAAAACAAAAACAAATTGTTAAAAGGAAGCAAACGTAGATGAACATGTCTTGGCTATGTAATTAGGCAATTGATTATAGTATTATAGAAAATGTCTTGGCTATGTAAAGGAGAAATAGGAATGGGTCTTCGAAGAAGGTAAACGGATGATTTGAAGTGCACTGCTTTTCTTTTTTCTTTTTTTTTAATAAGAAGCGTCAGAGAGATGAGAGAAAACTCAAAGAGGAACAAGTTTGAAGAGAAAAGAAAAAAGGAAGATGAAGATGCAGGAGGTTGTGTTCTTGGTGACTATTTTCTGCGTTTCTTATACCGAGCTGTTCAAGGGGGAAACCTTGCCCGATTGCCCAAAAAGTTGTGGTACCGTTACTATTGAGTACCCTTTTGGCTTTTCTCCAGGTTGTTGGCACTCCGAAGATGTTAGTTTTAAACTCACTTGTAAGAACGAGACGCTATTTTATAAGGGCCTTAGAGTGGTCAACATTTCTCACAGCAGCCAGCTACGCATCCTGTATCCTACATCCTATACTTGCTACAACAGCCAACAAGTTGTAGAAAAGGGCGTTTCCTACTATACTGATCAGGTGGGTAGTTTAACTCTCTCCGACGACAACAGGCTTACTGCAGTAGGCTGTGACACGTTCTCTTTTGTGAGCACTGGTGGAACTCGGAGAAACTCATTTGGATGCATATCAGTATGCGATGATCATCCCCTGCAAGTGGAAGCACATAATGAATGTAATGGTGAAGGTTGCTGTCAGACCTCCGTCATTGCAGGGAGCAGTTGGTACATAGTTAGAGCATATCGCTTTACCAACGGCACTAGTTTTCGCCGCTTCAGCAGTCCTTGCGTGTACGCCTTTCTCGCTGAAAATGGCACTTTTAAGTTCAATTCTATGAAGGACTATTCCTATCTACAGAATACGAGCTTCCCAGTGGTATTAGATTGGTCTATTGGAGGAGAGACATGCAGGCAAGTCGGAAATGAGAGCTTGTGCAGTGTAAACAGCATATGTTCCAATTCTACTCGCACAACCGGGTATGTCTGCAAATGTGAAGACGGTTACTTTGGGAATCCATATCTTGAAGAAGGTTGCAAAGGTACTTCAACTTGTTTTCTTTTTTATCACCTCACTTTATTGTTCGTTTCTATATATATGCTTGCTGCATCTTGCGCTATTTTCCTTGGCCAGATATCAATGAGTGTATTAGTAGTAGACACAACTGTTTGGATCCTAGTACCTGTGAAAACACGAACGGAAGCTTCACTTGTAACTGCCCAACTGGTTTCCGCAAAAACTCCACTAGTAGCTGCACGCTTAAAGAAAGGCACTTTGAATGGACTCGAATATTTCTAGGTAAGCTCCCCTCTCTGGGTCTGGATTCTTTCTTCTCTGAAACAACTTGATCTAATCATTTATGTGTGATGTTACCAGGAACCACTATCGGCTTCTTGTTGATCTTGCTTGGCCTTAGCTGTATACAACAGAGAATGAAGCACCAAAAGGACACCAAGCTCCGACAACAATTCTTCGAGCAAAATGGCGGTACCATGTTGATACAGCGACTCTCAGGAGCAGGGCCGTCAAATGTTGATGTCAAAATATTTACAGAGGAAGGCATGAATGAAGCAACTAATGGTTACGATGAGAGCAGGATCTTAGGTCAGGGAGGCCAAGGAACTGTGTACAAAGGCATATTGCCAGACAAGTCCATAGTTGCTATAAAGAGAGCCAGGCTCGGAGACAATAGCCAGGTAGAGCAGTTCATCAACGAAGTGCTCGTGCTTTCACAAATTAATCACAGGAACGTGGTCAAGCTCTTAGGCTGCGGTCTAGAGACCGAAGTTCCCTTGTTAGTCTATGAGTTCATTACTAGTGGCACCCTTTTTGATCACTTGCATGGTTCAGTGTTTAATTCTTCTCTAACATGGGAACACCGTCTGAGAATAGCCATAGAAATTGCTGGAACTCTCTCATATCTTCACTCCTCTGCTTCTATACCAATAATCCACCGTGATGTCAAGACTGCTAATATTCTCCTGGATGAAAACTTGACTGCAAAAGTAGCTGACTTTGGTGCATCAAGGCTGGTACCGATGAATAAAGAGCAGCTCACAACTATGGTACAAGGAACTCTAGGGTACTTAGACCCAGAGTACTATAACACAGGACTCCTAAATGAGAAGAGCGATGTTTATAGCTTTGGGGTAGTCCTCATGGAACTGCTCTCAGGTCAAAAGGCATTGTGCTTTGAAAGGCCACAAACCTCAAAACATCTGGTGAGTTACTTTGCCACTGCCACGAAAGAGAATAAGTTGCATGAGATTATTGATGGCCAACTGATGAAAGAGGATAATCTGAGGGAGATCCAAGAAGCTGCAAGAGTCGCTGTTGAGTGTACAAGATTGACGGGAGAAGAAAGGCCAGGGATGAAGGAAGTAGCTGCAGAGCTAGAGGCATTGAGAGTGACAAAAACCAAACATAAGTGGTCAGATCAGTATCCTGAAGCAGAGGATATTGAGCACTTGCTTGGTGTTCAAACCCTATCAGTGCAAGGGGAAACAAGTAGCATTGGCTATGACAGCATCAAGAATGTAGCAATATTGGACATTGAAGCTGGCCGCTGATAATTCCGTCCAACTTTCACTAAAGACTTTGACTGTTGGCTACATTCCGTTTGATCTGATCAGGTTTCTCCTCTCCACCTTCTCATCCTCATTAACATTTAAACCTGATAATAAAACAAGACATTAGAAAGAAAACCTTTTTGTTTGTGAAATTCTTTTTTCGTCAAATCATCGATCATTGTGTTTATAAGTCCACTTAATTTGGTATTTTTACACTTCACTATCAGATTTGGTAATAGAATATTTCTGGTACCGAACTCATGAATCTGAACATCAGTATACAATATATTAATGTTAAAAAGACCCAAGAAGAAAACACTAAGCATCAAAAGAAATGATAATTCATTCTCAAAATATGAGAATTCATTATGACTACTCATGAGCATGATTCGTCTTCTCACTCTGCTTAAGTCTCTGTTCAAACCGACCAGCTTCTCCTTTTTTTTTCTCTGTCTATCTCGTATTTTTTGGCCCGTTTCTCAATTACGCACCAGAAACCGTCCCACACACACTCCGACACCGTATCACTCTACCGTCACTTTTCCTGGTGATGTCAAGCAGAAGAGGAAGTTCAAATGATTGGCCAATGTCCAGTGCTAGTCTTTCTTTTTTAAAATTCTCAGATGGTTTAATTTTCAGTAATAATATCTTGAGCATATAATCTGAATATATTTACCATTTTCTCCACATTTGAAGATTCCTTGCGAGTAGCAGCCGTCGTAATATCAGAATACAACCAAAATTAGAGTCAGTGTCAAAACATAGACATTGGGATATAATATTGGAAGATGGATGTTGTATATACTTTAACGTCCTTCTTTCATTACATTGACAAATGACATGTTCTTGTCTCTATAGTAGAATTCCTGCAGTTTGTTTTCTAACTATATATAAGATGCCTCAAACAGATGACTAATCTTTTTCTATTCAATAAAATATAATTAAGCGCGCAATTAGTCTGATTTCCTTACAACTACCAACCATCGTAAACTTTGACTACTACAAAAAATAAGAGTCATCATGTCAAACGTTGACGTTGGGATTATCTTATGGGAGAATATGGAGACCTGAACGTGCTCCTTGCGTGACATTGACATGGTTTTGTTTGTGTAGCTGAATTGGAAAAGTGTCTGCGTTGAAGTGTAAAGAGGTTTATTTCAAGACTTGAGGTTTATTTCCTACAAGAGAACAAATAAGCAAATAAAACTCAAGGAGATGAGAGAAAACTCAAAAGAGGAATAAAGAGAGAAGAGAGAAAGAGAGAGATGTTGAACAAGGTGAGGGGTCTGTTCTTTGTGGCTATTCTCTCCCTTGTATATACTCAGCTGATCAAAGGGATATCTTTGCCCGGCTGCACAGATAGGTGTGGTAACACCACAATCTTGTACCCTTTTGGAATTTCTGCAGGTTGCTACTATCCCGGAGATCAAAGTTTCCAACTCACCTGTAACGAAAGAAATAACAAGTTAATCTTTGGCGGCAATGAAGTGATCAACATATCTCACAGCGGCGAGCTACGTGTCTTGAATACTAGATCCTATGTTTGCTACAATAGGCAAGGAGAACAAATTGGCCGCCAAAACCGGTGGTCTAGGCTGGGTAATTTAACATTCTCCGTCAAGAACAGATTTACTGCAGTAGGCTGTGACACTTATGCCTTTCTGAACACTAATGGACTTGGAAATTACTCAACTGGATGTATGTCAACATGTGTTTCTCCCAGGGAAACAAATGGATCATGTTCTGGTGGAGGTTGCTGCCAGACTTCTGTCCCTAGAGGGAGCAATTACTTTAGAGTCAGAGCATATAGCTTTTCCAACCATTCTTCTGTGTATCCCTTCAACCGCTGCAGCTACGCCTTTCTAGTCGAAGATGGTATGTTTAACTTCAAGTCTTTAGAAGATCTTAAGAATTTGCGGAATATCAAAAGGTTCCCTGTGGTACTGGATTGGTCTATTGGTAAACAGACATGCGAGCAAGTAGGACGCGAAAGCATATGCCGTGGGAACAGTATATGTTCCAACTCTGTTCGTGGAACCGGGTATATCTGCATATGTAAAAAAGGGTTTGATGGCAATCCATACCTTTCAGATGAAAACGGCTGCCAAGGTACTTCAGATAGTTTTCAATTTTCTTCTTCTTCGCTTGTAAGTTAATTTTTCTCCTAAAACATATCTTGTTGCATCCTGGGCTATTGACAGACATCAATGAATGTACGACTACCAGTACTATCCATAGACATAACTGTTCAGGTTCCAGCACCTGTGAAAACACGATGGGACACTTCCTTTGTAATTGCCCATCTGGTTCTGACTTAAATACTACCACCAATAGCTGCAGCCGTAAAGACAGGCCTGAATACTATGGATGGACTAAAATTTTTCTTGGTAAGCTCCTCTCACTTTTTTCGAGTTCTATTGTTTCCAAGAAAAAGTCAGTCAAATAATCTATGTATTTTGTAACCAGGAACTAGCATCGGCTTCTTGGTCCTCCTACTTGTCGTTAGCTGTATACAACAGAAAATGAAAAACCGGAAGGACACCCAGCTCCGTCAACAATTCTTCGAGCAAAATGGCGGTGGCATGTTGGTACAGCGGCTCTCAGGAGCAGAGTCATCAAACTTTGATGTTAAAATCTTTACTGAGGAAGGCATGAAGGAAGCAACTAATGGTTATGATGAGAGCAGAATCCTTGGTCAGGGAGGACAAGGAACAGTCTACAAAGGGATATTCCAGGACGAGTCCATAGTTGCTATAAAGAAAGCTCGGCTTGGAGACAATAGCCAAGTAGAGCAATTCATCAACGAAGTGCTCGTGCTTTCACAAATCAACCATAGGAACGTGGTCAAGCTCGTAGGCTGCTGTCTAGAGACAGAAGTTCCCTTATTGGTCTATGAGTTCATTACCAGTGGCACCCTTTTTGATCACTTGCACGGTTCATTGTTTGATTCTTCTCTTACATGGGAACACCGTCTGAGAATAGCCATAGAAATTGCTGGAACTCTCTCATATCTTCACTCCTCTGCTTCTATTCCAATAATCCACCGCGATATCAAGACTGCTAATATTCTTTTAGATGACAATTTAACTGCAAAGGTAGCTGACTTTGGGGCATCAAGGCTAATACCGATGGATAAAGAGCAGCTGACAACAATGGTGCAAGGCACTCTCGGCTACTTAGACCCAGAATACTACAACACAGGATTGCTAAACGAAAAGAGCGATGTTTATAGTTTTGGGGTGGTCCTCATGGAACTGCTCTCGGGCCAAAAAGCATTGTGCTTTGAAAGGCCACAAACCTCAAAACATATAGTGAGTTACTTTGCTGCTGCCATGAAAGAGAATAGGTTGCACGAGATTATTGACAGCCAAGTGATGAACAAGGATAATTTGAGGGAGATCCAGGAAGCTGCAAGAGTTGCAATTGAATGTACAAGAGTGACGGGAGAAGAAAGGCCAAGGATGAAGGAAGTAGCTGCAGAGCTAGAGGCCCTGAGAGTCACAAAAACTAAACATAAGTGGTCAGATCAGTATCCTGAAGCAGAAGATATTGAGCACTTGCTCGGTGTTGAAATCCTATCAGCACAAGGCGAAACCAGTAGCACTGACTACGACAGTATCAAGAATGTAGCAAGGTTGAACATTGAAGCTGGTCGCTGATATTTTCGATAAATATCTCTTTTGTTTGTGATAAACTAAAGCTATTTCTTTATTGCTTCTTTGTCCTCCTAAACATTTTATAAACCAGAGTATAAATAAATAACATGACATTCAAGAACATTTATGCTTAACTGATCTTTGTAGATAATCAATTACTCTATTTATAACTTCCCTTGATTACTATACTAACCAGTAAAGAAAAATTAGAGTTGATGAATCTTATTCCATATGTAGAGTAGATACAAAACAACAACTCAAGAAAATAAAAATGAAAAAATAAAACACTCGAACTTAATTCTTCATCACCTTGTTGATTTGATCACCGATGCTGCTTGGTCTACCAGAACAAAAGCTTGATGAAGAGACGGAAGAGGATTCATAAGCATAATTTGCGTTCTCACATAGCTTAGTTCTTTGTTCAACCCCATCAGAAACGCATAACGCTGCTCCTTCTCTCTCGCCTCTTTAGCTTGTTTCTCAATCTCGCAATCACAACCTCCGCACGCACACTCAGCCACAGGATCATACTCCAACAACTCCACGCTAGCTCTCATAAATTTCGCGAAATATCCACTCACAGAGTCACCATCTTGCCTCAAATTCGCGAGTCTCCGACGAAGCTCGTAGATCTTGAAATCAACACTCGGCACGAACAGGACCCGGAGATCCTCCCAAGCTTTATGCGCAGTCTTCGCGGACGATACATACCTTCGAAATTCTTCGCCCACTGAACTCATCATCCAACACTTAACCCTCGCGTTACATGTTCCCCATGGATGATAGAGCGGCGAGGAAGGTTCAGGTTGCTCGACGGTGCCGTCGACGAACCCGGTTTTGTTCTTGCTTTGAAGGAAAAGGAGAAAACCATTCTTCCAGATGAAATAGTTGTCTTCGGCTTTGCTTAGTATAGCCATCGGGAGATTCTCGTTGTATTGGTCATCTGGATCGATATAATAAGGAGATTCAGGATCGAGTGTGGAAGATTCCGCCATTTTCACTGTGACCTCCTCAGCTCTGAGCTCTCGTTACTGTTTTTGATTTTAGGTTTGCTTTTGATTTTTTCTTTTTTTTTTGTAATCTGTATAAATAAATAATGAATAGCTGGGCTTCTATGGGCTTTAGATTTCTCCTCCCTAGCCCAAAGTTTAAGATTTATTTTGTTCTACCCGCCTTAATTCGTACTTGTGTGTTGGCTGTTATGTAACTCCAAAAAAAAAAAATTAAAGGGCTCATTTGCTACAAAATATCAATATTTGTCCCACAGTTTGACTCATATACATACTTGTGTTTTGTTTAAACGCTCATAAACTTTTGTTGTGTTTGAGAGGTTCTTGTTTCGTGAGATCATTAACCATTGTGTTAATAACTCTCCTTAATTGGTATTTTCTACACTTGTGTATCAAATTTGGTACTAGAAAATTTAAAGTTTTTGTTGAAAGGGCCGAATTCATGAATATGAAATATATATAGTTGACCAATGCCCACTACTCTTTTTTTAACTGTCAGATGGTTTTCTATATTTGATAATTATATACATTTCTGAATATTTTACCATATCTTCAATTATTTGAAGATTTCTTGCTACTACCAACTATCTGAAACTTTGAATATTGTTAAACAGAAGCAAACGCAGACGTTGTGATGTAATATGGAAATAAGCAGCAAATTTGATCAACGTGGTCTTGCTTATGTAAGTTGAGTTTAGTATTTGCAATTTGTAGGAAAATGGGAGCGGGTCAGCGAACACTAATCAAGAAACACATCTCAAGGCTGAGGATTGGTTCTTATTATATAAAGCCTTAAAGGGATATGATTAAACAAAAAAAACAATTCAAAAGAGAAACAAATTAGAGAGAAAGTAAGAAATAAAGAGAAAAAAGGAAGAAAGATGAAGAAGGTGCCTAGTCTGTTTTTGTTGGTGGCTATCTTCTTCGTTGCTTATACGCAGCTAGCGAAGGGGCAACCTCAACCTCGCCATGATTGCAAATCTAGATGTGGCAACGTCACAATTGAGTACCCCTTTGGTATTTCCACAGGTTGCTACTATCCCGGAGATGATGTTTTCAATATCACATGTGCGGAAGATAAACCAAATGTCATAGAAAACATTGAAGTGAGAAACTTTTATCACAGCGGCCAGCTACGCGGTATGCTTCCTCGGTCCACTGTTTGCTATGACGGGGTAAGGAATGATGAATTCAGTTCCCTCTGGTTTCAACTGGATAATTTATCTCTCTCAACCAAAAACAAGTTTACTCTAGTCGGCTGTAACGCTTGGGCACTTCTGAGCACCTTTGGATTGCAAAACTACTCAACTGGATGCTTGTCATTATGCGATTCTTCCTCGGTACCAAATAATAAATGTAATGGTGTAGGTTGCTGCAGAACAGACGTCTCTGTTCCGTTAGATAGCAACAGGCTTGAAATGCAACCAGCTCGCTTCGAAAACATGACTTCTGTGAAACACTTTAATCCTTGCGTCTACGCCTTTTTCGTTGAAGATGGTATGTTTAACTTCAGTTCTACAGAGGACCTTGAGAATCTGAGGAATGTCAGGCAATTCCCTGTGGTACTGGATTGGTCTATTGGAAACCATACATGCGAGCAAGTAGTAGGCAGAGACATATGTGGTGGTAACAGCACATGTTTTGATTCTACTCGTGGAAAGGGTTATAACTGCAAATGTTTACAAGGTTTTGAGGGAAATCCATATCTTTCAAACGGTTGCCAAGGTACTTTATATCAATTTATTTTTCTTTCTTTCTTCTTTTAAGTGTTAGTTTTTTTTCCTCATACATACATTTATATTTGCATCTTGCCCTTTGTTCCCTTGGACCAGACATCAATGAGTGTACTACTAGCAGCAGTATCCATAAACATAATTGTACGGATCCCAAAACCTGTAGAAACAGAGATGGAGGCTATTATTGTAAGTGTCAATCTGGTTATGGCTTAGATACAACCACTATGAGCTGCAAGCGTAAAGATTTTGGATGGGCTATGATTCTTCTTGGTAAGCTTCTCTCACTGTTTCTGGACTCGATGTTTTTTGAAGATCAACTCAGTCTAATCATCTTTGTGTGTCTATGTTGTGTGTGATCAGGAACCACTATTGTCTTCTTGGTCATCCTGCTTGGCGCTAGTTTAATAAAACAGAGGCTGAGGCACCGGAAAGACATCGAGCTGCGACAACAGTTTTTCGAGCAAAATGGTGGTGGCATGTTGATACAGCGACTCTCAGGAGCAGGGCCGTCTAATGTTGATGTCAAAATCTTTACTGAACAAGGCATGCAGGAATCAACTAATGATTATGATGAGAGCAGAATCCTGGGTCAGGGAGGCCAAGGAACAGTCTACAAAGGGATACTGCCGGACAACTCCGTAGTTGCCATAAAGAAGGCTCGGCTTGGAGACCGTAGCCAAGTTGAGCAATTCATTAACGAAGTAGTAGTGCTGTCACAAATCAACCATAGGAACGTGGTCAAGCTCTTGGGATGTTGTCTAGAAACTGAAGTTCCCTTGTTGGTCTATGAGTTCATTACCAGTGGTACTCTTTTCGACCACTTACACGGTTCTACGTTTGATTCTTCTCTATCATGGGAACACCGCTTGAGGATAGCTGTAGAAGTAGCTGGAACTCTTGCATATCTTCACTCCTCTGCTTCTATTCCAATAATCCACAGGGATGTCAAGACTGCTAATATTCTCTTGGATGAAAATTTAACTGCAAAAGTAGCAGACTTTGGTGCTTCAAGGCTGATACCAATGGACCAAGAGCAGCTCACAACAATGGTGCAAGGAACTCTCGGCTACTTAGACCCAGAATACTACAACACAGGCCTTCTGAATGAAAAGAGCGATGTTTATAGTTTTGGGGTAGTCCTCATGGAACTGCTCTCAAGTCAAAAGGCATTGTGCTTTGAACGGCTAGAGACCTCAAAACATATAGTGAGTTACTTTGTTGCTGCCATGAAAGAGAATAGGTTGCATGAGATTATTGACAGCCAAGTGATGAATGAGTATAATCAGAGGGAGATCCAGGAAGCTTCAAGAATTGCTCTTGAGTGTACAAGACTGATGGGAGAGGAAAGACCAAGGATGAAAGAAGTAGCTGCAAAGCTAGAAGCCTTGAGAGTCAAAACAACTAAACACAAGTGGTCGGATCAGTATCCTGAGGAGAATGACCACTTACTTGGTGTTCAAATCTTATCAGCTCAGGGTGATACCAGTAGCATTGGCTATGACAGCATCAAGAATGTAGCAATATTGGACATTGAAGCTGGCCGCTGATATATATCAGTCCAGCTCTGAAAAATTCACATGTAATGATATTTTTTCTTATGTTGTAAACGAATGCTTCATATATTCTTGTATCATGGTGTTACCTCTTTAATATCTTCGGTGTAGATTAATATTAAAGTGTTATATATGTTAGAAAAGGGTAAAAAAAATCGTAAAGGAACTCTAAAAACTTTTTACAACAAAAAATATCAAAAGAAAACAGAGGATGTTGTGATTAGGAGTTTTCTTCCAACATTTTCCCTATAAGTCATTCTTCATATTTGAGAAATAATATCAATTTTGAGGTGACAATAACTGTTAAGAAAAAATTATGTCAAGGAAAGAATAAGAGTAGAGTTTGACGAAGAAGGTTTAGGAATGTCCACTATTCAATATTATATTACCATTGTTTCTTCCCATTTGAAGATTCTTTGCAGCCTCTTGTTGTCATAATATTTGAATTCTACACGAATAAGAGTTTTTGTTTCTATCAAAGAAAAAGCAGACGTTGTAATTATTATAATATGGGAAAATGAATCATACTTAAACGTTCCCCTCGTGCTATATTGACATGTTCTTGTTTGAGTTGTTGGATTGAAATATTGCAGATTCCTGCAAGTTCTGTGAAATTGGGAACAGGACTGCAGTAATCAAATAGAGTAACACAGAAGCGGCCAGATTTGTTGTTATAATAACCTGAAGCAGAGGATATTGAGCACAAGGAGAAACATGTAGCACTTAGGCTATGACAGAATCAAGAATGTAATAGTACTGGACACTGAAGCTGGCCTCTGATGTTTATCAGTACCACTCTTGTTTAAGTATCAAAAACATGACAGTCAAAAAGACCATTTAAGCTCGATCTTGTAGATCACTAGTTCTCCTGTTTATATCTCCTATTTGCTTTGTACCTGACCGATAGAAGATTTAACTTCCATAGTACTTGAATTTACAAGCAGATATATTTGTGGTTACAAAACAACAACTCAAGAAGAATAAAACACTTTGGGATTCGTCCATTGAGAAGAGAAAGCGAATGCTAGGTGTCCGAGAGGCAATAAAACCCTTCAAGAGCACACACTAACTAGATCTTCCCCTCCTGAGTCTAAAGTTTCAAGGATTATTAGATTTTCCCGCCTCAATTGATACTTAGGTATTGCGTGATATGTACGTAACTAAAAAAGCTTGAAGGGCTCATTTGTTTTAAACTGTAAATTTGATCCACAGCTTCACTCATACATTTTTAATGTTACTCTAGCTAAAAACTTATATTTTGTTTCCTAAATTAAATTTATCATTCTTGTTGCATAAGATTGCTCTGCTTTTGTAACCAACACCTCGTAAAACACTAGAAATTTATTTGAAGAAAACATAGCATATTTTCATATAATTGAACAAATGAATTGTTATGAGGTGGAAATTAATGTGAAGAAAATAATAGAGATTGACGTTGACGAAGAGGTTAAATTGGTTGACGTGTGACACTTCTCCTTTAGTCCTTTTATATAGTTGTCAAATGGGTTTCAATCGTAGTACTTCTTGAGCCTGTAATCTGAATCTTTACTTCTTTTTTTTTTTTGGTCAAACAATCTGAATCTTTACTATTCTTCACATTTGAAGAGTCCTTTGTAACCACCAATCGTATTATCATAATAAAATTCAAGAGCCGTAATTACATTTTCATGGTCTTGATTAAATTTTTGAATCTTAGTATGGCAGATATCTGCAATTCATGGAGATAATGACAAAGGGGTTTTGCCTTGTGTTTCAAGAAAAGAAGAGAAGGACCGATGAGGGTTCACATTTGAAGATTCCGTGCAACTACCAAGCGTCTTATCCTTTGAATAGTAAGAAAATAAGTCACTGTTAGGAAAAGAAAAAACGAAACTGGAGTAACACAAACAAATTGTGAAGCAAACGTACACGTGTTGTTACATAACCTATATCATATTTGAACACCCTTCTTACGTGTTACATTGACATGGTTTTTGATTGATTAGTTGAATTTTAGTCTCCTGAAATTTCTGAGAAAATGAGAACGGGTTTGTTTCATATAAGAAGAGCCTCGAGGAGATGACTGATGATGAGAGAAAACTCAAAATAGGAACAAAGTTAAAGAGAAAGAAAGACACAACAGAGTTATAGAAGCAGATGAAGTTGCAGGGTCTGTTCTTGGTGGTGGTGGTGGTTATATTCTTCCTTTCTTATACGGTGCTGGTCAAGGGGCAACATCAACCTCGCAAGGATTGCCAAACTAAATGTGGTAACGTCACAATAGAGTATCCTTTTGGCATTTCTTCAGGTTGTCACTATCCGGGAAATGAAAGTTTCAGTATCATCTGTAAGGAAGATAAGCCACATGTCTTACGTGACATTGAAGTGAAAAACTTTAATCACAGCGGCCAGCTACGGGTTCTGCTTAACCGATCCTCTGTTTGCCACAGCGACAAGCAAGGAAACGAAACAGAGTTCGGTTACAGCAATCTTACACTGGATAACTTATCTCTCTCCGCCAACAATAAGTTTACTGTAGTAGGCTGTAATGTTTTAGGACTTGTGGGCACTTTTGATATCATAAAGCAAAACTACACAACTGGATGCGTGTCATTATGCGATCAACCACCGTTGGAAAATGGAAATTGTGAAGGTGTAGGTTGCTGCAGAACACAAGTCTCTTTCCCCTCGGATAGGAATACATTTCTATTTGGCTCAGCTCACGTACCGGGCCTGCCTTCCGTGTATAACTTCAATCCTTGCGCCTACTCTTTTCTCGTTGAAGATGGTATGTTTGACTTCAGTTCTTCAGAAGATCTTAAGAATCTGCGGAATGTCACGCAGTTCCCTGTGTCACTAGATTGGTCTATTGGAAACCAGACATGTGAGCAAGCTGGAAGTACAAGAATATGTGGTGGGAACAGCACTTGTTTTGATTCTACTCGTGGGAAGGGCTATAACTGCAAATGCAACAAAGGTTTTGATGGGAATCCATACCTTTCAGACGGCTGCCAAGGTAATTGATTAATGTTCCTTAATTCTTGAGTATTTATTGTTGTCCTCTTACTGAGTAATACATTTCTTGTTGCATCTTCCCTTATTTTTCCTTCGGCCAGACATTGATGAGTGTACTAGTACTATCCATACACATAACTGTTCGGGTTCCAGCACTTGTCAAAACAAAGTGGGACACTTCCTTTGTGTTTGCCCATCTGGTTACGATTTAAATGCCACTTCCAATGGCTGCGTGATTAAAGAGAAGCCTGTGTACTTTGGATGGACTCAAATTTTTCTTGGTAAGCTCCCCTCACTTGAACATAGATTATTTACTTATGAAAGTAATCAATTTAGACATCTGTGTGATATGATCAGGAACCACCATTGGATTCTTGCTCGTCCTTCTTGGCGTTAGTTTTATAAAACACAGGCTGAGGCGCCGGAAATACACCGAGCTGCGACAACAATTTTTCGAGAAAAATGGTGGTGTCATGTTGAGAGAGCGACTCTCACGCGCAGGGTCATCAAATGTTGATGTCAAAATTTTTACTGAGGAGTGCATGAAGACATCAACAAATGGTTATGACAAAAGCAGAATCTTGGGTGAGGGAGGCCAAGGGACAGTCTACAAAGGGACATTGCCGGACAACTCTATTGTTGCTATAAAGAAAGCTCGGCTCGGAGACAATAGCCAAGTAGAACAATTCATTCGCGAAGTGCTCATGCTTTCACAAATCAACCACAGGAACGTGGTCAAGATCTTGGGATGTTGTCTAGAGACTGAAGTTCCCTTGTTGGTCTATGAGTTCATTACCAATGGCACCCTTTTCGATCATTTGCACGGTTCTATGTTTGATTCTTCTCTTACATGGGAACACCGTCTAAGGATAGCAATAGAAGTTGCTGGAACTCTAGCATATCTTCACTCCTCTGCTTCTATTCCAATAATCCACAGGGATGTCAAGACTGCTAATATTCTCTTAAATGAAAACTTAACTGCAAAAGTAGCAGACTTTGGTGCTTCAAGGCTGATACCAATGGATAAAGAGCAGCTCACAACTATGGTGCAAGGCACTCTAGGTTACTTAGACCCAGAATACTACACCACAGGGTTGCTGAACGAAAAAAGCGATGTTTATAGCTTTGGGGTAGTCCTCATGGAACTGCTCTCAGGGCAAAAGGCACTGTGCTTTGAACGGCTAGAGACCTCGAAACATATAGTGAGTTACTTTGTTGCTGCCATGAAAGAGGATAGGTTGCATGAGATTATTGATAGCCAAGTGATGAATGAGTATAATCAGAGGGAGATCCATGAAGCTGCAAGAATTGCTCTTGAGTGTACAAGACTGGTGGGAGAGGAAAGGCCAAGGATGAAAGAAGTAGCCGCAGAGTTAGAGGCATTGACAGTCAAAACAACCAAACATAAGTGGTTGAATCAGTATAGTGAGGATAATGAACAGTTGCTTAGTGGTCACATATTGTCTGCACAAGGCGATATCAGTAGCCGTGGTTATGACAGCATCATGAATGTAGCACGTTTTGATATTGAAGCTGGCCGCTGATAAAATCACATATATCTCATATTGTTTGTGAGTAATGCTTATCTATTTGTACTACTAAACGTTAAATAACCAAAGTATCAAAACACAACATTCATGTTTATACACTTGACAAAACCACAGGGAACCTGAGAACCTGAGATCCTCACACATTTTATACGCTTGATTCATCATGTTTAGATACTCATCTAAAATTGTAGTATTGCACCATCTAAATTAACTTATCATTCTTGTTGTACAAGATTGCTCAAGTTTTGTAGCCATGCTTGATCACATCAAATCTCTTAGGTTGTTTTTGTTAAAATATATGATCTTTTATCTCTTCCTTTAGTTTTTGTTTTGTTTTTGTTAAAGTGTCTTCCTCTTGGTTGCTTAAGCATATGCATATATAACTTTGCATCATTGAAATCATTTCATTATAATGTGATATCTAAATGTAAAGTTCTTAAAGTTTCGATGAAATATGACTCCAAAAAAAAGTGATGTCATAGTGGGAAATTAAAGAAACAACTCGTAATAAATAAAAAAACATCAGAAGAAAACAGAACATGTCGTGATCATGACTAGTCTTATTCCTACATCGTACGCATCACAAGGAAATTCTCTTATAAATGTCGAGAAAAAGAATGTAAATTTGTCGTGTAATATCATCAAGAAAAGAAGAAAGAACCAAAAGGGATCACAGTTGAAGATTCCTTGCAACCAACCGTCACTGTTAGAGATAAAAAAAAACCAAATTGGCTACCCAAGGAAAACGAACAAGATATCAAAAAACGACGAGAGGACCGAGACCTAGAGTTGTCACTATTTAACCAAAGCAAACGTACACGTTGGGATATGAAGCATGTATAAACGTCCTCCTTTAATGTTACACTGGCATGGTCTTGTTTGTTTAGTTGAATTTTAGTCTTTGTAGATTCCTGAAATTTCTGAAAGAATGGGAACGGTTCTGCAAAAATGAGTTAAGAGAACATCTCATGTACTGGGGTTTCTTTCTTATAAGAAAAAACTTCAATGAGATAAGAGAAAACTCAAAACATTAACAAAGTTAAAAGAGAAGAGAGGTAGAAGAGGAAGGTGCAGGGTGTGTTCTTGGTGGTTATTCTTTCCCTTGCGTATATGAAACCAGGGAAACACACAACCTCAACCCTAGGGAGAATTCCAAACTAAATCTGGAAATGTTACAATCGAGTATCCATTACAACTAATAACTTATAACATCTTATGTGTAATGAGGAAAAAACAACTCGTGAAGTAACACTAGAAGTTTCTGACAACGGAAAACAGAGAGCCTTATTATTTCTACATCTTCCCTCTAAGCCAATTTTGCATATTTCAATAATAAAAGTATAAAGAGATTCTTGAGGTGGAAATAACAGGTAAGAAAGGGGTTAAGTTGCCTAGATAAAAGTAGAGACGATAGAGAATGAAGTTTAAATTATTGACAAGTCCACTACTTAAACGTCCTCCTTGCGTTACGTTGGCTTTTTGGTCTGGTCTCTGTAGCTTCCTGCAATAAGACACGAAGAAGGGACAGGTCAACGGAAACAAGTCAAGCGAGCATCTCACGAGTAATGTTTGATTTCTTAGTTTTAATAAGCCTCGGGCAGATAAGAGAAAACTGAAAGAGAACCCAATTTAGAGAGAGTGGAAGCAAGTGAGGAAAAAGAGAAAAGGAGAAGATGAAGTTGCAAGAGGGTCTGATCTTGGTGGCTATTTTGTACCTTGCTTATATGCAGCTGGTCAAGGGGCAACCTCAACCTCGCCAGGATTGCCCGACTAGGTGTGGCAACGTCACAATCGAGTACCCTTTTGGCACTTCTCCAGGTTGTTTCTATGCCGAAGATCCTAGTTTTGAACTCACTTGTAACGAGACAGAGAAGCAGCTCCTCACTGGCAACCTTCAAAGTCATCAACATTTCTCACATTTTTGAATATCATCTTTAGTAATGTTCATATTTTCATTAGTTGGCATGCTAACTAGCCAAACAACAAAATATTACTTCATGAAGAATCTAATATCCATATGACATTGAAATACCAATACGGATTCAAAACCAACTCAATAAGATAAACTAGAATCTAAAATAAAAGCCACAAAAACATAACGTAGAGAGAAAAGTTATGATCATGGACGTGCAATTCCTAAATTCTTCATCTTCTGTATCTCTTCATCGACGATTCTGCTTGCTTAACCATATTGTAAGCTTGGTAAAGTGACGGAGGTGGTGTCTTGAGCATGATTAAGGTCGTCATAAAGTCAAAGTCTCTGTTCAAACCCATCAAAAACTCGTAACGCTGCTCCTTCTCTCTCGCCTCTTTAGCTCGTTTCGTACCCTCGCAATTGCAACCACCGCACTTACACTCCGGTACAGGATCATACTCCGACAACTCCATCCACGCTTTACTCAGTTTCCCAAAATACTCCGCCACAGAGTCACCACCTTGCCTCAGCGAAGCGAGTCTCCAACGAAGCTGATAGATCTTCAGATCAACGGACGGAACGAATCTTTGTCTGAGATTTTCCCACGCTTTATGCGCAGTCTCCGTGTACAACACAGACTCTACAAGCTCATCGCTCATCGATTTCATTAGCCAGCACATAACCAACGCGTTGCATCGTTTCCATGGCTTATAGAGAGGCGAGGAAAGGTCCGGCTTCTCGATGGTGCCGTCGAGGAACCCGGTTTTGTTCGTGATTTCAAGGTAATCGAGAAATCGTGATTTCCAGAGAACGTAGTTGTCTTCGGCTACGTTGAGTTTATTATCGATAGAGAAGAAATTGGGTAATAGTTCAAGAAGCTCAGGATCGAAATAATAGGGAGATTTGGGATCGAGAGCTGGAGTTAAGTTGTTGATAGTTTCCGCCATTGTCGTCACTGCTCTGAGTCCTCCTGAGCTGAGCTCTTCTTCTAAATTCTAGGGATTGCTTTTTATCCCTTTCGATTTTGACTTATTGAGTCTTAAAAATATTTTTTAAAAAAATTCAAAAAAAAAAGCAAGAAGGCTGCGCTATATTCTGTAAATAGTTGGGCTTAAATGGGCCTTGTATTTCCCCTCCGGAGCTCATAGTTTTAGGGTTTATTAACCCTACCTTAGTTTACAAGCATGGAGTCACACGCCTAAGAATAGAAGAAACCATTTCAAACAGAAGATTTGTGTGTGTGCTGTGAGAACTTAGAACTGATCCATATTGGTTTTAAAGCTGTGACTTGATTGCCTGCGAAGTTTCTGATGAGGACTCACCAAAACAAACGCCTTTGCCAAGTCGAATCCAAGGTTTTGTTGGGAACGGCCATCAAGCACAGTGGTGAGCGAGGTTGTAACGAGGAAGATGAGAAAGACAAGCTAGAAGATTCAATCCCTAATGATCTAGAGGTGGATATACTAACTAGACTGCCGGCAAAGACTCTGTTGAAGTTCCGATGCGTGTCCAAGATGTGGTCTTACATCATCCGAAGCCAGAGTTTCGTGGATTCCCACTACGCTTTGTCCTCCTCGACGCGATCGCGTTTCACAGTCACTTTCTGTAACGCTCTAATCGTCCCGGATGACACCAAGCGTTTGTTCATCTTTTCCTCTTCCTTTGAGGAAGAAGATAAATCTTCTTCTTTGGTTGCCAAGCTAGACATGACAGTACCTACTGTGGTCTTGACTTACCGGTGGAAGTGTCCTTCCATCCACGGCTTTATTGGTTGTATTAATAATAGCTTTCAGTTCATTGTATGTAACCCGAGTACGAGGCAAGTCATTACCTTACCCACTAAAGGATCCCGCTCATCCTTGGGATATGATCCTGTCGGTCATCAATTCAAAGTGTTGAACCTGGTGACTTCTCCTGACATGTTTCCTGATTATCTAGTGCACGAGTTTATAACACTTGGAGGAGGAGGAGAAGTATCACGCAGTCAGGTTACCACCGCTCCTTATTACCCTGTAACCGATGGAGTTTACATCAATGGTTCCATCTATTATGGTGCTTGGGCCCCTAAGCTAAGAATGGATCCGGTGATTGTGTGTTTTGATGTCAGACACGAGAAGATAAGTTTTATCAAAGCGCCTAGGAATGTTGTGTTTTGGGAGACTGAATCAATATTGATGGATTACCGAGGGAAGCTAGCTTCGGTTTTAGTAAACCCATATTCTCCATTCCGAAGTTTTGGTTTATTGATACTTGAGGATGCCAAGAAACATGAATGGTCCAAGCAAACGTTTGAGCTTCCTTTCCCGTTGGTCGATGTGACTTCCCCGGGCACCAACAAGGCTGGTGAAATCATTTTTGCCCCAAACACTCTCCCACCCGTTGATAAACCATTCTTCATTTTCTACTACAATGTGGAAAAGAAAGACATGAGAAGAGTTAGGCTCCATGGAGTTGCAGACGATGAAGAGTTTCGGCGCCGATATGGACTCCAAGACACTATGCGCGTCACTATCACACCCGAACACTTTGAAAGTATTGCATCTTTGTAATGTATTAAGTAAGACCTTGACAGACTCTAGTTTCTCTTTTTCTTTTTCTTCTTGTAAGTGTTGGCTTTTCAACACAAAGCAAACTAGTTTTTTTATCCTACCAACGATAATTTGCATTTTTTGACATGTGTATTTGTTTTATTGCTGTTCATATTTTTAGTGTTGTTGGTTTGTTTTATTGTTGTTCATATGCTGAACTGTATGCTGCAGATAATCATCAAGAAGCTTGTGACTGTGTAGTTTATGATCTATATAAATTAAGGCCATTGTGGGATTTTTTTTGGCTAGCAAATCTTTTGGAATACCAAATCCTAACTATCATTTTATCTGATAAGAACCAATAGGTCTAGCTTTAAAAGACAGTGGAAATTAAAGAAGCAGGGAAGAGAACGCTTAGGTGAAGGTGGTCTATTACATTATAAGCTTGCAGATTCCCTCCCCTTTAATTACAGCTTCCTTCCACGGTTATTCTGATATTTAAGGAGGGATATCTACATATGTATACTGGCTGGATCATGGATGTAACTACGACCAAGATGATTAGTTTCACGGCTCCACAATAATTTTTAATTACCACAAGAGACAAATAATATTCTCTAATTCATATCTAACATAGAACGAAGAGTAAGTTTCGGGACTCTCAATGTAAAACCCGTAAAAGGAACACTAATTTTTTCCAATAAAAAGTAGCCAAGGAAATAGAGAGCATACAGTGATCAGGAGTCTTATTCATGCATTATTTAGATTTTAAGGTGTTAATTAACTCTCAAGTAAAAAGCCCTATTAAAATTTTTTCTTTGCGTCAACAAGTTAACCATGTGTAACATCAGTGGAATGGTATACAGTTATAAACGTAGGCCAACGTCGTAAGTGGTCTGTGTGTCCTACGAAATTAAGTGGAAAGAGACATAGATATTAAATAGGAAGATAAAGGTAGTGAATGGGGTGACGGAACCGGTGTGGATCTTGGCTTGATGAGTAGTTTTTAGTCTTCATTTAACAATAACTATAACAAGCTAATGGTACACTTATTATAGATGATTAAAGAACTAGCAAGTATATTATTTGTACCAAATTGTTTGACAAGTCCAATAATTGCAGGAATCTATCTGATCTGCACTAGTACTACTCGTTACAACTCACAACTACATCTTCCCAACATTGAAGTTAAATGTTTGACAAGTCCACTACTGGTTCTAGTTAAACACAGGCAATTATTGGGAAAGTTTGGATAGGTCATCTCAAGACTGGGGTTGGTTTTCTTAGCTATAACAAGCAGAAAAATTCGAAGAGAAACAACAATAGAGTACTAAAAGCAAGTGAGAAAAAAAAAAAAAAAAGAGGGAGAAGATGAAGTTACAAGACGGTCTGATCTTGGTGGCTATTTTCTACCTTGCTTATACGCAGCTGGTCAGGGGGCAACTTCATCCTCTGGATGGTTGCCCAACTAAATGTGGCAATGTCACAATCGAGTACCCGTTTGGCACTTCTCCAGGTTGTTACTATGCCGAAGATCGTAGTTTCAATCTCACCTGTAACCAGACAGATCATAAGCTACTCTTTGGCAACATTCCAGTCATCAACATTTCTCACAGCGGCGAGCTACGTGTTCGGGTTGCCCCTTCCTACTCTTGCTACAATAGCCGAGGAAGTTTGAGTAATGGGATATACAATACTATTTCGCTGGCTAACTTAACTCTCTCAACCAAAAACAGGTTTACTGTAGTAGGCTGCGACAGTTATGCATTTCTGAGCACTTATGGAGTTGCAAATTACTCATCTGGATGCATGTCAATCTGTTCTTCTACTCCGGAGGCAAATGGAGAATGTTCTGGTAAAGGTTGCTGCCAGAATTCTGTCCCTAGGGGGAGTAACTCCTTCAAAGTCCAGCCTTATAGCTTTAACAACCACACTTCTGTGCATAGCTTTAATCCTTGCAGCTATGCCTTTCTTGTCGAAAATGGTACATTTAACTTCGATGTGTTGGAGGACCTTAAGAGTCTGCGAAATGTCACCGACTTCCCTGTGGTATTAGATTGGTCCATTGGAAAACAAACATGCCAACAGGTTGGAAACACAAGCATATGCGGTGCGAACAGCACATGTTTCGATTCTACTCGTGGAGTCGGGTATAACTGCGAATGTTTTGAAGGTTTTGAGGGGAATCCATACCTTTCATACGGCTGCCATGGTACTCTTCATAATCATTTATTTTTCTTCTTTCTTCTTTTGATTGTTAAGTATTTTCCTCACACGTTTGTTATTGCATCTTGCTCTCATTTCCCTTGGCCAGATATTAATGAGTGTACTAGTAGTAGACATAATTGTTTGGATCCCAACACCTGTAGAAACTATGCTGGAGGCTTCTATTGTCAGTGTCCATCTGGTTACCGCTTAGATACCAACACTATGAGCTGCAAGCGTAAGGACATTGGCTGGACTATAATTCTTCTTGGTAAATCTCCTCAATGTTTTAGATTATATTGTTTCCTAGATCAACTCCTTCTAATCATCTATTTGTGTCTATGATGTGTGTGATCAGGAACCATCATCGGCTTCTTGGTAATCCTGCTTGGTGTCAGCTTTATAAGACAGAAAATGAAGCACCGGAAAAATACTGAGCTACGACAAAAATTCTTCGAGCAAAATGGTGGTGGCATGTTAATACAGCGACTCTCAGGATCAGATTCAGGGTCATCAAATGTTGATGTTAAAATATTTACTGAGATAGGCATGAAGAATGCAACTAATGGTTATGATGAAAGTAGAATCTTGGGCCAGGGAGGCCAGGGAACAGTCTACAAAGGGATATTACCAGATAACTCAATAGTTGCTATAAAGAAAGCTCGGCTTGGAGACAGTAGCCAAGTAGAGCAGTTTATCAATGAAGTGCTTGTGCTTTCACAAATTAACCACAGGAACGTGGTCAAGCTTTTAGGATGCTGTCTAGAGACTGAAATTCCCTTATTGGTCTATGAGTTCATTACCAGTGGTACTCTTTTCGACCACTTACACGGTTCTCTGTTTGATTCTTCTCTAACATGGGAACACCGTCTGAGAATAGCTGTAGAAGTCGCGGGAACTCTCTCATATCTTCACTCCTCTGCTTCTATTCCAATCATTCACCGAGATGTCAAGACTGCTAATATTCTCCTAGATGAAAACTTGACTGCGAAAGTAGCAGACTTTGGTGCTTCAAGGCTGATACCAATGGATAAAGAGCAGCTCACAACTATGGTGCAAGGCACTCTAGGTTACTTAGACCCAGAATACTACAACACAGGACTCCTGAATGAGAAAAGCGATGTTTATAGCTTTGGGGTAGTCCTCATGGAACTGATCTCAGGTCAAAAGGCATTGTGCTTCGAAAGACCACAGAACTCAAAACATCTGGTGAGTTACTTTGCAACTGCCACAAAAGAGAATAGGTTGCATGAGATTATTGGTGGGCAAGTGATGAATGAGGATAATAAGAGGGAGATCTATGAAGCTTCAAGAGTGGCTATTGAATGTACAAGATTGACGGGAGAGGAAAGACCCCGGATGAAAGAGGTAGCTGCAGAGCTAGAGGCTTTGAGAGTCAAAACAACTAAACATAAGAGGTCAGATCAGTATCCTGAGACAGAGGAGATTGAAAACTTGCTCGGCGTTCAAATCTTATCAACACAAGGCAATACAAGTGGCACTGGTTATGACAGCATCAATAATGTACCAATATTGGACATTGAAGCTGGCCGCTGATGTTAATGCTCTGACACCATCACCAATCTCATTGTTTGGTTTTAAAAAAAAACAATCTTACTTCTGCTTCTATCAATTATATATTTGAGAGATATTTTGTTATAAACCAGTAGTCGATAACTCGATATCCAAAACGATAGCTCTTGTGCAAAAGTTTATTTCATGAATTTAATTAAACTTAATACGAAACACTAGAATCTAAGGAAGAAAAACATAGAAAAAAGTGATAACGATCGAAAAATTCTTCATCTCTGGTTCCACTGCATCATCGACTCTGCTCGCTCAACCATTTCATAAGCATCGTAAAGAGACGGAAGCTTATTATTGTACATGATCCGCATCCTCACATAATCCAAATCTTTGTTCAAACACATCAAAAACGCGTAACGCTGCTCTTTCTCTCTCGCCTCGTTAGCTCGTTTCGAATCCTCACAATTGCAACCACCGCACTTACACTCCGGTACAGGATCATACTCCGACAACTCCCTCCAAGCTTTACTCAGTTTCCCAAAATACTCCGCCACAGAGTCACCGCCTTGGCTCAGCGTCGCGAGTCTCCGACGAAGCTGGTAGATCTTCAGATCAAAACATGGAACAAATACACGTCTGAGATCATCCCACGCTTTATGCGCAGTCTCCGCGTGCAAAACATAGTTCTGAAGCGTTTCGGTTACGGAACTCATCAGCCAGCACAAAATTATCGAGTTGCATCGTTTCCATGGCTCATAGTGCGGCGATGAAAGGTCAGGCTTCTCGAGAGTACCGTCGATGAACCCGAGTTTGTTAGTGAATCCAAATAAATCGAGAAGTCGAATTCTTTAGAAGACGTAGTTGTCTTTGGCTTCGTTGAGTTTCTCGAATTAGGTGACGAGTTGGGTGAATTGGTTGATAAAATCTGGATGAAAATAATAGGGAGATTTGATGTCTAGTATTGGAGATAAGCTGGTGACGATAGTATCCGCCATTGTCACTGCTCTGACTGAGCTCTCTCTGTTTCTCTAACTCTAGGGATTTTGCTTCGTATTTATCCCTTTCGATTTTGACTTTTTATTTTTATTCAACAAATAAAATTTTCAGAAATGAAAGCTGTTGGGCTTAAATGGGCCTTTAACGTGAATCTCTTAATAGGAAGATGATCTCAAGTCTCAACAGAAGTCTTTCATGCATTAGTCACTATGAGATTTAAAATGTAAAGGATTCTGAGGTGGGATTGGAAAAACAACGAGTAAAGGAACAACTTCTTTAGCGCCATGACCACTTCATCATCCATTCTGCATCTTCAACCATATTATAGGCTTCGTAAAGAGACGGAGGAGGTTTCTTGAGCTTGATTTTTGATTTCTTAATGAGCTCTTTGTTCAATCCCATCAGAAAAGCGTAAACCTCCTCCCTATCTCTCGCCTCCTTTGCTCGTTTAGTGATCTCGCAGCTGCAACCGACGCAAGAACACTTTTTCACAGGATCATACTCCGACAACTCCAGCCAAGCATTGGTCACTTTCTCGAAATACTTGGCTACCGAGTCACCATCTTGCCTCAGCTCCGCGATTTTCCTACGAGTCTGGTAAATCTTAAACTCAACGTCGGGGACGAATATACGTCGGACATGCTCCCACATTCTTTGCGCCGTTTCATCAAACATCACACGTTTGCTAAGTTCTTCCGTCATCGAATTCCACATCCAACACATAACCAACGCGTTGCATCGTTCCCATCGGTTATAAAGCGGCGAGGAAGCTTCCGGCTTCTCAAGTGTTCCGTCGACGAATGCGAGTTTGTTCTTTATTCGAAGTAATTGAGTAAAAGAAAGTTTCCAAATAACGTAATTGTCTTCCGCTTGGTTGAGTATAATAGTCGAGCGTCTGTTTGAATTTTCATCTTCATCGAGATAATAGGGTGAGTAGAACTCGAGTGCGTCATCTTCTAGGCTCATACTTTCAGCCGTAATAGCTAGCTGCTCTCAAGCTTTTTCTTTCTAGGGTTTACCTTCCCTAAGTAAATTTATAGTATATATACACTTTTTATCTAAGGAAAATAAAGTTCACAACGTTGTCGATTAAAAGGCTCAAAGAAGTTGAGTTTTTAATGGGCCTTTGCAAAAAATGGTGCGTATGACATATGTTAATTAAAATAATTGAGCTTATAACTACTTCTGTTATTGACTTTAAGACGCGTAACGATATGTACATTTAACAAAAAAAACGAAAAGAGTTACGAAAATGGCGAAAATAAAATAATAAGAAGGTGTTAAAAATTAGGTTATCAAGTGGGTCGTCGAGACTCTAGTGGAGAGAATGAAAAGTTATGGCAGCTTAACAGAAGTTTCTCAAGAAAAATAATACAAATAGAAAAAACCAAACGGAAAAATATTATACAAGAAAGAAACAAATAAAAATGAAAAATAAAATGGAAATTTTGATTTGAATGAAAGCCATGCACTAATATAAGTCTTCATGAACGAAAGAATAATTTTGTTAAGAGGGGTGATTTGCTTTTATATATAGCCATCTCTTTTTGCTATCTAACCAACTTAACCTTTTTGATTAGACCAAGAGTTGGTGAGATTTACTTTTGTCTGTAATACTCGTCTTCTTACGTTTTTCTAAATATATTTCTCTCTTTTCTATATATATAGTTTTTTCCGAAGTACCGGAGACCGGAGATATCGACGGTCTAGATCTCCCAATAAAGTATGTACTAAAGGAGCGATGTATATGATCTGATGAAATAAGGATATCGTCCTACTGATCTATATATAGATTGACTAGTGCAACCAGAATTATTGCGGGATTTTGATTAACCGATCCCATTTCTTATAATTAATGAATGTACATGATGATGTTTGTATTAATACGAGGCGAAAGTAACAAACTACGCTATAACCAACTCGTAACAAAGTCTATGTACACTATCAATACTCTAATGCATAAGTACGTACGAGCAACAATGTTTGTTTCATGAAAGTAAAATTAAAGTAGTGTTTGTACAATATAATGGCTGATGATTTCTTTAAATTGAACCCTCAAGAATTAGTAAGCATGCCTGCGCCTGCATGCATGATAATTGGAAGAAGTATAAAATTGTTATTTGTTTTTGTTTTTGTTTTTGTTTTAAACAAAAAAAATGTACTAAAAAAAATTGAAAATGGGGCATGCATTTCGAGCCTTATCATTATTAACTAGTTTTAACTAAGAAACTCTCTTTTATTAATTGGGACAAAGCAAACTTGCACATTAAAAAATCAGAAAGAAACAAGACGTAATTTAATCTTACAAACATATATGTGTGACTACTGATTACATGCATATACCATTGATTGATCAATAGACACATGTTTATTACAATAAAACTCTAAAAACACTTTGAAAATGATGAGAAAGCTTTCTCTGCTTGGATTATATCTTTCATCTTTTCTTTCTCTTATTACAATCACGAGTAATGGATTCGTCTTGTCTTTGTCTTCTTGTATACATCGTGTTCTCCTGCAAAGTATATAACATATATAATAAAATTATTGACATGCATGCATCAACATAAGCTCTTATTTAATTTGTTGATTAACCGAGATGTGTAGATGTAAGTGCTATTGAGAGAGTATTTACCGTGATAGAGAATTCTAATAGTGGTATGGTGGTGGAGGGGATTTGTAGAGGTAAGGATGGTGTGGAGGAGAGTGATGAACTGGAGGGGGAGAGTAGTGTTTAACTGGTGGTGGTGGAGATTTGTAAACGTAGTGTTTCTTTGGTGGGGGTGGGGAATGGTAAACTGGGGGAGGAGAGTAGTGCTTAACCGGTGGTGGTGGAGATTTGTAAACGTAGTGTTTCTTTGGTGGGGGTGGAGAATGGTAAACTGGAGGGGGAGAATAGTGCTTCACCGGAGGAGGAGGAGACTTGTAAACGTAATGTTTCTTGGGTGGGGGTGGAGAGTGATAAACCGGTGGGGGAGAGTAGTGCTTAACCGGAGGAGGTGGTGATTTGTAGACGTAGTGTTTCTTTGGTGGTGGTGGGGAATGGTAAACTGGGGGAGGAGAGTAATGTTTGACCGGAGGAGGAGGAGATTTGTAGACGTAGTGTTTCTTTGGTGGTGGTGGAGAATGGTAAACTGGAGGGGGAGAGTAGTGCTTAACCGGAGGAGGAGGTGATTTGTACACGTAGTGTTTCTTGGGTGGTGGTGGAGAGTGATAAACCGGTGGGGGAGAGTAGTGTTTGACTGGAGGAGGAGGTGACTTGTACACGTAGTGTTTCTTTGGTGGGGGTGGAGAGTGATAAACTGGTGGGGGAGAGTAGTGTTTAACCGGAGGAGGGGGAGACTTGTACACGTAGTGTTTCTTGGGTGGGGGTGGAGAATGGTAAACCGGTGGAGGTGAGTAGTGTTTAACCGGTGGAGGAGAATAGTGTTTGACCGGAGGAGAATAGTGTTTAACAGGCGGTGGTGGAGAAGAATAGAAATAGTTAGCGGTAGATTGAGATACAAAGGTGAGAGAGATTGTTAAGACAAGCAAAGCTGCCACTAAAGAGGCCATTGGAGACCCCATTGGTTGTTTTTGTTTTGGTTTGTGTTTGGGATATTGTAGTGTCTTTCCCCTCAGACCCTTTAAATAGCCTTTTCAATTTCACTCTTTTCACTTTGAGCACATACCTCGATGTAAAATAATAAATTTACGTCATGTAAAAAAGGTACAATTAATTATGTACACCAAACATTGTATTAAATAATAAATATAGAAAGAAGTGATGTTTGTTGGTCTCTCTGACTAACAATTTTAATATTTTTCTTCTGCCGTCGATGATTGACATGTTCTCCATGTTCGAACAACGTATCGAATCTCGTGATCTTCTTAGTAGAACGTTTAGATCTAATAACGTTTGTGTTCTGAATCTTGCGGTTTTTACTATGTCCCTTTTTATAATTACGGTCTCTCAGCAATGTTTTTGTTTTGGGAAATATCATTTGAGAACATTACTAATACTTCATCACAAAAGCAAAGAAATTTCTAAGTTAAAAACGGAAAACATGAGAGAACCATTTCTGACTCTAGCCACACGTGAAGGTACTTTTACTTTTCTAGTTCTTGAAAATTTGTGATGTGAAAATTGAAATGTAAAAACCCCTATATGTGTTCACATATAAGATGCTTTTAGATATTCGATCCATTATTTGTACGTCGAGTTAAAAACCAGTTTGTCATGAAACAATGGTCCAAATCATTAATTTGAATTTATATAGGATGTGTTTTACATACCAAAGTCATTATATTCTCTCGTCCGCTTTAATTTGTTTTCCTGTTTGGTTACATGCATCTTTTTATATATTTTGTTTAAAGTACATGCATCCTCTTTTACGTTTCTTCCTTTGATATCTTCTTTTTGGCTCCGTATGAATAATGGGAAACGAATAACTTTGAACTTAATGCTTTGGATAAAGCATTTGCAAGATTCATTTTGAGTACCCAATCGAAGTTGATTTAATCTGTTCAAATTTCTTTCTCCCTAATTTGTTTACACCCGGGTTTGAGTATGATCTGCCTAATGCAAATAGACCCAATCACCTCTATTTTCATAGATAGAGAGATGAATGAATATATAGAACAATAATCAGAAACGGCTAAATATAGCTAAACAACTTAAGTTCGATCTCACCTACTTCTTACTGGTCAAATATGCTTACACATCTATTCTAGTTACACTTTGATAACAAAATGTACGTAAGCAATCCAATTGCCAATATAAAACTTATCAATCCGATGTATATCTTCAACTCTAATCATAATGTTCTACGTACGTATACCCCAACAATATTGCAGTCAATGCATATATATTGGCCAAGCTTAGAAAAATCAGTTTCTATTGGATGTATTTTTGATATAGCAGATTCGCAATCGTACACGAAAAAACGCTATAACTTAGTTTGAGTTTTTACCTAGAAGATTCAGTTCCGGATAATACTGTTTCCCATCCACAGAAAGCTTTCATTTACATCATTTTTTCATAGTCTAGTCGTTAATATCTTTCTTCTTCAAGAAAAAACATATATATTTGTTAGTTTTTTAGTTTTTTATGCCATATATTTTCTTCATATAAAATAAGGTATTTGTTAGGGAAAATATACTTAAATTCCTAAGCAAAAGCATATGAACGCGTTGACTCAAGGCGGCTGAGTTTGAAATGTGGAAGGAGAACATAAGAGGGAAGGTGGTCCATCATACACCAGAACATCGTTTCCTTCCGGTGACACTGCCACCGTGACAGTGATTCTTCGATTTACGAATTGAAGTTTTGGCCTCACATTTTTTCTTTGTTAAAACTTTATAATAACACGTTTCTTGACCTCTCTAAAGTATACTTTATATTAGTACTGTCAATTTCATGCAAGAAGAAAGAAAAAAAGACGTTAGTATGATTTAACAAGTAGGAAGACTAAATTACCACGACCGGTCTTTTTCATCTTATATCAAAAATAAACAAATACTAGATCAATAAAAGAAGGGAAGCTTGGTCAAGAGTCAAGCTACATACATTTTAGATGAATAAAGTTTATTTTATTTTCATCGAAATGGATAAGTAACCAGCTGGATTAGGAGTTTAAGACTTAGACAAATTAACAACTTTGTATTATATATTTTTTTTACATATTCTTGAAAGCTGACTTTCTTGGTGAGACGTCAAGAAATTGCAAGAATAATCACCGTCATTACTGCTTTGGTCATTTGTAATAAACTAACACGACACTAGGTAGTTACTTAGTTTACCTTTGTTGATAATATTTACATAATTGTATATATTTAGAACCCTTTGGTAAAACATAGATAGCTTATATTGGTACGTGTTTCTTATAGGTACGTCCTTGGGGAAATTCGAGTTTTCTTTTCCCTTTTCTTGGACTTTTCTTTTTATATTAGTCTCATAGTAACAGTTCTTCTTCTCTATTACTATTTTGACAAAAAAAAAAAAAAAAAAAGAGTATAACGTTAGTCGAAATTCTAAACAAATTTTCGAGATCTACAACTTTCATTTTGTAATTTTTGTGGTTAATAATTTTATACATGGGTTGATATGATCATCACTAACGTAACTTACCATTCATTTGTCTCGGAACCAAACAGATCATAGATATATTTAGTCTAATACAACAGACTTGATTGACGACAAAAGACACTTGTTTATATGAAATATGCGATATTGTAATTGCATGATAGATTCATGAGTCATAATTAAGCAACATGGCCTCCTTGTTCGATATGAATTTTCTAAACATATTCGACCTCTAAGCTACTAGCTACGTGTAAATTTTGTAATGTATTTCTTTTTTATAAATCTCTCATCACTTTCAGATTATATGAAAACGAAAGACTACACGTCGATAAATCAACCTAATCTAGAATAAAGATATTTTGTGACTCTTTCTTGGAAACACGTACATAATCGTTATTTGTCGTAAGACACAGTTTTGTCGGCTCGCCGAACGTGTCCCAGTATGCAGTCTACAATCAATATGTCTTTTCAAAATACGTACTATCTTCACATATTCAAACGATTAGTTCGACTGTAAATTTTACAAAGATTTACAATTTTTCAGAATATGATAGGTAAAAACTTAACTCCTGTAAAAATTTTAAGTAAACATAATTCAAAAGATTGATAATAATAAATATTTAGGGAAAGAAGACCCTTTAACCAAAAATAGTAATAATAATTAGAGTATATATTAATAAGAGAATAATAAATAATTACGGGCATATAATTAAAATTTGAAAAATAAATTCGAGGCTTATAGATTGGTAAGAATATAAATAGATACAGAACCTTTTTTTGTTATACCGAAATTGCATTTTCACCCCACAAAAAAAATGAAATGTTTAAACTACGGACGTATCTTTCATACGTTACCAAGAGTCGTTAGATTCGAACTTCCCATGTGAGAACCAAAAAAGTATGGTTGATACGACCAAACTTGTTGGAACAAAAAAAACACTAAACTAGTATCCTAGCTTAGATCTGAGATTAGCGGTTGGTGGTATTGGTTATCGGAGTATATGTTTCTGATAAAATAGTTATCGACCAAAAATTAATTCAAGTTTAGATTATTATGACGGAGCACAACAAATGAATTGGTTCGCAAATCGCAACTCTTTTTTTTTTTTTTTTATCGTTATGAGAAATTGACGTACTTTGCTTTTTATCATTCGGCTGATACCAATGCATGACTCAAAAATCCCATGCAAAAAAAAGTCTAATCTCCTCCTAATTTTGCTGACAAAACGTTTATTTTTAAAAAAAATTGGAAAAGAAGGATTAATGATTCTGCTAAACCAATAAAAACACGATATATTCCTCTATTACATTACGTAGTTTTTTTTTTTTTTTAGGTGAAAAGGTTACGTAATATATAATAATAGATGGTCGTTTGATTTTTTTTTTTAATTATCTTTTATTACATTTTTAATACCGATATTACTCTCACGATAAAATTATTCTCCGTGATATTTTTTTTTTCACCGTGATATTATTCATCTTCAATTTTCAGTATTCAGACTTTACCATGGAGATACTTTTTAATATAAAACTAATTATTTACATTTGAAATCATATAGTCCGTTTTATGAAACCGTTAATTAAGAGAAGTTTGTTAATTTTATTGGGTTATGTGACCAGGCGGATATATATAGTACGTATTTTCCAATTTGAATTTCTATGGTGATAAATGATTCAATTAGAAAACATATAGTACATATTTGGACATCAAAATACAAAATCTCTTGTTTCATGGAGGTATATAGTGCCATATGTACACTTCGAAAAGTCAATGGTAAATAGTAATCATTTAGAATTTGTAAAAAGTACGTAAAAAATATCTTCTCAATATTCTGCCGACACATCCTTAAAATTATGTTTTAAAACCCTTCTACTTTAACGAGAATATATCATATGTATATATATATATGTCCAATTCTTATATCTTTTTTTTTTTTTTTTTTTGTCGACAGTCCAATTTCTTATATCTCTTATGCGAAATTTCAATGAAAAAATAAAAATTGTGTTAGATGGTCTATAACAGAGATTCTTTTAAAAATGGTAACTAAATTAACAAAAAAAAACAAAAAAAGAGGTGGCAACTGTAACACTTGATGAGTTGATTTCCTTCATATCATCATATACACTAAACGTAAACCTTAACACACGAGAGATCGATCTTTCGCATCAACAATAGCAAACATGCTTCCCCAGCTCCAGAGCCCACGTGGCACCATCTTCTGTACTTTTCAAGTATTTACAGTATATAGGAGATGATGAAATGTGTAACTGCATCCACGATTATCACCATTTGACCACAAGTTTCGTTCATGGTATTCATATTTCAATAGATAAAAAAAAAATACTTGTAAGAAAGAGACAACGAAGTATAACAAATATTTACTTTTAAAATTTCATCTAGATTTGTCTTTTGCTAGTAAAGTAGGCAGGTCCGATACAGTCTGACCTGCCAGGGAAGGAAGGTGGTCCGTCATACACTACAATGCTGGGGTTAATAAATCATTATTTCGTCGATTAATTTTCGAAGGAAATATCAATAGCACTGTAGCAGTAAACTATATAGTAACACGTACATGGGGTATTAATTATTATTCTAAATTTGCATATTAAAATGTCCAAAAAATTTGTATAACAAATTCAGTGTAATTCAAAACTTAAGTCAATGTTTTTTTACTCAAAGTCAATGTTTATTCACACTATGATCCCTAGCGTCATGATTTGATTCTCTCTAATCCCATTTTATTTGTTAATTGTTTCATATTTTGTTGGTCTGTGTAAATTGACATTTCCTTTAATTATAATCACAGTGTTCATTACAACAAACTAATTCGTAATGGTAATTGATAAACTAGCTACGTACTATTTTAGAAAATAAAAAAACTATCACAATATGACAAATTATGCATATGTCATTGTTTCCAGGAGAGTTTTGAAAAATACAAACATGTCCAAACAAACACAGTGAAGAAAGTAGTTAAGAGGGTATTTTCCAGTGTATAAGACTCTCTAATCTGTAATTGATTTATATCTAATCGTACTTAAAATAATATAGTAATTTTTTATTAGGTAATGTAGAATAGAGACTTTTAGTAGATCCACTTGATCCATATTCTTATACATGTGTACTAATCTAAATTTTGTTTAAACAACTTGTCTCACTTTTGTCTCAATCATTATATATATTCATAACCCGAAATTAGTCTCCTAACATTAGTCTTTGTTTGAGCCAAGAATATCTTAAATATGATGCTATATTATATTTAAATAAGTCATTTAATTATTGGGTATCAATTATTTAAAGCCACCACTCAATTATCTAACATTATATAGTTTTCCAAACAAGTGACGACTAAAAGCAATGTGTATACATTGTTGAGGAAAAAACCATTAACATTAGATACAAATTGTATCATACAATACAAACTACTGATTTACATATTCAAAGCCACTTCTCAATAATTAACATAATAATCCAATTATTTAAAGCCACCTCTCAATTAATTAAGGGACATTTCCAAACCACAGGCTATCTAAAAGCAATTATACCTTGCTAGGGGAAAAAAAACCAGTGTACTGTATATATTTTTTTTTTATCTTTATTTTTGTTCACAGTATTTATCTAGTTTTTTTCAAATTTTCGCAGTATATACGTGTCTTATCGAGTACGATCAGCAATTCATGAGAAACATTTAATTGATATAGGACAAATTAAAGGTTACTTATGACGTTCACCATTACTATTCTTATTATCCCTCTTCATCTTTAACTCTCTTGGATGTTATTAGTTCCATTTTTATTAAAGATGATTTCTTATAGATATATAAACAAATTTTCATGTTATAGTAACGTATAATAGTGTTTTATAGCTAGTTTTAACATAAATTACAATTAGCACGTTTTGCCGAATATATAGAGGACGTACTCTCTTCTTTTTACGTTATAGAGGACGTCTTTTGTCTTCTTTACCCTATTTACTTTTCTTTTTTTTTCCTTTCGTTTAAAGGCTTTACCCAATACCAATAATACTAACAAAGACATGTGCAATGTGATCAGTTTATTTACGAAATCAAATCTTGTCTCAAAAGTCGCAGTCTAGTGCTTGGTAAAAGATGGATAAAACAAAAGATGAAAAGATTGATATGTACATTGCTAACTTATTAACGTGGACAGAATCATGAAGCTTCTTGATTTATGATGAACAGACAAACAGAAAAAGAAAAGGAAAAAATCTAAAGCCGGACGCGAAAAAAAGCATCTGCACTCTTTGGAAATCGAATATACTCACCTCTCTCTATCTATCCATAGCCAAACCCATCTGTCTTTTACTAGTTTGGTCAACCAAATATACTATAGTGTCACTTATTTCTTACCTTTTTTCAAATAAGATTTCTTGATTGATGTGCTATAGTTGGTTTAAGTATCATCACCTTTAAACATCCTATATATAAAGTTGGTCTACAGTTCTAACTTTTTGTAAAGTATATTTTCATTACGAGGAAACTAAAATAAAGCAAACTAAAAGGTCTAGAAGGTAGTAACTTTTCTTTGAAAGTAAAAGTAAAAACCAGGTTTTAATTTCTAACGAGTAAATATTATACCAATACCATAGGCAAACCCCCACTCTAGCTGATGATAGTTTAGACTTTGGACGATTGAATTTGATTGGAAATGAAATTTTGACTATATATTGAATATATAACGTTTAAGTAATCTAGACATCCTAACGCGCGTACGGTTAACAATATAAGGGTTTTAGGGTATAATATTAGGCGCACAAAAGAAAACAAACAATCCAAATCAAAGCTATGTATGATCTAGTAAGTATTAACAAACAAGTAATATAAAGACAAAAAGCAGTCAGGGTCAGAATCATGGCTGTTAAAAAAGGAAGAGTAATATGAGATTTGTCCCAACATTGTAACTGAAATAATGAGCAAATACAACTTACTAATCCCTGAGTAACACTATCGAAATTCCTATTACGTATAACAAGTGGAACGAGGCCTTGCCATTTTGGGCTCACTCAGAAGAAGAGATCTAAGGCCCATTTTAAATTTTAATGAATTTTGAAATGTTTTGCCCACAATAAAAAAAAAAAAAAAAAAAATCTTGAAATGTTGTTGTTAGAAAACTACTGTATATTATAGAGGTTTTAGTTAATGATCAAAATCGAAGAGTATACTCTCACTCACTCGACAACAGTAGGCCCAAGAAGAGCGTAACGATAGAATAGGCTTGGTAATAATAGAGAGGAGGAGGAAGCTTTTCGGGTTTCTCATGCTCATGAAACCTCCTCCACCTTTTAACCAAGCCTTACTGAGCTGGACCTGAAGGGCATATACATGTCTTGTCTCTATTTTTTCTGTTGCTTTCGTTTCTTCAAGTTTATTAGTGGGTTCAAACCCAATGCAACAGTGATCCAAAATATTGGATCAAGATATACACAATCCTCACACTTGATAACTATCTTCGTTTTCTTCAGAATATGAATGAAAATACTAATCAAGCTAATAGCACGACTAGTCTATATAAAGCAAGTTAAGATTATGATATAGTATACCAAAAAACATTCAACGTTCAATGTGAGTATCTTCTGAAATAAATCACTCTCCGACTTTGTGTTATTCGCGGATATGGCACATCAAAGTCATCGAAAGTGATGAGAATATAGAATGAGAAATATTTGATAGAATTTAGAAAGAATATAAATATAGATTTATATTTATAGGAATACTCACATAGTGAATACGAATTCTTTTGAAAAAGAAAAAAGATTTTAGTAGAATATTTAGTGGGATGTTATAGGTATATTAGAAGATGATTTACTAGTCGAATATTTAGTGGGATTAGCTGAGTGATGAGGAATATGCTTCCGTATACTATCTAGGGTTTTCTTGGTCTATCTTCAGTTCTATAAAAGGAGTCACGGGCAGTCGTTGTTCTCCATAAGTATAGTCGGTAATAAGATTCAGCGAAATAAACTTTTGGATCAAGAAATTGCGAAGTGTTCTCTTATTGTATCCACGATTGAGAAGAACCATTTCAGAGTATGCCGCGTAACTCTGCTTGTAACTTGGCAGTTTCTTGATTCAGAAGTTTATTGCATTTACTCATATTACCGGCTATTTATATGAGAAAGATGTCAAACTCCACGAAACAGAGCTCCAGAAGAAGTTGTAACATAATTGATTTTTCGTCTCAAGTATGAATGTCTCAGTTTACTTACCCTCTCGCTATTTTCACCGTCACTGTTTTATAATTGATTTGTCCTCAAGCTCTTCATTTTTCTCTTATAAATTGTTTCTTTATAATTTGGCGACAAAAGTCAATTACACATGTGAAAATTTCTTTCATTTAGTCCACTGAATGATATGATCAATCTACTATATGTGGATATATATCAAATTACACGCATATGTTGTTCAAGAATATTATATTCTTAGATGAACCATTTTACCACTAAACCCAAAATTGAGAAGTGTATACAAACAGTAAACTAATTTAATGCCCACCAATTGGATTTAGTCGATGAGCACATAGCAGTTAAGGAGGGACAAGCGTCATTAAAGATATGAGTTTTAAAATACTATGGCCATATATATGGGACGCCCACCAAACACGAATACACATATATCATCAAATTGCCAAATTGATGATAAAAAATGATGTCATCATCACGAAATGCAACAAGTAGAAACCTTCTCACTTCATCGGAATGTCTCTAAAAAAAAATTGTGAAAAAAAATCGTAAATAAATCTTTCTATCCCCTTAAAGACTCGTCAAACAACTAGTTCAACTTGACATTTACTAACTCAATCAAGAATCAAAAAAATTATTGAAAACGTCCATAGAAGGAGACTGTATCGTCGATGGACTAGCCTGAAGGATAGAGTTAAAGTCATTGAAGAAGGACGAAAAACCTTGCGGTTCGGTTGGTGCAACCGTAGAAAAAAAGTCCGGTGATATCAACGGCAGAGATGTTGGCCCTGGCGATAATATCCCTGCATGGTGAAAACTTGGCCGTTCGATCTGATGATGATGTTGATGTTGTTGTTGTTGATGATGATGAGTATAATATTGATCCATTGTTGTCCCTACGCCTCCCGCAAATTTCCCTAGTTCATTCGAGGTATTAGCTCTCTCCGTAGAAGCAAACCGAGCTGCCGGAGATATAGAGCCACGAGATGCATCAAATGATGCTGACGTATCGTTTGGTGCTGACATGGGTATAGAAGAGGAAGACGATGATGCTGTGGAGCTAGAGGTTTTACCTGTGAGACGTTGAACCAATGTCATGAAGTTATTAGGGTGTGTATGGATAATCTTGGGAGATACGGTGTATATGATCACTGGACCACGTGGCGGCCGTGATTGCGACGGTTCTTCTTGCTCATGGATTTGTGGTGGCGGCGGTTGTGGATGCGGCGCCAATGGTGGCTTCTTGATGATCTTGTGTGAACCTCCACGGACTTTCAATGGTGTTGGTCTCGGACCCAAGATTCCTCTTGATCTTGGCGATCTATTATCCATAGAATCCGCTATTTGAGATGAATAATCTAATAGTATAATATAAAGAGAAAGATATATATATATATATATATGTGAATGTGATGATGTTTATAGAGAAGAAGAACAAACAATGATTATGTGATGATTAGGGGAAAAGGGAGGGTACATGAGTGCTTGTATATATATGATTTTGTGTTTATGTGTCAAAAGAAGGAGAGAGAGAGAGAAAAGTCAAAAGAAGAAAACAGAGTAACCTACTTAATAAAACTGGTAAAATTTGGCTACTTGATTTGATTGTTTAGTATTGATTTTTTATAAAAAATCTATGTTTCTTCTAAGTATACTTTTATTTCTTACCAAGATTTGGTTTAGTTTACCCAAGATTAAAAGTTTTCCAGTCGTTTGAAAAGACTTGCTTTTTTAACTACGACTTCCAACTTTTAATATTTTGTTATTCTTCTTACCCCAATTTGGTCACGTTTATGGTTAATTAATTTGATAATACTGGTGTATTATAGTTGTCTTTAGTATACAGTAATATATAGAGATTAAGTAACACTTTCAAAACTATATAATTAGAAGAAGTTAACTTATGTGTGTGTGTCTGTTTATTTTTCTGTCTTTTAGTATATTGCATAAAAATAGTAAGGAACAAATAGATACATGAACATAAAGAAGGGTTGAAAATGTCCAGTCTTGAGGAAGTCAAAAACTCAAAAGCGTAGAAGAGGTCAGAAGTGCCACGTCAGACACTTGGTTGCTGACTTGGCATGAGTTTGAACAGCTTAAACTGTTAACAACACGGTTCTGCTGATCCCCAGACATGACCCTGTTTCCGTGGACCGTACTGGACCCAAATTATTTTCTCCTTTTCTCAAACAAATATTTATTCAATAAAATTAAATATAAAAATATAAAAATCTAAATCTCATAATTTTAAATGAATTTTACAATAAATTATATGAAAACTTTCTTAAAATCATCAAAATCATATTCTCTCCATTCTTGTATAGATGATCTTTTAGGTTTTTTTTTTTTAAAGTTAATTTTCTCAAGAATCTATGTAAAATTAAATATTCTTTTTATGATTTTTATCAATTTATATTATGTAGATTGTTTTTCATTGGTTGAGTTGATTTAAGTAGATATTAAATGATGTCTTTAAAAAAAAAAAAAAATTTATTAATTTATGTGTGCATTTGATCAAAAAATCATCTATTCTAATAAAAGGAGTATATTTTTTTTTTAAAACTCAAATTTCTTAAAATGTTACTTTGAATACACCCCTCTTAATAGTTTAATGATTAGTTGTTGTGTTGTTCGAGTTCCATTATATAACACTGTTATGAAAAAACAAATACGACGTGATAATGTCAAACAAGAAAAATGATTCTAGTAAATAATAATTAAAATGATAATGTCAAAAAATGAGAAGTTATTATAATCTGTTGCGACGTTATTATTATGCATAACAAGTGAATTGATGGAAGGCCCAACCACGCGCTCTCGTCCATATCAATTTCATATTTATGCGAAAAGACCCAATAATGTGGGTTTAAGTCCAGGGGTTTTTGTCTCACGCGCTAAACGCGCCTTTCCTGCGTTTGGGTTTGTCTTTTGTAGTAGTCTCAAAAACAAACTAGCGTTCTTTATTTTGCTTACCATTATGATTTATGTAAATCTCTTTCATAAGAAAACTCATAACACAACACTTCAAAAAAAAAGTCTTGGAAACTTTCGAGTTTCGATAATAGACAAACAACAAGATGTGTATTTGTGTTGACCCATAAATTTACATGTATGGCTCCTATAACCAATATAACCAAAGACGAGACTTCTAACGAAACAAACAAACAAACAAAAATTGGATAAAAGGAACAAGATAAATGTAGTACTTGACAAAAAAAAAAAATATTTGGCTTTTACAAGACTGATTGTCCTGTCAATGTTTAGGTGGACTTATCATTTTTATACATTCGTATAGAATATATACATGAAAGTTAGTTTTTGTTTTCTTGCTCGGATTGTCAAAGTATCATCAACATTCAAATCTAGTAAGAGATGCTTATAATCCACATGTCAACAAAAAGAGAAGACAATACAAACTAAGACAAAATTGGGTCTACTTTGGTATATATGTTTTATATTTTGTTTGGTTTGCGAACATGAAAATCAATTTGATTCAAAATTATATATCTTCTATTCATCTAAAACAACTCGGCCTCAGATCATATTGAATATCCAAACTAAAGAGTATTTCAAAGTTTGGATCATAACCTCATCTGTAGAAATTAGCCTTTGGATCCGTTCCTTTTAATCAAATAGCATCTGATTCTGACATACAATATATACATATAAATATTAAAATAGAGTTAATTACTAGGTAGAGATATTTTCAATGGTATTTATAGTTCTTGCCATTTTACCTTAAATGTTTTTAGATTTGCCACTTTTTTAAGATCTAAAAACACAATTTTTAGATATTATGTTTAAGTTTTTTTTTCCATTAAGGTTTAGTATTTGCAATGAAGATATATTTTAGCAAAAAAAATCATAAACCACACATTTTAAGACACTTAAAAATAATAAATTCACAAAATTAAGTAAAAATGGAACATTCATAAGATTTAAGCGAGAAAATGGCAAAATCCATAAAAATTCCTATAAAAATATTTGTAATAAGGCAAAGATGGTATATATAGTATTTGTCTCTTTTTTTATTGGCAGCCCCAAGATGGTATGGTAGTACATAATTAAAAATCATGATAATCTGAAAAAGTGTATAATTGCAATGGGGCTAGACGCTGAAACAGACATGAGGGGAGAAAAAGTCTTGTGTGTTTGGTTTTGAGTCTATGTTTTGGTCTAACTCAGAATCTCGAAATGACAAGGTCCATCTCTATTTCTTCACTTAATGTTGGAAAGTGATTGGTCTTTCAAAGTCTCCGTAGATTCTTCCTAGCTCTTATCATTAAAATTTTAAATAATTTAAGCCAATAATTATAACTTTTACTGAACAACTTAACATAATTGTTATCAAATTAGCGTGGGATAAGAGTGAACGCGTATTACCCTTAAAAGGTCTTACGCGGATTATTGAAATATAATATATTATAAACAATTTTAGATACCAAGTCTTGCTGATACTATATTTAGATTACATCATTAGTGTAGTTGCAAAGTCTGGTTCTAGATAGTATTGAATCAGTCTTAACTCTTAACACTGCCAATATTTCGATTTCTTAGACTAGATACAACTCCTTCAACCAACGTTATCTTATACCTAATGCGGTTGTTTCTCTTCAAGGCGACAATATTGAGTGTTCAAATATAATTAAATAAATAAATCTCAACTGAAGCAAAAAAGAACTCATATGGAAATTTAAATGGAGGATTAATTTGGTTAAAAATGAAGGAAAAAATAGAACTAAACATATGGTATGGAATCAAATACCTATCTTTTTTCATAAACCTGATGACATATTCAAACAAAGCGTAAATGAAACATGAAAGTTACTACTACGTACTAGATTACAAATTAAACTAACATATAAGGTTACTAACTTTTACTAAACCAAGAAAATCAGACAGCCAAACCCGGAACAATCCAAGATTGGAGGTACCCTAGCTGAGCTGTTCAAGTCAGACATGGACCAAATTAAATACAAATGGTATGTATAAACGAAGTAAGATGCAAATTCAAGGCGGAATCTCTTTTTTTTTTTTTTTGGGAAAATGAACCACAGTTTAAAAGAATCTACAACTTGATTATGAATGAATGAATAAGTGACAAAAAAAAAAAGAGAGAGTAAAATTCAGCGAAAATTAATTGGTGAATTCATCTTACAATAGAGAATAACATCTTTAATCTTCTCATCCCTGTCTTCATCTACCATCGCACTACCTCCCGACGAATTAGTCGGAGAGGATTTTATAGAGTGAATGGAGCTGCTCTTCCTCGTCGCTTTATTAGATCTCGCCTCTCGTTGATCCCCTTCTGTCGCCGCATCAAAACACATACACAGCCGCATAAATGGTTTCAGGAATCCAAAGCTTCTTCCACTTTTTTTTGGTTGTGACATTATTCCAAAGATTGACAAAAGGTTGATCGTTACACTCAAAGTCTAACGAATCTTACAAAGAAGGTTGTGTTGTGTCTAGAGTCTAGAGATGTAAAATGTAGAAGGATTTATGTGTATCTTTTAGTTTCCTATAGATTAGGGATAATGACTATATATAAACATAGAAAATTTAAATACAATTTTTGTGTTTTGACTCTTTAGTAATCTTGTTACTATAACAAAAAAAAGGTAATTATGCAAAATTATAAAGGCTTCTACTGTTAACCATTAGAGGAACAAAAGGAAAAAGAACAAAAAGAACAATACGGAACGGAATAAACAACTTTTGAGGAATGAAAGGAAAACATGCAGAGAAGAATAAAATAATAAATGGTAACCAAACAATAACACTATCTTTTATAATATATTTGATTAAATAAATCAACTTTTAATAATAATACTAGATATAATTTATATATAATGAATTTGACACTAATTTTAAAATAAATTTAAATATTTAATGTTAAAAATTAATAATTTATATTAACCTATTATAGATTATAATAATTTTTTATTTGTTATTTATGATATAAACATCTCTTAAATATGTTTTACTATCCATACAAATTTTAAATAATGTATAGTAAGATTTTTTAACATGAAATTCATATCAAAATATTTTTTAATGTCAATACATGATAAAAATATGAAAAATATTATATTATGAGATTAAAATATTATTAATAAATAATTTTTTATTTATTTTAAAATAAAAAACGAATTTTAATATATA